ATTCTCTTTTTTAGTGTCTTTTCTCAGCCACTTATATTTTTATAATCACAACCCCTTGACCTTCTTTGCTCTTTCATCAGATAAGAATAGCCTTAGAAACAAGTTTATTTTAACTTGCATCAGGATCTTCTTCGTGATTTCCAATCTTTTTGTGATCTTCAGTTGGGCACGCTTCCAGTCGTTAAAAAAACTGTCTTCGATTCACATGGACGAAAACGTGCTATACTTTTCAGGTATCCTCATACTACTTTGCTTGGCCTTTTGCTTTACTGTATCCTTTTTCCTATCAATATTTTCCAGATATTTTACAGTATTATGCTTGTTCTCACCACTGCTTTTTACACTCTTGTTGTATAATAACACGAACAACTTCTGGATCGTTGTGGCACTTGTGGTTTCAATCTTTTTATCCGTAGTCACTATCTTTGATCTGCTGATTAACGGTGAGGATGTTTATCAAAAAATTGGAAGGGTTGCCTCAATTATGTGGCGTAATATCATTCCCGTATTTGCTGTCATCTTTGTAGTCTCACTCTTCAATGCAATCATGGTTTACTTCTCATGTTTCGTGTTTGGCTACATTAAAAACAAGCTTATTGCCGTACTAATCTATTCATTTATCGTTGCCTGGCTATATGGTGCATGCAGCGGTATCATTAAAGCTTTCATCTCTTCGTACATATATTCATCACTTGGTGACAAAAATAACCGATTTACCACTGCTATATATTCCGTAGTTTCCATCATTGACTCAATTCTCTATGCCACATTTATACCTGCTGTGCTTGAGTGTCTGATAACTGCTGTTGATTTAGTCTCTCATTATATTTGTGATAAAAGTAGTAACAAAAAGAAGTCTGGTGCGGCCATATCAATATCTGCTGGCCAGTATATAGCATTGATGGTTCTTGAGGGTATAAGATCGTTCCTTATCGCCCTTAAGACTGCTGTCGAGTTTTACAATGAGTTTCTTATTTCCTATCTAGCTATATTTGGTGGTGAGTTTGACCAAGAGGCTTTGAAAGAATCTATGAAAATTAGAAGGACAAGGTCACGTCAGAGTACGGTGCTATTCATTTTCCTAAGAATTGTACTTTCTGTTCTTGCATGCGCTGCCTTGATTGGAATGTTGCCATTTAACACTAATCTTATATTTGAGAACTTTACTGGAAACCTACATCTATTGATCGGACCAGAAACTCAAATTGATTCTACACAAGCCGTATCCCTGTATTCCTCCTTCCAGATATACTTCTCTGTCATTTACTTCTGCCTCTTTGTCGCCATCAACTTTATTTCTTCGTACTTCAATGGGCTGATAGCTGCTATGTACTTTGATCATAAACAGCGCAGTAAATCGATTAGCATGAAGATGTTAAGTAATACCAGAGATGAAAAGGCTATTGTTGAAGACAAAACGAAACAAGCTGCTCAGTGCGCTCCTGCAGGTTAGTTAATTAAACTATAACCAAAATTTCTTATTAAAAGTTCTCACAAGTAATTTTTTGTATCAATAATTTTTATATTAAATAATATGTATTTATTTAAACTTGTTCTGTAGCTACTTTGGAAGTGTCAGTCTCAGCCTCTGTTGCAAGCTGTTCCTCCTTAGTTTCGGAATAGAAGAAGTGTAGGAACTCAATCCAAATGCAAAGAAGATAAAATATGAGTTCCAGAAAATAAAAGAATATGTTGTTGTCGTGGCTAATTGCAAGTATTATTGAGAAAATAAGCAAAATAAGCAGCTTAAACCCGGGCACTCCAATTCTAACGACTGCTGGTAAATTAATGAATTTGAAAAATATGGAGAATGAGACAATTATATCTGCTAATATACTAACATAGAGAATATAAACGATAGCCGTGTGGCCTATGACTAAAGATTTTCCTTCATCAAAAGTAAACATGAATATTGGTATGAGTAGTATGGTTTTGATTAGAAGTGCGATAAAATGCAAATCTTTTTGTCTCATATTCTTCAATTCTCTGGGAATTGCTTTTCCAATTCTTGATTCCTTGATGATCTCTATGTTTTGTTCGATTTTTTCATCCACTTTTTTGACTTGATCTGGCTCCATTGGATTCTGGTTTGCCGCTGCCTCTGCTGGATTTTGGTCTGCTGTTGGCTCTACTGGATTCTGGTCTACCATTCAAGAAGTTAGGGGTTTTTGATTTATTTGTTTCTAAGAGAAAAAGGAGTAAGTAAGTATGGTGATGAATTGTTTGAAAATGGGCCAATCATCTTGCTTTTTATGAAGCATTTTTTTAATTAAAAAATTTTGACAAAAATATTCTGTGCCCATCAACAAACTGTTGATGGAATCATTATCGTGCTTGTTTTGCAATTAAACATGTGTTTTTGTTGTTATTTAGAAGATTAATTTTCCATTTTTCAGTTCTAAGCACAATAAAGCCCTTCTATGAATTTTCATGGCGATCTTACACCAGATTTAATAAACTTAATTATGCTTTGTGATAAAAATCCAGAGCTGGCAAATGATATTGTAAACAACACAACAAGATATCCCATACTTTATAAGAAAGCTTTGGACGGAATACCTACGAGTATTATCATTACAAAGCCATTATCCTGCAAAGAGTTGAACAGAATGGTAAAGGTTACAGGAAGCATTATCAAAACGTATCCCATATTCTTTAAAAATGTTACAAGTGAACAAATATGTCTGAAATGTAGGGCAACATCTTATCTTTCCGAACATGAAGCATCAAAACTTAGGGGGAATTTATTTTGCCAGTCTTGTGGATCAAGTAATTTAAAAACATCCCAAAATTTTCAACATTCCTTTCCAATTCAAACTATCAAAATACAAGACATGAGCAATTCTGATGCAATGTCAGAGACTATTGAAGTAAATATAGAAGGTGAAAAAGTAGGAGTGTTTCAACATGGAGATAAAATTTCTGTTACTGGGACTGTTTTAAGGAAATGGAAGTCGCTAAGGCCAAATGAGTCAATGCTTTCTACATTATTCATTAAGGCTATACAAATAATTAAAGATAATGACGAAGAAAACGAGTATTCTGAGGTAAAATGTCTAATCGATGATTATTGTTCAAAAAATAGATTTGAAAAAAGGTCCTTTATTATCAACTCATTTTGCCCAGAACTTTGCGGACTGTATAATGTTAAGCTTGGATTTTTACTTGCGTTAATTGGAGGTGCCGTGGGGAATAAGGATCCCGGTGCATCACGTCTTAATTCGCATGTTCTCATAGTTGGTGATCCAGGAACTGGAAAGTCACATCTACTAAAAGCTACATCTAAGCTTGTATCTCCCTCTATCTTTACAAATGGCGTTGGGACCTCGGATGCAGGACTCACAAGCTGTGCAGTCAGGTATGAAAAAGAATGGACACTTGAAGCAGGTGCCTTAGTTCTTGCTGATACTGGGATATGCTGTATTGATGAATTTAATAGATTAAAAATAAGTGAAAAGAGTGGTCTTTTGGAAGCAATGGAGCAGCAAACACTGAGTGTAGCTAAAGCTGGAATGGTTACCACTTTGAATTCACGGTGTTCTGTATTTGCAGCAGCAGGCATAAGATATAATTATGATTCCAAAAGGTCTATTTGTGATAATCTTGAAATGGCATCTCCATTGGTAAGCAGGTTTGACTTAATATTTGGAATTTTTGATAAATCAAACAAAGACAAGGACGCTGAAGTCTGTAATTATGTTTTAAGCAGAGAATCACCAGTAAAGCTACCAGAGCAGATTAGATGGTCACAGACGACTCTTAGAACCTTTATTTCTCAGTGTCGTAAAAAGAAAAACAATATTACCGAGCCGACCTGCGATATTTTACTGAAATATTATACTAAAAAGAGAACACTAGAAGGAGTAAATGAGTTCAATACGATAAGAATGCTTGAAAGCTTGGTAAGGCTAACAGAGGCACATTCAAAACTTATGGGCATGGATGACGTAACAGAGGAGGATTCATTTATAGCATTAATTCTGATGGAGACCAGCATTAATTCTGCATCTAGCATTGCAATTGATGTCGAAAAGGTCTTTGTTGATCAAAGCTATTTTGAAAAAATACGTGGTCTCATATGTACAAAATATGGAATTGATTTCAAAGAACAAACGATCTAACACGTATTTGCACAATGTAATAGCTTAAAACGAGGCCTACTAATAAAATGCATCAAGCATTAGCTATTGTGTATTAGTATATCATATAATTAAATGCCATGATCTCCATAAATATTTTGTTCTAATAATCTTAATTTACTAATTAAGCAGATTTAGTATCTCCTCACATGTTTTGGCATTTTCTTTGCTTTTAATTTTCATGATCTCATCCTTCAACATGCCATTTCTGTCTTTCAAAAGACCTAAACATCTTTTAAGTACCTTGATGCCGAGCTTATTTTCCATAATTGTTTTTAGATAGCTCCTTATAAGCCCAAGTATGTATTTTTCATTAAAAAGCAATATTCTCTGAATGCTGTAGTTTCCAATTTCGTGGCAGAACAAGTATTTTCCATTTTCGCCAAAGTATTTACAAATTAATGACTGTGTTTTTTCAGTTGAGCAAGCAAGTATCAATGTTTGAATGGTGTAGGCTCCATATTTTGTTGCACATATCACCGATATGTCATTCCCAAAACATCTGATAAGCTCGCATATCTGGTCCTCCGTCATTTCCTTTATTTTTGTTTGCATTATAACATTTGTTATTGATCCAACAGCCAGTTCTTTGGCATTCATAAAAATCAAATCTAGTCTACCCTCATATTCTTCTGTTGTGCATTCTTCATTCTTCTGAGTAGTATTCAGTTTCTTAATTTCACTCTTCGAGTACAACCCCTTCATCCTATTGAAAAACTCTATTCGTGAATAAAATTCATCTTCTGTCATGTTTGAATTATCTTCCTTTTCATTTTCAACTTGGCTTATAAACGGTTTAAAATCATATATTAAACTATTTTCTGATGAGACTGAGTGTCTTACTTGCTCGACTTTTGCACAGTACTGAATCCTGGTCATCCTGTTATTATGACCGGTACTATACTGTTCTTCTGAGTTATCAATTAGTGTCTCAAACAATCTTTCTCTCAAAAAGCTCATTTTGACTAGTGAAAAATATTGATGATAAAATGAGATGGCATCATTTACTGTTACAAAATAAACTATGACTGAGGCATCCTCTACCTTGAATCTGCCAACTCTTATATCGTTTTTGAGAGATTCCAATATGAACTTAGAGCTTAACAGGTATGTCCTGAAGCCAAAGCATTCTTCTTGGGTAGTCCTTGATTTTATTTTCATTTGTATTGCATCTCTTAGTACTTCATTCTCCACATATCCCTCCAATGATTTCTTTTTTGAAATTTCAAACATATCTGAGTTCATACCATAGAAGTTTAATGAAATTTCAGATGAGTATAATTCGGTATTGCTTTCATCCAGTTTTATTTCTCTCAGCTCAATAATTTTACTTGGTTGCTCTACAGTCAGGTTCATGCGACAGGAACTTCTTGACATCTTTATAAATTTTAATTTAGCAGTGAATTTTTATTTGTGAGTTAATTAGTTAAAAATTTCAGGCAACCTATAAACTAATACTGCAAAAACTATTTGTTAATAATAAAATTATGCAAATACCCTATCAACCACAGGCTGTATTGGCGGCAAGTGTGGTCAACATGGCCAAGATAAGCACTAAAATCTAATTTGTTGATTCAAGCATGCATTTACTTGACAGCTAAAATATAAAATATTTTGCAATGTCAATATACAGAATTACTGATACTCTCGCATATTATGCTGCAGTGTGCTTCAAATAACAGAAATGAATATAACTAAAATGGCCATCATTATAACGGCAACTGTGTCTTTAAAATCATTAGAGCTCAATTTACCCATGGATTTTGGACAAAAGCACGAAAGGCTTGCTAAAGTTATCTCCTACACAACACCAGAGAACTTTCTGGAATCACTCTCTTCTATTGAATACAGTCTCCTTCTTCCCCCATCTGAGAAGCAATCAGCTTAGTTCCAAACGAAGCAAACTTTCAGTTGCCAAACGTTTTTCTGAAGACAAGGAGTAATTTTGAAGTGGAAAAATTGTTTGGTAAAAGTAAACTTGAGGACAATTGGAATTCGAAAATAGACAAGTTGATTGAGCTTATTAACCAAATTGAATTAAATCAGGAACTGTCAAGTGGGAATGAGGATTTTGATGAGAAAATGCTAGAAACATTAATCAAATATAGACATTGGTGAGAAAATAGTCAATCTTGCATACGTAATTATCAATGATATCTAACCATATTTGCTTGTTACATCATAGGATTGTGCGTAATAATCCATTTGTACTTCGAGTTAAATTTTTTGAAAAAATTTTTGTCATTCCGATGGTATACGAAGCACTTAGCAGCAAAAAGACCCAGGAGATGTATAAACTTATACATTCTCTTAAATCTGAAGGAAATATCAAGTCAGGGTACAACGAGGCGGTAAAATCGGTTAAAAACAATACTGCGGTACTCGTGGTCATTGCCAAAGATGCAAATCCTCCTTGTTTGATAGATCCACTTCCAGTCCTTTGTGAGCAGAAAGGTGTTCAGTTTGTTTTTGTTGAATCCAAAACAGCATTAGGAAAGGCCTGTAGTGTTGATGTGGATGTTTTGGCCTGTGCTATATTTGTGCCCAAGCATGAGAACTCCACCCAAATATCAAACAAAATTGCACTAGTACTCAGATAAATAGAATTATAAGTGTAGCATGCATATTTTGATTAAACTTTACATTTAAAATCTTCTAAACAATAACTACTTGTCTTCCTGAAAAATACTTTGATGCTTGAAATGAACAGCCGCATTCAGACTTAGAAGTATTCTTAAATACGTCGTTTTCTTTGAATAGTCTTTTTAAAACTCTTATAAGATTTGCCAAGGCTACTAAAACAACGAATAGTATGCTTCGGGCCTCTCTGACTTATAATTTAGTGTGGTGTTACGCTTCAGACCTTATTCATGCACTTGGCTATCATATTCGTAACCTCCTGAATACTCGCTCTTAAGCTTACTCTAATTTTTTTCCTACTTGAATGTTGTCCGCCAGTAACACTTAACTTGTCTTTCTGGACTCCAAAAATCGTTGAAAGAAAGTTTAAAAGTTCTTTGTTGGCTTTTTCCTTATCTGCTGGCGCCGCAAGTGCAATTATAAATTCTTCATCAGTGAAAGCACGAATTTCTGTCTGAGAGGCATTGGGCCGCACTTTTATGTCGAGAATAAAGTAATCCTCTTTTATCAATATTACGTCCATACAATGGGCTTTTAAACATCAATATTTCTAATCATCGACCATAAAGACAAATATAAGCACTAACACAAGCACATGAAATAAGATAGCAAAATTAACCATAGTTTCTTGTACTTTGATTTGCCATTTAATATACTAAAATGCATATGCAGTACTTGCACATTAGTGTCATGAGTATTCTTTTATTTCAAATCGTATCTAGCTTTTGATTGGAGCTCCTCCTTATTTTGTAATTTCATGTTCACCCCTTTAATGAGTGACCCAGGCTCGAAACTTCCTATTAAAATTGACGAGGAAGATACAAAAACTCTTGGGAATCTCACAGGTCTTGGACAATTAGAAGACTGTGACCAGGTTATTAGGTCAAATGGGTTTACCCAAGTGTTCGGTGCCTTGGCCTTGATCGTCGTATACTTTATCTGTAGAAATAAAACACCATGGGTATATTATCCAAACATCAAAAATAAGCCGCAGCATCCATGCTATCAGCACAATCCAGGACTCTTTTCTTGGATTGGACCTTTAATTACCACCAAGGATACTCAGTTGCTTAGTATGGTAGGTCTTGACGGATTCATGTTTCTTCAAATGCTCAAATTGCTTTATAGAATTTGCTTCTTTCTTTCGCTAATTGTTGTGCCTTTTCTTTGTCAATGGTTTTACACAATTAGAGGGTCTAAGAGAGATTCACAACTATTTATCCTTTTGAGCCTTTCTGATATCAAAGATATTAAGGTTTATTGGTGCATTCTGGCTTTGGCACATATCATCACAGCCATTGTTTTATATATGGTATTTATTTATTACAAAAGATTTGTAACCCTACGACAGCTGTATCTTGCCGCACCTGCCACAATGACTTCAGTCAGTCAAATGAAAAAACTATCTAAGGAGTTGTGTGATGACCAGAATGCAATAGATTTCATTAACATCTCTTCCAGAACAGTTATTATTGATCGTCTTCCTCCAACTATTAAAAACGATCTAGAATTACTAAAATACATAGAGTCTTTAAAAATAGGTGATATAGAGAGTGTGTCTCTCATCCACAACACTTACCGCCTGCAGAAAATGTATGAAGAACGTGATGCAGTGATACAGGATATAGAAAAAGAAATAGCCACATCATTTGTTAAAATTAAAAAGTACTTTAAGGCAGAGAAGGACAAGTGTAGAGCCAGTTTTGGTGAGCTCTATACAGAGGATCTTGAACGATCAACGCTAGCTCTTTTTGAAAGCATGAATTTTACATTAGAAGAAAAGGTAAAGATTTTCAATAATTTTTGTAAATATGCTGATAAATTTTTTTCAAAAACTTTTATTGGAAGGTCAATAATCAATTTGCATCTAGTAAGGCTAAATGAAATCAACAAAAAGATACTCCGGGAAAAGGATCGTTTAGAAGATACATCAAAAGAAAATCAACTTGATGTACCGAAGGCTAATGAAACACTTTATGTAGACATGGATGTAAAGAATGATGTTAGTTTCTTTAGCATATCTCAGGTGCTCAGTTTTAGGAAGAACAGTGATCTATTTTCTTTAGATTTGCCAATTAACCGAAGAAAAGGCTTTATTACCTTTAAGGACCAGCGAACAGCAGGAATAGTAAGACAGACAAAGTTGGGGACAAGAGTATTTTCAAGCAATATTGAGCCTGCGCCAGCTCCACACGATGTTCTTTGGAGGAATATTTGTAGAAAAGAAGTAAGCGGTTATTTCCTAAAGCTTCTTTCACTTGGCTTATACGTTCTATTTAACCTTTTCTTCCTCGTTATTGTCGTATGGATTGTAAAAAGCCTAGAAATAGAAAAAAACACAAAAAATTTCCTGTTCAAGATCGTTCTCCAAAATCCATTCATACATTCTCTTTACAGAGGTATTCTTGCTCCATTAATTTACAATATTCTTCTATTCTTTGTTCCTATTATTATCAAGGCATTACTGCATATGGAGCAGAATAACTCATACTCTGGTTTGCAGGTTAAGTTAATGTATAGACTTTCCCTTTTTCTGTTTTTCAATGCCTTTTTGGCCATGATTATTCTCACTTCAGTTCTTACCTTTATTGAAAAAATTAAAGCGAAGACAGTCACCATTGAATCGTTGATTTCTGAATTTGGGAGTTCAATAATCCGTACATCTGTTTTCTTTTTCAATACAGTAGTACAGAGATTATGCATAGGTTCAGTCATTGTCATTCTTAAGCCATCACCATTTCTTTATAACTGGATTGTGGCGCCTTTTGCTATTTATACTCGTAGGCAAACACAGGAACGCGAGTTTTCTCCACCAATAGATTTTGGAAATCATATTCCTAACATTCTTTTGATATTACCTATGGCTCTTGTCTATTCTTGTGTCTGCCCATTGATGCTAGTTGTTTCATGGGCTTTCTATCTTTTTAGTTACTTAGTATACAGAAATGAACTGCTTTATGCTACTAGGAATGATTATGAATCGGGTGGTTCTCATTGGAAGCAGTGTATCAGATTCATTTTGTTTTCCTTGCTTGCATTTCAAGTTATCACGGCCATTCTCACTTTCTCTGTTGAAATGTATGCCGTTTTTTATTCATTTTTGCCTTTGATATTCCTTACATTCGTTTTTTCTGAGGGTCTCAATATGATTTTTGAAAACAGCTGTGAAAATTTTCCCATGAATGCACCGGAAGAGAGGTTTCTTGACAGGTTCTCAAAGAAGGCCTTGGAAGAGCGTCACAAAATTCTAGGTGAATGGAAGGAAATAGGAGAAGAGGTGGACGAAGACGTTCTTCCAATTAGTGAGCTTGGATTTGAAGACAAGACATCTGAACTTACAAAATCGTATTACAAGGATCCTTCGACTTCCATGTCAATAGGAAATATTATTTTGCCACAAAATTTTTACAAAATTGTACATTTTTTACGAAGTTTTGATAAAAACGATCTCTTTGGATTGAAGAAATGAAAAATTAAATATAGAACAATTACAAAACACATTAACACTCTATCAACATCAAATATAGTATATAAAATGATGTCTGTGAGCAGGTGTGCATTTATCTTGGCTATCAGCTCTTTATTAAAATAAATACACTATTCCTGGGGTTTCTGGATATTTAGATAGCTATACAGTCGAATACTATGGTGGCTTTGCTCATAGTAACTGTAAATTAAAAAATTATGCATTTTGCAATAGTACAAGGTTTTGTTGATAATCTTATTTTTATGTTTTTGATCTTTTAAAGACCGAAATTTTTTTTGTCATGGAACCCTCTCGCATAGAAAATAGCATTATTTCTAAAAACTCAGACGTATCTGCATCCGAAGCAAACATCTACACTTCTGATTGTTGTATCAATGTAGGATCTGAAATTGGTGAAATTTTTAGTGAAGTGTTTCACGCAGATCCTTGTATTTCTGATATTGAACATTTATGCACAGACTCAATGCGAGAATACGAAGAATACGTAGAAACAGAAAATCCAAAGAGTGAAAAAGAGATTTTTGGCGGAATGGCTAGTTCGGAGAGTAATGAAGAGAATGTCCAAGTGACTGAGTCTAGTTTTGACTATGAAAGTTCCAAAGAAAACTTTTCATTTGTCGAAATATCACATGAAGAAAACAGTAGAAGTGTTATAAACAACTCAATAGATGCTCCAAGTGTAGTTCATGACTCATATAACACAGAATCAGACTTGACAGCCAAACGATACAAGAGTAGCACATCCTCCATCTCTTGCCAGGATATAAACAGGTCTAATAGCACAGCATCATTCACTTTGGACAATAACAGACAAGCTTTTTCTGGATTCAAAAATGGAAAAGACCAGGAAATCTACATAGATCCATCGAAGATTGAGACTGCGATGGCAAATCTAGATTCACAAGAGAAGAATGAATGCACATCGAAGTTTATTAAGGATTTAATATCTTCACTTCCAAGCACGTCGCAAGATACAACGGTCTCAGATGAAGAGATAGTTACACAGGTTGTTGAAGATGACTTATTTGAAAGCACCGAGCTGAATAAAGTAATAGACTTTGACAGCCCAAGTATTAGGGCTGATAATAACAATCAACCTAATGAAAAACATAAACTGATAAGCGATATTGAAAGCTATTCATGCAAAGGTAAGAACGATATAATTAATAGATCGAATGATGACAAATATAAACTAGAAAATATTACAGGTAAGATAATCGATTCGGGATTTACAACAGGTAACAACAAAAATGTTCTTGTGAATTCTAAGAATATTAAGCACATGGACCTTTACTATGAAGAAGATCAAGAAAATGCCAAGAGTAAAAATTGTATGAAATCAAAAACAAATAGCAACACTACCGGACAAATGGAAAACGAGATCTTTGTTGAATCCGCATTTATGACAGGCAAAAACCAAACAATTCTAATTGATTTGAAGAATCTAAAAACGACTGAGAACCAAACAATGTTGATTGACGCGGATGATGATTCTTTACAAATCAATCATGATAAGCTTAGTAAAAATGACAGCATCGTATCCATTGGTAACAATGCCAATAGTACGTTTTCAAAGAATCAATTTATGAAAAAATGTAGCATTTCCCGTCAAAAAGATGTCTGTAGTAGGATCACAGAAGATTTATCTCTGGCTGAGACATTCTCCAAGGTTCTGAGGCACTTTAAGAAGGAAGAACACAGCTGGATCTTTGAACAGTTCAAATGGACATGGCTTCATTTATACTTAAACAATGAAATAGGCGATAATGAAAGTACCTTAGAAAAGATTATTGAAATTATGATACTAAGACAAAAATATGAAAAGTCTATTCTGAGAAGAATTGTGGAATTCGATGATGTTCCTTTTAGGTTTATGGTTCTTGGATTAATAGATTATTCTGAAGAATGTGCCGAGCTTTTTGATGGGTTTTACTCTCTCAAATTCAGAATTGACAAGAATATTTACACTCTTCTAAGAAATAGCGAATGCACTCTTGGCTCCAAACTGTTTGTCTTTGGATCTGCCATTCTTCTGAAGGGGGCTACCAGTATCTTTGATATTCAGGGGACTCCTCTTAGATTGTTTTATAACAGTGTAAAAGTTTGCCATGGGGATTATAAATTAGGTGCAGCCAAAAAAATATCTTTTCTGAATACAATCTCCGCTATTCTACCGGATGGGGGAGTGGTAAGTGGACTTAATGCTAGGATCAAGCAGATATTAGAGTTTAAGTATCTTGTTGCTGTTGAAAATTACAAAAACAGGGTAGATGATCTTGAAAAGGAGATAGAAAAGATATATGAAATAGCAGGTAAGACAGGGTATAGAGTGAGAGTTGAAGATATTTCTGTACGACAGTATTGTAAGCTGCTAATAGAAGATGAAACTGGAGAGTGCTATCTGACATGGTGGAATCCGCCAGAAGTACATGTTGGTGAGAGATACAAGTTTGTATTTCTGAATACTATTGAAAGGGCCTGTGAGCTCCACTTAACAACAACAAAGAAGACATACACCGAGAAAGTAAAAATATAAGATAGACAGTATTTAAATGAATTGTATTAAATTAGTTAAGGATTAACCAAGTGGCTGATATTAAAGCATTTAAGCTTTAGAGTCTGCCTTGTGAATATATTAAATAAGTTCAATGGTGCATTTTAGATGACGCATTTCAGCTTTAATGTACTAAGTGCATGGTGCATTTCTATCTGTGCCTCCTACGGCTCTCCCTGCTATGGTTTCATCCTTTTAGTTTACTATTGCTCATTTTTAATTCCGTTAAAGCTTGCCGTGTTTTCCTGCTTGCATACTTGCATTCGCAATTTAAAAGAATCTCTTATTCTTTATTTAATTAAATTCCTTGAATAGGTTTTTAGCCTGACCAACAAGCAAAAACAAATAAAAACAAACAACATTTTTAATTTATAAATTACTTTAAAGACTAGCATGGCAAAAATCGCTTCACAGTTCAATTTCACATCAATGCAAGACCGTCCGTGCCATACTTTCTTCCCTACTGATCTTTCTTACTTTCCTAAAGCTTCTTTGTTTTTATTTACAAGCTATTAAAAATCAAATCAATATTTTTAATTTATCTATCAATAAAAATGAATTTAAACAAAAAATTAAAAAACCCCTATAATAATGTCCAACACTCTATTAAACCTGCTTGTGCTGTCCTATGGCGTACTTGCTAGACGAAGACACAGAGAACATTCCACAACTAGCTCATGGTCGGACTTCCGCTATGACTCTTGCGAGAAAAGAGACCGTTGTGATAGGATTGAGTGCAGTGAAATAAGAGAATGTGAAGCTATTAACAAAGTATTCTGCAAGGAGATTAGCCTGGAAAGACCCTGCAAACCATGCGAGACCCCTTGCTATGACTATTGTGAAATTCCATACAACTGCTTTTCAACTACCTGCTCGTATAAATTCACAGAAATGACTTACCATGCCATTAAGGAGTTAGTCCTCCCTAGTTTTGATTTCTGCAGACCCCTTCATTGCGGCCTGAAATATTACAAACGTAAAGAAAGCAATGTAGAATGTGAGATTTACAAGCTACTTCTCCACGCCATTAACACTGTCTCTCCTTGTGTATTTGATGCATACTATGATGCATTCTATAATGGAAATTATTATGAGTGCTTCTTAATACTCCAGAGATTATACTCCTGTGATGCTGAGATTGAAAGAATTATCATTGAGTCTATCGTTAAGAAAAACAGGGAGTGCCGTAGAAAGACCATTACCTCCATCTGCTTTGTTGACCCATGCACCAGAGAGTGCTCAATCATTGATCTACCAGGCTGTGGATGTGAGAAGAGGGTCTGCCTCTATCTTCCTCGTCATTGTCTTAAGTTTGAAGAGTTCATTTGCCTTTCCTTCTGTGTAGACGATGCTATTATCTGTGAGATTGATCATTTCATACCCTGTGGGTTCAAGAATTTCTACTATGAAATTGTCAAGAAGTTCTTTAAATACTTTAAACATCTTTCAATTGAAAAGAGAGTGTTGTGGTGGCTCAGGATTAAGTTCTTTGTATTCAACTGCATTGGCTACAGCATTTCATATCTTAACTCTGGCGCCAAGAATCAAGTTTTGGATCTGCTCATTAAGACAGCAACTTCAGAGAACGATGCATTCTATCTTGCATATGCTCGTTCTCTTGGACTTATAAATAAATGATGTGAATGAGTAAAGTACAATTTAATATACTTTTAATATGGCACGCCTGTCTTTATAGCAGATTCACTGGCTTTAGGTGTGGACTTCTTATCATACGGGTAATTAAGCTATATTGCCTCAACGTGTTTAGCAGTCATACTTATAGATTGCAACTAATACCGGTTAATTTTAATAGTATATTCGTTTTTTAGCATCCGTTACGTGAATATTTTAATGCATCTATTTTAATACATTATTATCACTGCTACTATGTTAGTGCTGCTTTGTTAAATCTTCTCATCTCCATCGTTACTGTAGAATGTGTTGTATAATTTCAGATATACTTTTTCCGGCATGTCCCTTAATCCTCCATTTTCATCTATTACTTTTATTGACATAAACAGCTCCTTATTCAGCAGCCCTTTAACAACTGAATTTACATCAGAATATTTTCCAAGTATAGCATTTGAAATATTCTGACTTACTCCAGGAATAGTTTCAAGAATATTCTTCAAAAATTCTCTTTTCTGATATTCACAGAATTTCCTGGTCTTTGGGGTGTATCTGTCCTTTTCTTTTCTAAGACTGATTAAGGATCTTAGCTGTGAGTGTAAGAATTGGGAATCTTCAATAAATATAAAATTTATATGGTTTTCTATTTGGTATTCCAAATACTTCATTTTGAGTTCCTTTAGAATGCTATCTTCGGTAAATCTGACGTTTTTATGATTGATTCCTTGTATTTCCTGTTTTGCTCCATTTTGCATGCGTTTCTGAACTTTTCCCTCCGAAAACAAACACTATCCCCATTCTATTTGTAGCTGTTCCATTCACAGCTTCTAATTCATTAGTTAGTTCGTTCTTATCTTTAAAGGGAAAGTGCTCATAGTCACAAGTAAATATTCTAAAGAACGTATTTCCACTTTGCATTTCAACAATTTCTATATAATTTGAGTCTATAAAATCGTACATAAAGTCAATCCTGTCTACACCTTTGAATATTTTCTCTATCTTTCTGGGGATCATCACTCTTAGATTCACAAATACAGGATCAAATAGCTCTCTAAATGCATTGCTGCGCTGATTGTCTGTGCTTGCGCTTTGTTTTGATTGTATGCTTGAGTCAGTGTTTAGAAATGACAGAGACAAATCTTTACTCATCCTTACCACAGGGTTAAATGAAGACTGAAATAGAACAGTCTATATATTGTATGGATCTGTGCAGCATTTAATTAAACATAGCAAAATGGATAAATTAACATTATTAAAATCAATGATTTTGGATGTTAAACTATGTATTTGCCTATAGTCGTTAGAATTTACACTTTTGTCTATAAACAAACATTATTCCCTAAGCTTATTTAATACAGCAATATTTTCAAATTTGACATGGGCTTGCATACAGTCTGCTTATTGTGTGCAAAGTAATATGGTCATTGGGATTCTACGTATTATTTTTTAAGCTATGTGTGATATAAAGTCACAATCAATATTGAAGTAACTCTTTCACTTGATATAATAGAAAATTTCCCTCAAAAAGAGTGATAAGCTTTGTATTAAATTTAATTGGGTTGAAGTTTTCTCAAATAGCTTTTGAATGTTCAAAACATGAATTGCGATGGAATTTCCATCATTTGCAATGTACTCGAATCAAATGAATATTAAGAAAATCTTATCGAGGTTCCGTCATTACCATAAAGAGCAGAACCGTTATGAATGACTCATTTAACTCCACATGAATTTTACAAAAGCACAGTAACTGATATTTAAAGAGGGGCATATTGCGGGTTTATCTAAAATTCGGTAGTATAATTTACAATATCAGCATATTCACTACAATAACTTATTTTAAAGGCATGTTTACACATTTAATTTGGGCTGTTTACTCTATACTCAAATCCTGAAACCACAGGGTTTCAGGAATATAAACCTTGTTTGCAGGACAACTGCAATGGTTAAAACAATGTTTAAAAACCTCATAGCCAAGTGCTTTTCATGTTGTGGAGACTATCAAGTACAGCGGAAAAGATACAGCCTTGATGATGTGAAGATAGATTCTGAAGTTAGTGATATAGTAACGTCCGAGAAACAACCGAAAATGAAAAAAACACAACCGGATAAACTAAATATAAAAGGGCAGGTTTTTGATGGTAAAAACACTATGCTTGAGACCAAAAGCAGATTGAGTTCTAAAACAATGCATCAGCAATCTAAGAATAAAGAAGATATAGAAAAGAAAAGTGAGCTGAGTTCCAAGACTAAAGCTGGCACAGGTTTATACCAAAAAAGCAAAATAGAGACAGAACCTAAATTTCTCTCGTCAGGAATGGTTAAAATGGCTATTCTTAAGAGAAATAAGAGCAGCGAAAGAGTCAAAATGGGATTTTATAAATGCGATCAAAAAATCAATATTCAACATGATAGATGCAACGGAAAGAACAATCTCGAATCCAAAAATATTCATAGAAACGATGCAAAAGACAACACACTAGCCGAAGATATTAAACCTAAGGATTTATTCAATCGTAGGCATGCCTATAAAAGCCAGAACACAGAACAGACTAATGTAAAAGATATAGTTTCAGTTTATAGAGAGCAATCAGAGAGGTATAAGGAAGAAAAGGCCAGCAATGTTGAAACATTCAAGCCAAGCAGCGATCAGGTGGGCATGCACATTGATCAATCAAATACTAATTCAGCCAGTCACAGACTGTGCGATAAAATAGCTGGCAAAGAATACAATAAGTTAGTAGGTGAAGAGCTATTAAACACCCAATATGGGGACACATATAAAGTAGATTCGCAGCAGACTTTAACCGAAAAGAATGTCGGTGTGTTTAGAAATGAAAAATCAATAGAAGAATATCTCCTTGAAGTGTCTTTGGAATCGGAGTCCCGCAACACTGAAAGTGAAACAGATGTTTCCTGTTCAATTGATTTTTATGATAAGAAAGAGTTCAGTAAAATACTATTAAAAACAATCAAGCACTATTTGAAAGAGACACAGATAAGCACTATGAAAAAGAGTAAAAGAAAAGGATAGCACAAGGTATTAACTTATTAAACAATATATTTGATAGGACATTTTGGTACGGTTTGTAACATTTCAAACTTAAATGACCAACATAATATAAAAAATATTAAGACTTGGCTGTTTGCTAAATAAACAATACATATCAAAAGTATAAATAAATGATAAGCGGTCTTCCTTTTAGCTGACATAGACAAAACAACTTTGTAATTATAAATTATAATTTATTTACGCTCGAGAATAGAAAATCATATATGCTGAACTGCTGTGCTCTGGTCTCTCTATTGGCTGAACCAAAGAATCATTGTATTCCATCCACTTGTCCCTTTTACAAAAAGCATAGTAATGTCCTCCATCAAGCATTCCTGAGTGGCATACCATCCCAATAGCCTCGTATTTCACATCATTAATATTAATATTCTGATCAACCGTGATTTGGGTATTGTTTTTCGAGATAATGCTCTGGAATCTATTAAGATAGATGACAAAGTAGTCTGAGGTGGACTTAATGGAATGTACAATAGGACAGGCTGTTCGAGTGCTACATTCTGTGCATTTCCAAGGGGAGCTTTCATCTACTCTCTCCTCATTTTCTAGATAACTATTTAAAGACTTTTGGACACTATCCTTGATAGAAAGATATTGCATAGTCGGCAATGATGACACTACCGAGACAAATCCACACTTCTGACATTTTACTTTATCTTCAATTGAAATACTTAATGCTTTTTTTATGATATTGCTGTCTTTAGTATCCCTCGATGAGTCAAGCTCATCACACAGTTTTGTGATAAAACTGTCCAAAAATGAGTGAGCATCCTGTTGCTTTCCATCAAAAAGTCTAATTTTTCCTCTAATTTTACCAATAAAATCTGAGGGATCCAAAATTTTGCTATTGTTTTTGTATTCAAAAATAAAATTTTGAAATGCAAGACAAAAAGGTTGCTTTGTGGGGTCAAATGAGTTGTCCAAGAAATATCGTACTATCTTCGGAAGAGAGAGAAGGCATTGAATGGATGCATTGAAGAAACAGGTGTTCCCCTTATTTTTTATTCCACAAGGATCAAGATGTAGTTTTACTGCAAGTTTTGCAGCCATACAAGGGGTCTAAGAAATTTACCAATTGCAAGTGTTTCAGGACAAGTTTCAAAATTGCGATTACAAGGAAATACTAACCAGATTAAAGAGAATCGATACCCGATAGCATCATTTTGATTGTAGATAATCATTTATACTGTGATATTGACTAAGTTCATTTAAAGCTTTAAAAGTACTACAATATTAAAATATAACGATTATATGAAAATTCAGCATGTGTGCTAAAAACACTAGGATACAAACAGTGTTACTTTTTACCATCTTTTTCTTACAAGTTTCATCCTGAATGCTTCACTGTTTGATTCACAATTCTGAAACATTGATGAATTTGTGAGAAAACAATTGGAGAATTCGGAAACATAGTTTTAAAATGCTAAATATAAAATTTTCTCAACTCGTTGTTCATATGAGCGCATCCAATTTTCTTACTGTTGTTCTTCTCGTGTTCTTGACGGCTATCAGGGCAGAGCAGTTTTATAATGAGTCAAAGATGTCAGTAGAGGTCAGTCCACGTGTAAAGGAGCTTGCAGACAGGGAACTTGCAACTAATCCAATCATGCTTGATGCAGCCAAGAATGAGGTATTTCCAGGAAAGGTTCTGACAGTATTCTCGAGTCCACATTTTATAGGAAGCCCTCCTCCGGGTATTACAAACTTCATGCTTACACAGGTGCTCTTGTCAGCTCAAAAGAAGAATGGAACAGTATATCCTTTGTTCACTAAAGAAGCATTAAGATTGGTGACTGAGGATGGTGTTGTTCTACTTGACACGAAGTGTGAGGATTCAAAAGGCAAGAAGAGTAACGATTGTAAACCTGGATATAAACAGGTTGTAGTAAAGAAGACATCATCGTCAGGTTGCGAAGCACCATCAGCCAAGACCCAGTCTGTGGTAGAAGAAAAAACAGTAACAGCAAAAGGTGAAACTAGTAGTAGTACAATTTCTTAAGTAAAAGGTTAATTTAAAAATAGCACTAAAGACTTTTTATTTTAATTTACTTTCACATTATGGACATATCTTTAAACATGACACAATAATCATCATGTATCATGATAAATTAGCGTTTGTATTTAGCCATTTTATTTGCGGATATTGTTTTTTACTCTTGTTCCTGATTGTGTTTTAATATGAAACAAGAGTGTGCCATCAAAACCAAGAATAGCTACATATAGCAGCAGTATAAAGAGTTCTACATTACACAAGCGCATGGGGTATAATGCTTGGGCTGTTTTGCTATAAGCTTGTTTTCCACTCTATTTTTAATAAACCAAAAATTTTCATCCATGAAATCCATTACAATCCAGTCAATCGAATTAGTGAATTTTATGTGCCATGACAATCTGAAAATCGGCTTTGACAAGATGATTACATGCATTGGCGGAAGAAATGGTAGCGGGAAAAGTGCAGTGATGATTGCTCTTGGAATTTTGTTTGGCCAACGAGCACAGACCCTTGAAAGAGGAAGTAGTTATGCTAATCTTATAAAAACAGGTGCAAACCAGGCTACAATCAAGGTAGCTATAAATAACTATTTGAGATATAAGCTAGAGAGGTATGGAGACAAGATAGTCATAGAAAAGAAACTAAGAGCAAAATATACCAAAGTGTCAATATTTAATTCATATGGAAAAGTTTTCAATATTGGAAAAAATGAACTAGAAAACATCATTGAAAAGTATGGATTGAAATTTGATAATCCCTTGAACTTTCTTACACAGGAGAAGAGCAAAAGGTTTCTAAATGTAGCCCGACCTGAGGATTTATATGAGTTTTATTATCTTGGGACTGAATTTAAGAATATTGAAGAAGAGTTGCAGGAGAGTATGAATATACTAGAGGAAATGAAAAAGAAGGTAGAAGAGACAGCGGAGAAGCAAGATAATATTGAAACAAAACTGCTGGTTCAAAAGAAAAATCTTAGCTTTTTGGACTTTGATTCAGATGCAGCGCTTAGGCAGTTGGAAATAGAAGAGAAGTGGTTAAATGTTAAAGATTTAAGAAGCAAGGTAGAGAAATTAGACAAAACTATTGAAGACAATGATAGACAGATTCATGAAAACGAAGAGGAAAGAAGATTACTGTGTAGTATCCTGCAGGAGGCTGTTCAAGAGGAAAGCATCAAGGAGCTAGACGAAGAATTGTCTAAGCTTAAAGTGCAGGCACATGATGTTTCGACAGAATTGGCGGAATATGTCATAGAAAGAGACAGAGCAGCCGAACACATTGAAAAGATACGAAATAAAAGCAACATCCGTGCACTTGAAAAAGAACTATTGGAATATGAAAAAGAGCTATTGGAAAAAAGATCGCAGCTATGCTCACTCGAAAATGAAAGAGAGAATGCGCTCAAGGCATATAATGATGAAAAGAAGAGGAATGAAGAAAATGAACAGCACAGCTTTAATTAAAAAAACAATTAAGCTATTTAAGGCAGAATGCATTTGACAGCAACAAACAAATGCATCTTGAATGTTTCAAAAAGATTGAAGAAGAGCTTAAGAAGACCAGCTTTAAGGATGCTGTTATAGGCCCAGTTTGCAGATATCTGAAATTAAAAGAATATAAATGGTTTAAAACAGCCAGTATCATATTGAAGAAATCTCTTACAAATTACATTGTATTCAACTCTGAAGATAAAATTAAGCTTCATACTCTATTTAAAAAACTAAATGTAGACTATTCAGTGTCACAGATGTTCAGTAAGAAGCCATATCAGAATCTTAAGACCAACTCGAATTATAAGACACTTCTGGATGTCCTTCAGATAGATAATCAGTTGGTTTCAAATCAGTTGATTACTCTTAACAACATTGAGCAGATAATTCTGATTGAGGATCGTGAAAACGCACACAACATTATTAGGGCGGATCCTAGATATGTAGACTGTGCATATACCCTATCGGGAGATAAGATTAAGCTGTATAATGGATCATTGAGTGATTTTAGGGCCAAAGATGATGGGGTGTATTGGTTTGAAAATAAGGAGAGCAAGATTAAGAAACTCGAATGTGATTTATCAAAGATAGTACTCACGGAAGAAGCCAAAAAAAGATATGCCAGGTTAATGAACGATCTTGGAAAATTAGAATCTAGAACAGATAGTCTGGAGAAAAGAATAAGAAATCTTAGTATTGAACTTGAGTCTTTGAGAGGTCTCAAGGAAAATGATACTGAAAGGTTTGAAAAGAAGTATCATATTCTTTTGAAAAGTATAGTTTCACTTGAAAATAGAAAGAAGCAGATTGATGCCAAGATATCCAGTATTGAAAGCTCGAAGCAACAGACATTAGATAGAAATAAGGAAAGGTGTAATGAACTTCAGAGGAAAAGAGAACATGCATCCTCCAAGATTTGTAAACTTGATTATGAGATTATGGTCTGCGAAAATACCAAATCAGTAACTATAGCCAACAAGAAAGCTATTCAAGACGAGATATCTAAGAATGTTGCTGAACTTGGCGAGGAACCTGGAAATATTAAAAGTATGGCAGAAATAACAAAAGAGAGAAGGAGTATTCGAGAGTTTAAACTTAAGGCGAATGAGATGGGACCGAAGGAGGAGATTGAAGGGGAAATTGCTAAAATGTCCAGGGAAATAGCATACCTTAGCAAGCTCAGGGAGAAATTTGAGAGTATAATTCGGGAGATAGCCAAAGCTTGTAATAAAAGAAGAGCTAGAAGAGATGAAATAAAAGAAAAAGACACAGAAGAGGCGATGCGAATGTTTAAAGAGTATACGATGAGGAGTGGTTATGTTGGAGAAATGGCAATTGATCACGAAAATAAGAGATTAGACCTGAAGATGAAGGTTCATAACTCGTGTATCACAGGATCGAAGAGCACCTTAAGTGGGGGAGAAAGATCATTTGCTGGACTATGCTTTTTATTAAGTATGTGGAAATGCTTTAAGTGTCCGGTAAAAGTTTTAGATGAATTTGATGTGTTTATGGATTCCTTGAATAGGAAAATGGCCATCCACTGTCTTCTTGAGTTTTTCAAAGAGACACAGACACAGGTCATTCTAATAACACCTCTTGACACTTCTGATCTTAACGACTCCGAGTGTGATATAAAAATACTTAAGAAGGTAATAGAAGGATAATACTTCATGGCCAAATCCATACATTTTTTGTTTATTTTATCTATTAGTCAAGGTTTGGCAAATTCTATTACGATGCCACTACAATTAACGTATTTCTGTGTATTATTTCATATATTTTGACTGATTGATCAATTCTATTAAAGCTGTACATGTAGATGAACATGTCCTCTTATCCATAGATGATTTTTATGTGTGCCCTTATATGCATATGTGATAGGTTCATATTATATTGGAACTCTACAACTCAATTTGTTGGCCACAATAATATAAGTACATTAAAGTTCTATTTTGATTGGATCGTAATATTTTATAAAGCTTCAGCTGTTTTTGTCAGATGGTTAATCTAAAACGTGTTTTGAAGGAATATAACTGTAAACTAGATCTAAAAACGATTACAAACCATGGAAAGAAAACGAAGATTGATGAAAGAAAAGAACAGATAGTCTCGTCATTACCTATTTCTGATGCAATAGTTTGGCCTAGGGATTTCCTACCTTACACAAAATACCTGGAAAATCAAACAGAAAGCAATTTAGATAGAATAGAGCGGTGGAGGAATGCACCATTAAAATTAAAAAACAAAAAGTTTGTACAAGCATTAACCCGAATAGACCTTGATCTTATTCGAGCGCTGTCTGCTGATGATTTAATAAGCTTTGATGGTCATTCGGCCTCCAAACCAATACTTCATATCCAAAACAAAAATAAGGCACTAATAGCAATGTTTTCGCTGGAGTTTGAAACAAAAAGACTCTTCAAACTTCTTAAGTATGCACTTATCTACAAAAACTATAACCTTATTCATCTCCTTGTCAGGTCCTTACAAACCAAGAAGCTGTCACAGAGGAGGCTTGAGAGGATTCTGTATTACAAGAAAGTACTGGAAAACGAGGAGGGTGGAATATTTCCACTTGCATGGATGCTTAAAGACTGTGAAGATAGCAATCTGAACATAGACAGCGAGATGGCGTCCCTCAGATTCTGTAAGATTATTGAAAAGTTAAAAGAAATGAAAAATATAGAGACAGACTTTGAGGTAAGCGAGAAGAACAAACAAACATTGTATTCAAAGCTGTGGGATATAGCTAGAAAAAACGATATTGATCTTAACATATCAGAAAAGCGGCATGAATATCTTTATTTAATACTCTAGCGAGCATTCATATCAATGCTGTATATAGGATAAAGAAGCCTGCATGTGAAAATGTCATTTCACCATCAACACAGCGAGGATAGATTCAAGTGCAAAATTATTAAAATAGATTGACTAAAAAATTGGAAAAGAAATGGCCAAGGCCTATTTATTCTTGTGTTTTTTGCTTAAGTGCAATATATTTTTGATCTTTTATTTGATATATGAAAATAATGAACAAATCAGGGTGATGCTTTACAAAATTACTTAATTTATCAACGTCGGATTCTTCATGGAAAAACAACCCCTCTGACTTGTAAGTGTCCTCTAACTTTTTAATGTTCTTAGGATTTACCCCCAATTCTAATACTGCCCCGCTTGGATCAAAAAAGTTCCTAAGCTGAGATATTTTGAAAGCCAATAGCTTTAAACAGCATAGAGCATCCTCCGTTGGGCAATGGCTCTTATTCTGAATCTGATCCCCCAAATATATTTTGCTGAGCTGTGACAGCTTAATTTTGTAGCCGTCGCTGTTCAAAAATAGATATGATGTATCTATGACCTTATCTGTGTAAAAACATAAAGCTTCGAGATCATTTTCTAGGCCATGTCCAAGCAGATAAGTGTTAGTTCCAATGATTGAAAGTAGATCCTCATTCAGTTTTTCCAATGCTATTCCTCCACTTGTATTGTCTTCATTTAATCCAGAATACTGCTCCAAATAATTAGTAACCTTGGCTTTAGGTCTTATAAATTTGTCATATATTATTCTACCGGTATGATCAAGCATAGAAACTCTTCCAACTTGAGTCTCATTCTCGCATTGCATCATTTCACAGTCTATGGCAATTAGAAAATAGGGGCTTGGGATCTTAGGTTTTGAATATGAGTCAAAAATAGAACTGTCAAAATTGGCTTGGCTTTTTATGAACTTTGAATATGAAAACATATGAAGGATGTTGTGTTTCTCTATTAATATAAGGTTTTCAGGTGTTATTACGGAAAGTGTTGAGTCTTTGACATCCACGGACTTTAAAATATTTTTAAACAGATCCTTGGGGGATATCCCTTCATTTAAATGGACTCTTAAATATCCTTGATTCTTTAAGAAAACTTCAAAAGAGCTTAACTGGTTAGGATCAACGCCACTTTCCTTATTTTCCCATCCAGACGTCGAGTAAATACTTGAGTCGTTTTTGATACTGTCTTTCCTTGGAAGTCGCAAGTCTTTTTTAACTAAAATAGTTCCTGTTGAAGAATCCCCTTGCTCAACTTTCAGACTTGAAATGTCCACATTTTGGCTAACATAAACAATAGCTACGCTTTTAGGCTTTGGATTGAGCTGGATGTAGCGGGGCCTCTTTTCATCAATAAAAATGTATTTCAGTACTTTTTGGATGTCGAGTATTTTCATGTACTTTGGTTTTGTAAGCTTAGTCATTTGGGGATTATAAATAATTGAAAATTAGATCAGCCTTTCCGTATTTTGTATGATAAGCATCATCCACTATTCATTCTTCACCAAACATTTTGTAAAATGCCCTTATGTAGTTTTTTACTTTGGCTTTTCCATTGATCGACTGATTGTTTTATTTTTTAGGCTTCAAAGGCTAGAAGCTCTCTACAATGGATATGCAACCCAAAAGAAGGACCAATTTAGAGCGAAGAATAGACATTCCTCTTGCTTTTCAGCTTGTTCTCCTTCTTAGAACCAGAAAGGAAGCCCTGTATCTCTGTACAAGATCTAGTCTGGCATTAAGGATTGCTATTTTATGTGAGCTTTCCGTAGAACATGTTCTAGAATTAAGAAATGGAGTTGTGAAGGTTATAAAGGCTCCTGAAAGGAATATTTCCAAAGATTTTGCACATAAAATATCAGAAATCAGCTTGAATCCTAGGGATCTACTTGAGTATCTGAATGGAGAAAGGGGGAGGTTGGCTGGTGTTGAGAATTTAAGAAAGAAAATCTACAGTGAGATGCAGTCGAAAGGGCTAATAAGAGTATCAAAAGGAGTGATATTCAATAAAATCCGTATTCAAAATGCCGATATATGGCAGAACATCTACGAAAAGATTATTTATGAGGTTCAGAATAGTCGTATAAGTAAAGAGAGCATTATATTGCTGACGTGCCTTAATTATGTTAATACGATGGAGAGTCTTCTTTTACAGTGCAATGAGTCCACGGCTAGTTTAATTGTACAGCAGATGAGTGAGATTAAAAAAAGAATACAGAATAAGCAGTATGCACCTGAAGACAGTTTGATGTATCAATTTTTGAGTTTCATGATAATTTGAATCCGGGGAATGTCTCCTTTGAAGAAACTGGTCATGCACATTTTAAAGCAAGACCAAAGCAAAAATAATCTGCTAGCAAATAGGTTTTCATTTTAATATTAATTCAACTGTTAAAAACTTTATACTTCCGTATGGTGCCAAGTTTATTGAGAAGGTAATAGACTATTTATTTAAATGATATAATGTACTAATAAATTATTGTCCTAGTGTGTTTAAATTAATATAAGCTTTTGAGCGGTTCTTTGGTCTTTGTCTTTTCTGAGTCGGCAGTTCATTTTGTCTGTTTTGTTTCATTCTGTCTATCCCTCCCCACATTAATTTTAATGGAACAAAAGTTTCTGACAATTGATGACTTCGAACTTGGAAAGCCTTTGGGAACAGGAAGATTTGGACAGGTCTGGCTTGCTAGACACAAAGAAAAGAAATACGTGGTAGCACTGAAAATGATCAGAATGTCAGATATAAAGAATGACTCAGATGTAAAGAACTTAAGAAGAGAGGTGGAGGTTAGTCTTTCCCTAGACCATCCTAACATACTAAAGATGTATGGATACTTTTATGACAGTCTTAGGCTCTACCTTATCCTAGAATTTGCTGGAAAGGGGGATGTTTGGAAGCAGCTCCGCAAATCCACTCATTTTTCAGAACCACAAGCATCTTCATACATCAAGCAGGTGTGTTCGGCCCTGCAGTACATGCACTTAAGGAACATAATACACAGAGATATAAAACCAGAGAATATTCTTATTGGATGTGATGACAATCTAAAGCTAGCTGATTTTGGATGGAGCGTGTGCAACAATGATAAGAAGAGGAACACTTTCTGCGGAACAGCAGAGTATCTTCCACCTGAGATGTGCAAGGAGGACATATACGACTTCAATGCTGATATTTGGTGTTTGGGAATACTTTGCTATGAGTTTTGTACCGGTACTACTCCTTTTTCAGGCAAAAATAATCTTAGAGCAACCAAGCAAAAAATACTGACAGGAGAGCTTGAATTTCCACCATATTTAAGCGACGAATGTATCGATTTTATTTCAAAATGCTGTCATAAAGATCCAAAGCAGAGAATTTCATTGGAAAAGGCTTTGAGCCACAGCTTTATTACAAAGTATACAAGCCTCACATAAATTAAGATCACTCAATACGTTACGGCGTGATACTAGTGCTGTCTATAAGCCTCTGTTGTATACTTAAAAATAAACTGTCTATTAACCGATCTTTTATTTTATGGGCATTGCCACTGTTTTTAAATTTGAGTATTACTCTTAAACAATCATTTTATTACATTAATAATAGAATAGTAAACAATTTCTTTTTTATTTGTTTTTAATTTTACCAAGAGGGATGGAAATGCTAAAAAGCATACTTTTCACTCTTTCTTCCTTTATCCTTTTCCTATGCGTATCGCTCTTTATCGAAATATCCTCTCTTCCCTCCTTGAAAGATACGTTGACATTGATCTTCAATATTCCATATTTTTGGTCCTTGTTTCTTATTCTTACCTTAATAATACCTTCCCCAATGCTAGTGGTTGTTTATATCCTATTTACCTTTAAAAAGTTCATATTCAACCATTCCAAAAACATATTCAATTCTTTTAATAGAGCCTTGTATATTCTTGCCATTTCCTATTGTGTTGTGTCAATACTCTCAATCCTCTCCTTTATAATAGATTTAGCATTCAAAATAGAGTATTATTTTATTGTGAGAATGTCAAATGCTATTCCAGACAACGGATATGTGCATATATTTGCACTAAACGTCATCATGGCTCTTCTTGGACAGTCCACCACATTTTCCATGGCCTTTTTAATAACCGAGATGATACTAACATACAAATTCAAGGTAGTATCAATGACCGTTAGGAATTTCATACTCAAAAACTACCGGGTGATCTTGGCAGTTGTCGGTGTTTCGCTTATTAATGTATCCGTTATGTGTAAAATTGAGGATGAATACAGCAAGAGATACTTAGCAAACCACTACCCAAAAAGTTTTGGTGTGGCAGATAGACTTGCAGAAGGTAGCTTGATAACGATAGTACTGATGTACTTGTATGCATTGCTAACTGTTCATGAAAACTAGACATCTTATGTAATAAATATGACAGATAGACAGTAATTTTATATTATAATATTTTGTGAGCTAATGCTAAGGTTTTTCAACTATTTATACTGAACTTGTCTTGATTTATTTATTAACTTATATTTCTGTTTATTTATCCATCCATGGAAAACTACGTGCCAAGAATCAAGTCGATCGACTATGTCCTGAAAACAATAAAGGAGACGTCAGTATACAAAAGGGGGTTGTCGTCAGTAGAGCTGAAAACAGACAGCGGGGGGAAATGCCCTAAAGAGCTATTCAGCAGCCTTTCTACTATTGAGAAAGGAATTTTAAGGAAGAAATGTATAGAATATTTGAGCCAGCATAAAAATGGATTTTTTATGCAAATGTTGTGCATTTCAAAAGAAGCCGGGACCCAGAAAAAAATGCATGAATCACTATTTGAATTGATTGTAGCTATCGAGAGTAAGTGCTTGGACAAACCAGGAATATTTAGAAGGGAGGGAGATAAGGAAGCCTACAAAACTCTTGTTGAAAAGATGACAAGCGGTCAAAAAGTAGACTTTTCAGAGTATGATGCGCTGATTCTAGGGTCAGCCCTTAAGTCGTATATTAGAGACTATTTAGATGGATTCTTTGATCCAGTTCATCTGGAGGCTATCGTTAGTAAGGTTATGGGCTATAAGAATAAAGATACATTAAAGCTCTGCAAATATTTAGTATTCTCGCTGAGTCCACAAAGACGTAGATGCCTCCTGGCCATCAGGAATCTATTCAATAAAATTGAAGAAAACAAAGAAATAACAAAGATGAGCTATGAAAGCCTGTGCAACATTTTTCTGTCTTACAATGACACCACAAAATATCTTTAAGAGTCCGGAGGTCGTCACAGTGCTTGCCATTCTATTTAAAATTATAATGAAGTGTGACATGGATGATATTTCTGAGTTTAAAGCGATGATTTCATACAAATAAGAATAAAGTGTACTATCATATACTTTTAATTGGGAATCCCTATTAACACATATAACAATCATTTCTAACACAAAGTTTTATAAACCAGCTCCGGCCGTCCTATCTTTTTCATCAAATTATGTTTTAATTTCCGTCAAAGCCATCAATCTTATTAAGCTATTTTAAATCGGTCTAATAATATTCAATGCAGTAGCCTATTTAATGTCATGTGGATTCGTTACGATGACTTGGTTTTGTACATTCTGATCAAAGTAATATTATCCCATTGATATATTTTGACTTCTGATCAATGAACTTGAATTTTAAAATCAAAAGCTACACAAACACCATATAAAATGCCAACGACTATGTGTTTTATGCATTCCTTATGATTGGATGTCTCTGGACTTCAAAATAACTATTTTTAACACTACTCCTTTTTGTTATCTTTCAATGCGTGCTGACTTACCTGCCATTTTCTGGAATTTTCTAGTATTTTCTAGAATAAAAAATAAATAAAACACACAGAACAATATCCCCCATGGTTAGGCGTGAAAATAGAAGTATAGAAAACACCAACACTCAAGGAAATGGTCAGAGTGACGCATTTGCTGAGTTCTTTGAGGCATTTATGGACGCACCTCCCACCTTCACATTCTACATTTCAATCGGCACTCCAACGGTAGATATCTCAGTAATTAGTCCCATGGAAATTCCAATATTCGTAAATAGGAGAAGTGCCCAGACTGAGACCAGTAGGAATACTGCTGCAGGTACACCATCACAATTCTTCAGTTATATACAGGAGCTCATAGACAGTATCCGACGAAGAGAAAGGATCAAAAAGGAGCTGATTAGAAACAAGCCATATGTATTTACAAAAGACATGGAAACAAAGGACTGCACAGTCTGCTTATCGGAATTTAAACACAAGCAACGTATTAGAAGATTGGATTGTGACCACGAGTTTCATAAAAAATGTATCGACAAGTGGTTATTGCAGGGCAACTCCTGCTGTCCTCTGTGCAGAAAGGAGCCTTTTTTGAAGAAGTATAAGGAAAAATAGAGATGTGCCAATGCCAACAGATGTGAATAAAGCTTTTAATCTTTAGTTAATGTTCGCTTGAAAGAGTGGTATTGTTTGGAATGGCTAAGGTGTAAATTTAGTTCTAAATTATTATCTAAAGCAGTGTCTAAGATTAGTAAAGTGGGGTGTTAATAGCACCTGGGTGTTTAGTAGGCTTATACACTAATGTTGCCGTTATATTTATTAAAGTGTGGCAAACTATTTTAATAAACAAGCCCCTTCGCTTTCAAGAATAATGTTGTATAGCAAACATAATGCATCTTAACCACCCTTTTCTCTCCAAAAATAAACAAATAACACTTTTTGTTCTGAATTTTTTTAGCCCTCATGAAAATTAAATTCCTTTCAAAAGAATACAGTATAAAATTGGACGATCTTAGTGCTGCAAACATTGGTGGTTAAAAGATAAGATCAAGGAGGTGGTCGCAGAGTGTTCCTCAAAACAGAACGATAAAATTTTGCTGTTTCACAACAAGGTAAAGCTCCCTGAGGATGCCACTATTTCGCTCTCGGATGAAAAATTCAAAATAAATGATGAGAGTACAATTTTTGTTGTAGTAGTTCCTGGACAGGCAGCTAAGCAGGAAGAGAAGAAATCTGAACAGCAGAGTAAGTCTGCAGTACCACCTCCTTCTTACCAGGCTCAGCAACAGTTTCAAAGTGCACCTCCCATGTTTCCATTCCCTCCGATGAGATCTCCTAACATGGATGGGGGGCAGGATACGAACTTCCAGGCTAAGTTTATTGAACAAATGCTGGAAAATCCAGACGGAATTATGCAAGCCATGGAACTTCAGTTTCCCAATATGAATGAAGAACAAAAGAATATGATACGCCAGCATATTGAGCTAATGAAAAATAACCCTAGAGCTGCTCAGTCAGGTACTTAACAATCCAATGGTAATGAATTCAATGAGAAACCCTTACATGGGAGGTGCACCACCCATGATGGGCAGTCCTATGATGTACAATAATCCCTATGCGCCGGGAATGTACTATCCCTGGATGGGTGGCATGTCACCTGGAATGCATCCTATGGACCAACCACCTTCTGAAGGACCATGTTCACATGGGTTCTACCCTCCCAAATATGTGCAAGGAACACCTGAGCCTCAGGACGCAAGAGATGTATGGACCAAGCAGCTTGCTGACCTGAATGAAATGGGGTTTGATGATGAGCAAGAAAATATTAAGGCCTTGAGAAGGGCCAAAGGAAATGTTTCCAAGGCAGTTGAGTACTTGGCTGAAAATAAGGATAAAAGGTGAAAATAAACCATTTGAAAGGTAGTTTATTTATCTATTTGCTTTTGAATATTTTTGTTGAGATACTGTGATTTTTAAATTAGGTCTCATTACAAGCACCCAAATGCTTTTGCATGCAATAAAGCTCAGGTGTTTAGTTCAAAGACTAATGGCATCTTTGGTTTTTTCTTTCAATTACACATTTCTGATTCTCTCCTTCTGGTGAGGATTTCTTTGAATAAATTCAGCTTGTGCGTATCGAAAATGGCATTAGTTCGTGTTATGACAGTTGATATTAATGTCCCTATTACAATTTTAATCTTCAGTTTTTGCATTCATTGGATTCAAAGCTTAGTACTAAGGACCAGGTAGAATAATGCCAATAATGTTAGATTATATAGACTTTGTTTAGACAATATTGACTTTGTGTGTTAAATATAGATTGGTCTTTCAATAATACATGAATGATGGACATGTCTCTGATGTGTTGATTCTGCTGATTTCTTCAACTGCATTCCAAATATCATCGCTACTAATGTTAATCTCATACTTAAGACAGTTTAAAACCAGCCCTTCAAGATAGTTGATTTTTTTTACATCCATATCCTCGTTTATAAAATTAATATTTGAGACATGGCTGTCGTACTGTGACTTTGAGGCTGTGATGCAGCAAGCTAAATAGATCTGAGGAATATCAACGGACAATTCAAGTGGAGTGCTGTTTGTCAGTCTTAAGATTAGGATGTAGCCAAGAAGAAGTGTCTTTGGGAGAAAAGAGATCATGGATTTAAGCTTGCTAATCCATATGGCAGTGTGCCTACATCCAATCAGCTTGAAAATGAGAGCATTGAATATCATCTCGGTACAGACGAAGCTACTGAAGAAGTCTTCCAAACTATGATAGTAGCGGTGTCTCAATTTTAAGATGAATGTGTCGTCATAGCCAACACTCGGTGGGGTTTCCACAGAACACATAGCCCTGTCGGTATAATAACACGGCAGTTCATCATTTTTATTTGATAAATATGAGCCTTGAAAGGATTGAAAGTCGTGATTGAAAGCATGTGAATTTTGATTTTGAAAAAACTTCTCTGATTGAATCTCCTTATATGGCGTATGTGCATCCTTGGACAAAGCTGGATTTGGAGAGTAGAAATAACCGAATGGGCAGTGCTGGAACGAGGGTTTTCTAGTATCTGTGTTGAATTTACCAGCATAAGTGCCGCTACGGAGAGATAAGGCGATGGCAGTTTCACTATCCATTCTTATCTGATGGTAATATCCCTCTGTGCTAGCACAGTCAAGATCTTTTTTGTGCTGTGTTCGGTTTGGGGTTGTTTGATAACTGATATTCACCTTACTGTGTGAACTACCTTCTGTGCTGTAACGCCCCTGCGAGTTGTAGGTATATTGTACTGCAACAAGTCTTTCTGATAAATTTGTACATGCAAGTGCTCCGTTATGCATTAGTTGGGTTGGTGAGATTTACAATTTTTTACACCTCATCAAAATTTTTAAAATTTTGATTACCTCAAATTTTATTTTTAAAATTATGTTTATTTAGCAGATAGCATGTGCAGACGAACAGTTCTATTTTCTCCAGCATTTTCTTTCTGGCATTATCTTCAGCTTGGTCTGTCTTTATTTACTTTATAAGCAGTCACCATTTCAGATCAAATTAAAAATACAAGATAATAATTGAAAAACAAAATTTTAAATTTATAGACAATGGCACTTCGAGGATACATGCACAAAAGCTCTGTGCGCTATTTTAATAAGTGAATTGATTCGCTTCGTTTGTTCTTAGACCGTTTATTTACTGTTTCTTTGCTTTTGTTTACCAAACAAAAACAAAAGTTATGTATTGTAAAAATTTTCAAGAAAGTTGAAAATTAGGAAATAAACAGAAGATCAGAAAATATTAAACAACCATGGCTGATTTTAGTGTAGAAATTATAGATTAGCATTGGCTGTGCTGATATAGGTGGGAACAAAAACAAAAGAAAGTACAGTAAAATGTAATGTTTAAATATGACCCTAATTGGGCCTTGCAAAGGAAACTTTCATAATAGCATCGATTAGAGGTCCGAACTGAAGGCGATTTAATTCTTTTGTAATTAGCCTTATCATCTGTCATGTGAAATCAAATTAATCAAACTTAAACATGGATAATTTTTACATTTGCTGGATCTGCCATGTCCTGTGATTTTCATTATGTTTTATTGTTGTAATGCTTTGCACTGATCTTTTCAGCAAATAAAAGACAATTAAATGAAACAGGAAAGATCTGAAAATTTTCAGGATACTGTCAAATAACGAATAGTGTTTGTGATAAACAAAGCAATTAAAAAATGCTGCGTGATGATACAGACATCCAAAAAAGCATAGTTTAATACAGCTAAAATCACATTTGTCTGTAAATCAGGTACGCACATTTTTTGAACAAATACTACTTTATTTTAGTGAAAACTTGCATGCCTGTGAGTATCTTGACAGTGAAAGTGATATTTAAATGATAGAAATTGATAATCACTATTTTTATTGAGAGATATTTGACACGAGTATCTTTACTGATCTATAATTAATCAGTAAACTAAAAGTTTCCCTTCTAATCTAAACTACTTACCAAACAAAATTAAAAGAACAAGCTGGATGGAAAATACAAACTGTAACATCAAATGAAAAATGTGATGCTGCACTTTTCACCTACCAACAAATACTATGAAGGGGGTTAACATCAAGCGCAGTAATATATTGATTGATGCTGATTTGCTTGGGGGATTTATTCTCTTTTAACATAAATTGGCATTCGGGCTACATTAATATTAAGATATTAATAATATAAAATCAACTATACCGATAAACTTCATGTACAACGCAATAATACTTGAGTATGAAACGTGTTTAAGGTAATAGCTTGGCCGTTTTATTGTGCCAAATTTCATTTTCTAGAATTTTCTAGAACATTCTAGAACACATTCTAATTTATTTACCGAAGTCGCGGTTGCATCCATGGCAAAAAAATATACAGAGAGAGCGCGAGAGGCACTTGAACGCGCAATAGAAATTGCCCAATCAAACATGAATACTGTTGTGGAACCAGAACATCTTCTACTGGCTATACTGGAAGATAAGTCAATCATGAACAGGGTTATATCATCTGAAGAAATTATTCAAATCAAAACCAAGTTAAATTCAAAAATCGCTGGATTTGGTCGTATAACTACTTCTTCTCAACCTCAGATGTCTTATCCCCTTGGATCTGTGCTTAGGAAGGCTGAAACTTCTGCTATAGATTTTGTATCTGTTCCATTACTTGCTCTTAATCTTCTTGGCTTGTCTAGAATTGCTGAGTTATTCAAGGATCCTAACCGGATTATAACAGCGATCACACAAGAAATGTCGGATAACAAGTTTAATTCTCTGAATAGCGATGATCCAGAAGATAAAATGAGCAAATTTGCAGTTGAGATTGTTGAGCTTGCAAGACAGAACAAACTTGATCCGGTTGTGGGTAGAGATGACGAGATTAGACAGATTATTGAAGTCTTATCCAAAAAGACTAAAAGTAATGCGATTATGGTGGGTAAGCCTGGTGTAGGTAAGACGGCTATAATCAATGGTATTGCTCAGCTAATAGCAAAGGGCGAATGTAAAGTATTAGAAGGGTTTAAAATATATAATGTGGACGTAGGAGCAATGGTAGCTGGTGCTTCTCATAGAGGAGATTTTGAAGAAAGGCTAAAAGGACTAGTGAAAGAAGCAGAGTCGAGTAGGAAGGTTATTCTTTTTATAGATGAAATACATATTGTATTAGGTGCTGGAAAAGCGGAGGGATCGCTGGATGCTGCCAATATTCTGAAACCTAGGCTTGCAGATGGTTCTTTGAAGGTTATTGGCGCTACCACCTATGACGAATACAGAATGTATGTATCTAAAGATCCTGCATTTGAGAGAAGGTTTGTTAAGATAAATGTTAAAGAGCCATCGATTGAGGACACTATCACTATATTAAGAGGATTAAGAGAACGATTAGAAGCGCATCATGGTGTGAAGATATCAGACAAGGCACTTGTATATGCTGCATCAATTGGTAAAAAGTATATTCCAAATAGACGACTTCCAGACCTTGCTATTGATCTGATTGATACAGCATGCTCTTCAGCAATTATCAACTTGAACAGTGAGCCTATTGAAATTCAGCAGTTAAGGAATAAAATATGGAGTCTTGAGCTTGAAAAGACTAGTATTGAGGTTGACCTGAAGAGGGATCCAACAGTGATTGATAGCCTCAAGACAGTAGAAAAGAGAATTGAAGATGTCAAAGCCGAACTTAATCCGATAGAAGACGCATACAACCAAGAGAAGAGTTATCTAGTAGAAGCTAAGAATATTAGAAAAAAGCTAGAAGAAGCCAAGAACGAAATCGAAAAGGCTAAAAGAGAAAATAATAGGTATAAGGTCTATGACCTACAGACTAATGTGATTCCAACCTACGAGAGACAACTAGAGCAATTGGCAAATGTTGAAGTAATCATGCCACAGCATGTAGCCGAGGTTTTATCAAGATTGAGTGGGATTCCAATGTCTCGCCTGACAACTAAGGAAAGTGAAAAGTTAATTAATATGTCTGATAAGATCAAGAAAAGAATATTTGGACAGAACGAGGCTATTGACATGGTTGTTAATAGCATTCTAGCATCTAAGGTTGGATTAAGCAGAGATAATAAGCCGCTTGCATCTTTTCTCTTCCTAGGCCCGACAGGTGTGGGCAAGACGGAACTTTCAAAGACGATCTGTGAAGAACTGAATGATACCTGTGAAAACATGGTTGTTTTGGATATGTCTGACTATGTTAGTGAAATGAGCATTAATAAGTTGATAGGCGCACCTGCTGGCTATGTTGGATGTGAAGAGGGCGGTACTCTGACAGAGCCAATTAAAGAGATGCCGTATAATGTTGTTCTTCTTGATGAAGTTGATCTTGCTCACCAAAGTAATTTAAACGTGCTCTATCAGCTGTTGGATGAAGGACGTGTTACCGATGGCAGAGGTGTGAAGGTCAGCTTTAGAAATACAGTGATTGTCATGACATCTAACCTTGGACAACAGTACATTTCTTCCAACCACATTGACAAAAAGAAGATTGAGGAGTTAATAATTGCTCGTTTTGGACAGCCATTGATCAATCGTATTGATAATATCGTGATTTTTAACCACTTATCTGAAGATGCAATGTGTGAGATATTCAAAAAGGACATTGAAGAGCTCAACAAGAAACTGCATGACAAGAACATGAAATTCAAGGTATCTGAGGCTGTAATGGGCCATGCTGTTATGACATGTACAAACTCCAATTTTGGAGCCAGGATCATAAAAAGATATATCAAGGACAATTTTATAAATGCTATTACAAGGATTATTCTGTCGAGGAAGAATGACAGTCCTATTGAGGTTTCATGTTTCTTAAATGAAGAAGGTGTTGATGGAATCGAGCATGGAAACTATACGTATGTGATTAGCTAATAAATTGACTCTTTATCTTTCTTTAATGTAATGTTCTTAAAAACTGGATTTTAATGTTAATTGCAATTTATTTTTATCAGGCAAGAATTAATTAAAAACAGTTGCTGTGGATGCTTGCTATTTATTAAAAACATCGTTGGTTCTGATCAGAGTCCTCAGTATTATACTCAATAATGATCTAATTGCCAACACTATATCATCAATCGAAACAAGGTATCAAGAACATTGAAATTTAACAATGAAAGAGCCAACACAAAGTCCATCGATATGTAATGTGAGACAGGATATGATGTCCCGACATCAAGCTCTGCGACTCTTCTATGGACAAATACCCAGTTGATCAAATAAAACAGTTGAATCCCAAAGACCCCACAAATAAACGTCCAATTTTTCAATACAAATCTCTTTAAATTTCTGTGATGTGAGAACCTGAAAATTGTATGAATAGTAATAGCTAATATAATATTAAAGAACAAGATGATTATTTGTGCGTACAGCACCAGAACCAGGTTAATAAAGAACATGTTTGAAGAGGCGTTCTGTGGAAATGCACTGGCAAATCTCAAAAAAGTATATAAAACGATATCATTAATATAGAGACGGTGGCAGACCAGAAACTCTACAACAAAGCAGTTCAGAACTTCGTTAAAGTATATTGCAATGCATATATTAAAGAATCTGCCTATATTTACTGGTTCTATGATGTGATGTTTCAAGTACCAAAGAACAATAAAAAGAAAGAAGAGTGCAGGAGTAAAAACAAAAGAGAAAAATAGCCAAGAATAAAAGCCAAGCAGATTCATGTCGGTGCTGTAAAGATATTTAAAGGATTGGAAAGGAGTGGGCAGGCAAAGAATTTCGTCTTTTAGCATTAGTGGGAAGAGAAACAAAAAGAAAAGTTTCAAGTAAATTGGATGTACTTGCATAGAAGCAGGGGTAGAGGAATAGCAAATTGAAAGGCAGCCTTTCGTGTCATACTCCTAAATGACTGTTGATCAGATGGGGTTTTGTTGCTATGCAGTTTATCCTTCAACCAGCATCTCCTCATTTTAAATAAAAATAACAGTACAACGTTAAAACTTTTAATACTTTTACACTTTATTATAGTCTGCAATCTTTACGGATGGGTGTTCGTGGTTTTACTTTCTTCCTCCACAGAAACCTTAGCACATCAACAGCTATCTTCTCAAGTGCGTTTCTCTTTTCTTCCTCCATAACCATCTTTTGAAAATCTCTCTGAATATTGTACTTTGTATAGAATTCGGAGTCGTTTTTTATATTTTCTTGGACAAATTTATCGTCTTTTAGCTCGGGAAAAAGATTCAGGGCTTCATTCAGCTGTTGGAAAAATGGAATGTCCATCAGCGAGTATGTCGCAAAGATGGGTCTATAATACGATATCACATGATATGTCGTGTCCTCAAGCCGTATTGATATGGTTTTCTTATGAAGTGTTGTCCTATCAACAATATCCTCTTTACGTACAAGATTAACATTATACGGAGACTCGCCTACCCTTCTTTTCTTAATAGAGTTCTTACTCAGGTGCCTGGGCACCTCCTGGTACACTAGAAATTCTCCGCATATTTTCGATGGTGACCATATTCTTCCGTCTGTCCACCTTTTCATCCCATTTGCATTTTCGATAAAACAGAAAATATCTCCGCTTTCAATACGGCATCGCTCCTCCGGCTTAAGCCTTTCCATCATTGTTGGAAAACATCCCAACCTTATTGCATGAACCATCAGCACTGCTTCCTCATAATTGTTAATATATCCGGTAATATTTCTCATTTTTAGGGTTTGAAGGCTGATTAGTATTAAACTCGAAATATCAGAAAATAGAACAAAGTAGAATGTGATTTTGTTTCAAAATACATGTTTTAAAGTTTAAATAAATAAAAATGCTAAAAAATGCTATTCTGTTGAGTATTTTTACGATCAAATTTAGAATCATATTTGTTTTGATATACTGATAAACAAATAATATAGCAATATGACATTAAAAAAGCAGTAAATATAATAAATAAAAATGTCGACTCATATCAATGTTTTACAAAAATGAATATTAGATATATGAAAACTTAATATGTGATATGGCTGATCTACGTTTAAAAATGAGCCAATTCTGATTTTTTGTGTCAAAGAAGTGATGTGATAGACAGAATGAAATTTGCATTTTCTAAAGCATATCAATTTAAGCTAAATTTTTACTTTTAAGCTCTTTTGAACGTTTAAAAATTAAAATAGAGTGAAAGCCCTAAGCAAAAGAAATACACGTGTGCTATGGGCCTGGCATATTATCAGAACTGTAGTTCGCGGACTTCAATTTCCGTCCTAATTTATCAAGGATGAGCAGATGGCGATGCTGGTCTTCCATCTATGGTTTGATACAGCTTTGCTTAAGTTCACAGCTTAACTTGAAGTTTATTCCGTACTGTCATACTTTAAAAATTTTAAAATGAAGAATGACAAGAATCGCACGGACCATTGAGGCGCCTTGCTTTGGCGATTTGTGCGCTGTTTACACACAGATAGGGAGCAAACAATGCTTACTCATGGAGCTGTGAGTTTGTTTTCCAGACAAGTTGATCAAACTAAAGAAACGGGAATTTAATTTTTGATATTTTCGTGTTGGAATTCCAAATATTGATCGCTTGATCACTTGAAACAGGAAAATATTAAATCTCAATGGCTGTACAGACTAGACAAAAAATATGCACTATTTTCAATAAAATACACACCCATAAAACTTGGCTTTGGCTTGCCATTTAGCTTTGTTGTACATGTTCTATTTTAATTATTCACTATTAATAGTGTTTTCGTGCCAGAAAATGAAATAGATTTGGAAAAATAATTGATGGAAAATTAAAAATAGATTGGCATACTTGCTTTATTCCCCAAAGAAATACTCATAAACCTTTTTAAATAGCCCCTTCTTCTTTACATAAATGTCCCCGTCGTCCACAGCTCCGTAGCTTTTTCTATATGCACCAACAATCTCCCCGTTTATCATTTTGTGGTTGAGCTTAAGAAGCGCGTCAAGAGAGGCTATATCATCGGTCCACACGTTAATGTAATTTTTTCCTTCCTCTTTCCTGAAAATCTTCGTTGTTTTTTCTACTTGCTCCAGGATATTCTGCCTGTTCTGTTGGGAAAACCCGAAGATTGTGACATGCTTCTTCATCGGAGTGTGCTGTGTTTGGATAGGAATGTCGTACAGTGTGTTCTGTGGTATAACTGGCTCTTGATTCTCAACAGTCACAAATTCTTGGTTTTTATCGAAAAGACTTGGATGGTATTTCTCTTGCTTATTCATTGCGACCCAAGGCGTGTTTTGGACGTGCAAAAAAGACGGCGTAACCAGAAGATCAGCCATCCCGTTTTAATCGTACAAAGTAGAGTAGACTCACAGATGTTATATCATTACGATGGCCTTAAGCAAGTAACGATTAAGTGTGTTGGTTTATTGGCTAGCAAATTTAATCAAATTAACTTTCAAGTATGCTATTAGTTTGGTATCAATCCTGTTAAATAATACAAAATATTATTCTCATCTGCTCTGAATGCCTCAATGACTAGATGATGCAACTTCCCCACAAGTTCAGATTCGTCAGCCTTAAATTTTAATAAGGGATTATCATCGTGCTTATCGCTAAAAAAATTTTCATAGACAAACACTTCTAGCTGTTCGTCCAACACAATCGCAAATGATCCCTGTTTTTTGTTCTCACCATTCTCGACATAGTCAACGACACATTCAAGATCAACGATCCTTGTTATAACACTGTTCACAATGAACTTCTTCGATTCGTTCAGGACAATGCTTTGCTTGATAAGATCAGAAAGGGCTACAAAAACCGGCTTCATAAATAGATTTATAGATATTTCTCTGCTTTTGTCATCCTCCTTTCTGACCAATTCTTTATGAAAATAGTCAGTTATATCTGTTAAACTATTAAAGCTATCTGGTAAAAATCCAATAGCACCGAAAATTTCAGATGCTGAATTTTCGTCCAATTTAGTCTTTTTTGGTACATCGCTATCAGATATACCCTCTTTTTTTAATATTTGTTTGGGCTTGATTTCAAATTGTGTATAAATTGTACTAACATAAAATTCGAACCCAGCCCTTTCCATTTTTCTAAGCTCCGCTATCACTATGTGAATTCCTACATTGATTTTATAAAACTCAGTATCGGAGTTATAGAACAGAACAACCTTCTTTCCGCTAACATGCATCAAAACATACTCCATCAATGTATCATTACAGTTGTATCTCATCAGTACACTGAGATACTCAATTTTACCTTCAACTGTTTCGAAAATAGACCTGCTGATGCTTTTTTTATTAAATTTGATTTTAACTAATTCCTTGGCAGTTATTTCCTCAACATCAAAGTATACTGACTCTGTAAAGGTGTTGATGTCAATCTTATCAAATGCCGACCACTTCTTTTTTTTCCTGTATTCCTTTACCATTATTATATCTCCTACCTTGAGACTGCTGTACTGCTTCAGACTTTCAATCCAAAAAACTATCTTAACCATAACATCGCCAGAAGACACAATCGCAAAGAAAAATGGATTGAAGGATGTTGGATATGTACTAATTCGTGTTTTTTGGATAATTTTAGCAATAAACATGCCAGAAAGAGGTAGCTTGATGTTTGAGGCATGCAGCTCTCCAACTTTATATTTTCCAGTAAATATTCCATCGTCATTCCTTTCTGCTTGTGCTTCCATTTCCTCAACGGCAAGAAGGTTGTAGGGTAGAATGTCACACAGATATGGCAAAAAGTGTACATTTGGGTTGATGAAGGGCTTGATTTCATGCTTAATATCAGAATAGAAAAAGCTTGTCTCAGATTCTTCTTCACTTTCTAAAATATTTCCTGAATTGCCAGATAATGTGCTGTCATCCAAGACATCAAATATTACCCCATCAGCTGTTATCTCTTTTATCTGTATTTTATCTCCAATGTATATCATTCCTTTTGAGACTCTCTCTGATATACTTTTATCTATTTTGTAGTACTCTTTGGAATGCCCCATCAGTGAAACAATAAACGAAGGTTGCGTCTCATTTGTCCTGAATATGTTTAAAACTATATATGTTTGCATTTTGGGGTTCATCTTCTTCTGAAAAGTTAGTTAGTTTTCAGCTCAAAGTTTTGAAGAATTCAAAAATTTAAAGGATTGCCAGAAGAGCATATGGCAATTCCATTTGTAAATAGGGCTCTGTATTTGTGCTACGTAGATTTCCAATATAGCTGTTTCCTAAAATGTGCATACCTTTTAAAAAATTAAAACTAAAGTTATCTTGCTGAACTGCACAGCTGAACATCCAAGAATGTAAGCACGATATATTTTGTCAGTCAACATTAGCTTTTAAATAGACAACATATTGATTTTTAATTTCTTTACTTCTAGCCCTAATGGGTGAAAACCAAGTCTACGAAGAATACTATAAAGCAATTGTGAACCATGAAGCAGTTATTGAAACACTAAAGAACGAAAGGGTCATTCTTAAGCAGACAACAAAGCAGTTTGAGAAGAGCGAGAATGACATGAAAGCACTTCAGACAGTAGGACAGAACATAGGAGAGATTTTAAAAAAGATAGATGATGAAAAATTCATAGTTAAGACCTCGCATGGCCCAAGATATGTTGTAGGATGTGCCAAGCATATAGATCGGTCGTTGCTCAAACTTGGGACAAGAGTTTCTCTCGATGTAACAACACTTACAATAACACTTATTCTTCCAAGAGAGGTGGATCCAATGATTCAGAGCATGGCTGAAGAAAGGCCTAAGGATGTGGATTTCAACTCTATTGGAGGTCTAAATGAACAAATCAGAGAAATACGGGAAGTTATTGAACTTCCTATTAAAAATCCTGAGATTTTCAAACGAGTTGGAATTAAGCCCCCCAAAGGCGTATTACTTTATGGACCACCAGGAACCGGAAAGACACTCATTGCACGGGCAGTAGCTTCTACTATGGATGTTACCTTTTTGCGAGTGGTGTGTTCTGCACTCATTGAGAAGTATATTGGAGAATCTTCAAGAATGATAAGAGAAATGTTTGCTTATGCTAAGAGTAAGGCGCCCTGTATAATATTTATGGATGAGGTGGATGCGATTGGAGGAAAGAGATCGGACGAGTCTAATTCCAGTGATAGAGAAGTCCAAAGAACACTGATGGAGTTATTAAATCAGATGGACGGTTTTGCAGATCTTGACGATGTAAAAATAATAATGGCAACTAATAGACCTGATATTCTCGATCCAGCACTTTTAAGGCCAGGCCGACTTGATCGAAAAATTGAAATACCCCTACCCAATGAGAAAGGTAGAAAGGAAATTCTGAGCATTCATTCTCAAAGCATGCAAAAGGGAGATGAGATTGATTTTGACAATCTGGTGAAATTGACTGTTGGGTTCAACGGTGCAGATCTAAGAAACGTATGCACTGAGGCAGGCATGATAGCACTGAGAGAAGAGAGAGACTATGTGATGCATGAGGATTTTGTAAAGAGTGCACGAAAGCTGAGTGAGGCTAAAAAACTGGAAAGCAGGCTTGACTATAAGAAAAATTAGAAGATTAAAATTTTCAAAATGTTATACGATCTAAATTTAAGCGGGTTTTGTGCCCACAAACATGCATATGTATTGTATTCACTAGCATTGGCGATGGGCCCAGTGTTATTTTAATTATGTTTGACTGAATATTTCTCAGACCCTCTTAAATGAAAGCTAAAATAAAAGTTGACAAAGTCCATCTAAAATACGGATGGAGATGGAAAATAGATGAAGAAACGTGTTTGATATGCCAGCAAGAATTTAATAGTATTTGTCACAAGTGTGTTCATCCAATTCAATGTGTTCCTTGTGTGGGTGCCTGCTCACATGTATTCCACCTGCATTGTGTTGAGGAATGGCTGCAGAACAACAAAAACTGCCCAATGTGCAGATGCCCCTGGGAATTCAGCAAAGTATTGAAATTTGATAGCAATTCCGGAATGTAAGCACCATGTCAAATAAATTAATATTAATACAAGATAGCACTAAGGAATCACATAAACACAATCGCTATTTATTTAGCCACTATGTTAGCATTTTTTGCTAAACAAGGCTTTTGAGTCAACATTCAAAAATAATCTTTGTATCTGATTAGCATAAAGTCAAGAAGGTAAATCGTATAGTCAAGAACAATTCCCTCAACTTCTTTGTCTTTAATATAGGTATTGACGTTCTTCTGGATAAAGTATATTAGCCTTAAAAGATGCACTGGTCCACAATACTCGGTCGGCTCGCCTTTGAGAGAACTGATTTGATCTTTCTCGATTGAATACATAAGAAATTTTTTGAAGAAGCTGTTGAAACACATTGCAAATCCCTTTTGTACTTCAGTAGCCTCGTCAAGATCACAAATATTTGCGGAATTCATCACAAAATCCTTAAACTGTTTCAAAATGCTAGAAACGGAATTTTTATGAGGTAGATCGTATTTATTCTCAATAGACCACTCTTTGTCTACAACAAGGATATTTTTGAGTGCAGGCGGTATGTAAATCTGTCCTGGGATTTCTAGATACGCTGTTGTTTTCATCTTTCTCTTGACTTCTTGGCTAACATTGCTTAACACGTCTGTCGCGGGGACTCTAAAATCGGTAAAGGTAGTAAAACAAAAGACTTGATAGACTTCTATGCCTCCTTCAACTGAAATATTTTTAATTCTACCCTCATAGCAGTCTGGGCCCTGCTTAAAGACAATGTAGTTGTTCACTGAGAACTTTTCTTTCTTGTTTTCCATTGTTTGGGACGGACAAAAACCCCTTGCAAGTTTTGCAGTTGGCGAGAAAATGCTTTATGAAATTAGCCGGAGAGATGAGTAAAAGAATAGACAATGGAAAATCTATTCGTAGAATAACACTGGTGTGAAAGTTCGAAAGCACATCCTTTAATTAAACTTGCAAAGCATCAGAAAACAAATTTATTAATAGAGAATGGCACTGCCCACCACAGCTGTGCTCTACTCATCAAAATTTTCACATCTTCGAGTCGTTTTTCTTTTTCCCCTTCCTGGTTTTATAATGTTCTTTGTGTTGCTATACTCCTCTCTGTCTATAATCGTTAATTTTTTAATTTGCTCTGATGTAAGTTTAATTTCCGACTCTTCATTGTCAACCGGAAAGTCCTCACTTTGGTCAACCATGCCCAGCTTTCCATCTACAAAACTATATATCTTTCCTGGAACAAAGCTACTTTGCTCGGTAGTATCCTCTTCTTCTATATCTGTTGTTGCTTCCTTGGAGCTTTCCTTTATCAACGAATCGCTGGATGGATCTGAAATTTCAACTTCAAAGCCATCCAGCGATACCTCATCTTCAAAGCATCCATCGTCACACTGCATTATCTCTTCAAGGAGAGACTCAAAGTCTTTGAATGCTTTGTTCTTTTGGTCATATTTTACCATTTGGGCGAAAACTTTTTCAAGAAGAAAACTGCTAGAAGATGGTTTTAATAACTGCTATTACCTTCTTGCTACAGCAGAAGAGATGTTTATAATACAATTTCAAGTCTATTTTATCTATCTAAAGGTTAATTTACCCACATCTTTAATGTTAAAAATCTAGCCGTCACACTATGTTTGGTCGAAAACTGTTTGTGCACTCAGTTATCACAAGTTGCAAAGCTATTTCCAAGAACGGTTTTAATTTCTTTGTTATCGAATGACCAAAAGCTAAAAAATAATCGAGTAGGGAAGTTATCGTTAGTATCTTTAAACAGCATATGTGTAGACTAAGTAGGATATCACCAAAACTACTACAAACTCTCACTTTTATTGCATTTTTCTGTCAAATAAGTTTTTGTAGCTGTTCGTTGAGACCAGAAACAATACTGGAAATTTCCATACACTGGTTTATTTCGTGCTCAGCCATTCTTTCTTTCAGATTTTCAAAAACAGTAAGTGCAATCTTCCCCTTTTCAATTTCGTCCTTATCCTCATCGGCGACTCCAAGTTCTTGGTTAATTCTGTTAAGTTTGTTCGCATAGAGACACTCGAGTCTAAAAAACTCAACACAAAGCTTTGAATCCGAATTTACACTCGCGCCTTTTATGAACAGTCCCCTTGCACCTTCAATATCATCTATTTCCCAAAGCTTTTGAGCACAATATACCCATAGATCAGTATTTGTGAGATTTTTCAAGCATTTCGCTGCAAAAGTGCTTTTCATTTCTTCAAAAGCCTTTCTTCTAATGCAATATTCAGAAAAATCTTTCAAAAGAATTGGCTCACTGTAATAATGAAGAGCTCTTTCATATATTTTTATGATATTTGCTTGTAGGAGCATGTCAGTATCTTCTAATCCCGTTCCAAGGGCTGCTATTTTCTTATTTCTAATCTTTTCAAGATTTTTTTCTGAATCAATATACGTCAGAAAGTCCAGTAGTTTTTTGCTGGATCTTTGAAGTTTGTTTTCAAACCTTCTTCTATTCTCAACTATCTTTTGGATTTGTTTTTGACTAAAAATGCGTCGTTTCTTATAGCTTTCAAGTTCTGGCGCCATCCATTCCAGTACTTTTTGTACTCTGTCAATCATTAGGGCTGGGTCCAAAAATACTACTACTCTATAAGAGCAGGCTGCAAATGACAACCAGAATGATCACCTGTTCAGATTCAAAGCCAAGATAGTGCATAAGTACAAAGTAATTTATATGCCGCATGCTCAATTTCTAGTGCTATTCCTTGGTTTGCTCGCAAAATTTTTTTGAAAATTTTTATCCCCAACATGGAATACATTACAGCCTTCTCGCTTATTGCACAAAACTCAACAGAGATGCTCAGTAAGGATGCAATGAAGTCTAAGATCGTTTCACTGCTGAATTCCATTCAGGCACCTGTTTGCGAGGAATCGCTTGATCTTTTTCTTTCAAAGGTAGATGGAAAGTCGTTCAGCGAATTAATTGCAGCAGGAGGTGAGCTTATGAAATCGCAGATTTCAGCCGGACCTTCTACAGCAGCTAAGACTACAACAGCAGCTCCTGCAAAGGTTGAAAAAGTAGAGGAAGAAGAGTCTGAAAGCGATGCCAATCTTGATTTCTTCTAATAAAGCTATATTTTCAAAGTTTATTTTTCTAGTGCTTAAGTAGCTCAAGTTTCTGAATTTGTTTGTGATATGCATCTTCAAAAACTCATATTAGGAACATTTTTCATATTTTGTTTGCTAGTATTTGGAAAGATCTTATATAAGAATAAATACAGCCCCTTGCAGTAGATTTACTTTGGCCTTTCTATTTTCAATCTTTCAGAACACCACTCAAGACATATTGAAATTTACCTGTAAAATTATTCTCAGAGTACACAGAACCATATCTAACTAGTGATGGACTTATGTAAATATACCAATAATACACACTGTACGGCGATTTCTAAGTCACTTTTCATTGCTTTGTCAAAATTTATTTTCCACCCATCATCTATGAAGCAGTGCCAATTCTGCAATTCACACAAAACCAAAGTACTGAATGACACTTTGTTCTGTGAGAACTGTGAAATATACTTTACTTTGAAAAACGGCATTCAACTAATCAAGTCACTTCCAATAGCTGAAACCAAGCAAAGAACTCTAAATCTCTGTGTGTCCTGCTCAAGAAGAGCCATGAAAAACAGTTCGATTAAATGTAGAACATTCCGGGAGTATTTAAAGAGGCTTCCGTACTGCAGCAGCTGCAAATCCTTAAATGTCGTGTTTTTGAAAAACCTATTTTTCAAAAATTTTCTGCTGTACAAAAAGATCAAAAGCGTGTTTGGTCTTTCAACGCTTTTCACTTTAATAATGACGTGGTGCTGTTTTGAAAAGTATGTGTCTGCATTGTACTATTACATAGCTATAACTGCCGATGGCATGTCTTCATTTAGCTTTATATTCACATCGTTTCTACTCTATCACCTAAACCAGTACTCATTCATAAGGCTTATGCTATTTTTAATATGCCTATATAAAATCATATCCAAGAAATCCATATACTTTGAAATCCCAATCAATCTTTTAAGCGCACATGAACTTGACAATTTTATAGATCGCCTGAACATTAACAGCTCACTTGAGAGCGATGTTTATCGACATGACAAAAGAGTTAACGTACATTACGGCTCGCAACCTCATCTTAAAAATAAATAATAAACTGACCATTATCTTGTAGCTGACTGCTTTGTCTTAAGGTTTCACTCATAACAAGCGCATTCTCTAACATGGCCTCTCGCACGTTTGCACCTAAAGCTTCCCCATTGCTGATATGTCCTCGTTACCTAAATCATTATGTCTTTTAATATCAATCAAAATGCGCCATTTAAATATACACTATACTTTTAAAGTGTTGCATGTATTTTATTGTAAGAACGGGCTTGCAGCTTATCATCTTTTAATTCACATTTTGTTCTTTTAAATGACAGCATCAAGTTTTCTCTCAAGCTCAAGAAGTCTTCTTATGAAAAGATCCTGCTCCCGTAGGTCATTGTCCAAGTATTCATTGATTTTGTCGACAGTGTTCTTATCGAATTCCATAACATCAATGTCCTTGAAATTCAAATCCAAGTCTGGCAATTTGAATGGGAACTCATCTTCGATCATGGGTGAGAAGAATTGATTGATGTTAGCTGAAGACAGATAGCCCTTACAGTAGTATAAACCATTTTGAAAATAAGCAGCTGGTGGAAACCCCGTAGCTGAATACTACCTTAATATATTAAATACCAGCTCCAATAGCTATTTTAGATTTTTGGCCAATTTAAATTTCAAATGCAACACTAGCTTGATCTTGCGTATTCTGTACATTGCAGAACGCCCAATGCCAAGTCATTAATCGCACATATTTGTTTCTAGTTTGAAACGATCTATAAACGAACAAAAAATACACAAACAAATGATTTTGGCATTATTACTGATGCTTGCATCTTTTGCTAGTACAAGACCATCCTTCAAAAACCTTGATGATATTTTCGATGGAAATTTAAAAGGAAGCCTCTCCCAGTCTTCGGAGTCTGACACCTCCAATCCGTTAGGTGGTGACCTAAGCCCCGATGATCCAGAAGAGCAAAGGAAATGGGCCAAGTCAATAGTCAAAAGTCAAACAGGAGGAGACATAGATATTCAAGAGAAAACAGACGAAATAAGCGATGAGGAATCAAATCCTAAAAATAAGACTTATATGCCAGAAAACACAAAGAAAGAAGAGGAAAAGAAATCACACCCAAACACAAAAAAAAAGGACGGTAATGGCAAAAGAAAAGAAGCGACAGGCCAAGGCAATGGCGGTTCAAATAAAAAAGACCAGGGTTATCAAAATCGTATAAGAAAATGCTGCACAAGGTTCAAAGTGCATTGCAGTCGTTATTGTCGGACATATCAAATACCTTAGAGAACAACAGTTCGTAAATAACCCAAAGACAAACTAATAAACCATTAATATACTTGTATTATAACAGTCTATTGCTATCAAGTTTAACTATGAAAGTATCCAACTAGATATGGGGTTTATTCATAAAAGTTTTTAAGTTGGCAGATACGCAGCAGACTACTAGAAAATGTTTAGACTTTCAAATTAATAGCAATAACAGCAAGAAGAAGTTCGGCTGGCTTTAAACAATTTAAAAAGTAATTTACTGAGTCTTGGTCTTTTTGACAGTCTGTTCTGAGTCTCTTTTGAAATCACTTGCATTATCTTCATTTTCGGAAGATTCTGCAATGTCACCCTGGGGTTTATTGCTAGTGCCCCAGTCAATGTCAAAAACATGAATAATAGGCTTATCAAGCAGTGTCAGTTCAATCAGGCTTTGCTTCATAGCGAATCCTTTGTACTCAAACTCATCCTTCCCAGGAACAATTGGGGTTTCTAGTGGGATGGACTCACGTTTTTTAGTAGGCATGATAGCCTCGGCAAGCGCATCTTCCAGCTCCTCATCTGCACTAGATCCTTTTTCATCACACTCTGCATTATATCCCTCATCTTCTTCGTACTCATCAAGTTCTTCATCGTCCATGATTTCGACTTCCTCATCTTCAGAATCTTCATCTTCAACGATATCATTATCAGAGCTATCTTCCTCAGCCATCTCCTCATCCTCATATCCCTCATCGTCTTCAACATCTCCAGTAATAGCTACATCATCACTATCAACTAATTTCTCAGAATTTATGCCGGGATATCTAACGTCAACCACAAATCCTATTCTAATAAACTGCTCTCCCTTGAACTTTCCCACAATCAAAATCGTTGTAAGACCAAAAAGTGTTTTGATAGGTATCTTTGTGAGATCAATAGGCGATGTCTCCAGCTCAAAGTAGAGCTTTCCAGCTTCAAGAGGTCCTATCACATTGTGGCATATTTTCTGGTCATGATTATCAGAGTATGCATCTCCAAAGTAAATTATCTCAAATTCAACATCATCATTCAGATACTCCTGGTTGTTAAATGTTAACTTAAACACAAAACTGTTCTTTGGATTGTAAATCTTAGCTGTGTCTGTGTCGACTTTAACTAGTTCTAGCTTAGCCATGCAAGGGCTGGAAACACAGCTCGTTCTATGCTAAAAATTTTTGAATAAAAATGTGTGATGCTTGCCAAGTACTTAATTAATAGCAGGTCAAAATATAACAGAAGTATATTTTCTATAAGTAATTGATTTCAGAAACTTTAACACCCTATAATGTTTTAACATTGAAAAATTTTTGTGCCATGTCTTTGCAGAAAACCAGAAAAATTAGCAAATCAGAGTTAATCTTGAGAATAACAGATCCAAAAACAAGAAAGACAACTTTAGAATCATTGAAAAGATCAATGCATATAAAAATACCCAAGTCATATTTTACAAGTGAAGAAAGGAACTCGATTATATCCGAAATGAATGCTTCAAAGAAAGAAAAACCAGTGTTGCAAGACCAATTCGACTGTAGAGGTTTTGTAAAAATATGCTACAATAAGCCAAAGCATGTTGTTGAGAGAAGTTTAAAGTACATTCCTTTAATGCCCACAGATCTGTGCTTTGAAGATCAGAATATGCAAATATTCTACCTTTCAGTCATTTTAAGGCAATGCTTGAATTTAAAAACCGAATATAATCTTATGTTGCTTTTAGAGACGTTATATTGTGAAGCAACCGATAGATCTTTTTTGAAATACTGTGTTTGTAGAATCTCAAAAAAGACATTGGTGGCGTTTTTACAAAGCAATATATGCAATTTTAAATTGATCAAAGAGTTTGTTGGATTTTTAGCACCAAAACTACAGCCAAATGTTGTCGAAGCTTGGTTTGAAAATGACTTTGAATTTATAGATGAGCTTTTCAGAAACATGGACGTCATGAAGTTGAGACATGACTTGCCATTTGATAATCGTGCATTTGACTATTTTCTGCAATTTAAGATATTTAGAAAAGCCATATTCAATGACAATATGAGTAAAAAGTTTATTATTGAAATGAAGGAGTATGCCAACAGAGATGATTTTGAATATTTCTATAGGCAATTAGGCATAGCAAGAAAATTGAATGCATGCTGTAAGACAAAGCCCAAAGATAACTCTGAATTTGTGTTTTTCAATGCTTTTGATAAGAAGAATCAAATTTACAGCAATCTGTTGAAGATTAGACACTACCAAACAAGAATCGGCCATAATGCCATCCTGAATGTCTTCATAAATAATAATGTAAGGGATATTTGCGAATATGTGAATGTGTATGATGTTGTTCTGTCCATTATTGAGGACACAATCGTCTTTAACAGTGCAAGAATCAAGAGTTTTGAAGGAGATGCTGAACTCGCAGATAAGACAGATTATCAAGAAGCAAAGCTACTGAATGATACTCTTTTTGGCATATTAAAAAAAAATGAGGATGTTTTCAGAACAGTTGTTAGGCATTTCTATCATCCAAAAGACCAGCTTCTTCAGGATTTATTAACCGGCCACTTTAATTTTACTGCTAGAGATGCTACTAAGTATATTAACTTTGGATATGAAAATGAGCTGATGATCTTTTACAGAACAAAGCCTGTACAAGAGTTGTTGGAATTAGTTGATGACTGGAATCGCGAATTTTTTCTAAAACTATTCTGCAGCATTCAACTTGATGCTGGCAATGCTGTACCGATTATGAACTTTATTCAAAAGTCTGGGCTAACTCCATGCAACGATCTCATTGTTGGTATTTATGACAAAATTTTGGATATTTCTAGTATACAGATTTTTGATAGCCTTGCAGAATCACTTAAAATAATCTATGTTCTCAGAAACAAAGATTTTCGTCGGGAGTTTGTCACCAGGCTGTTAAAATCGCATCATTCAACGACTCATTCTTCGCTTTGTTATTCTGCTTGGATTTATGAAATATTTTCAGTTGACTCCGCTCTTAGAGCAAGCTTTGTGAAAGAAGCTACGAACAAAAATCCGTTTTTCAGGATCGCAGTCTTAGAAAACATAGAATTTGATCCAAACAACATCATCGAGTCTCTCTTCACCAACAGTTTTATTCTAAAACAAGATGCTCTTTATCTTTTTGCTGAAAATTTTGAAAGGTTACTTGATCAAATACTGAAAACTTTGTCTAAAGAAGAAATTATGAGTTTAAGTGAGAAAGACTATGTCTTTCGCAAGTATTTTGTCTCAAAAGCAAGTAATGATAACAGAATAAGGTTGAACTTGGAAAATGATGTTGAGTTTGGAACCTTGGAAAAAATTTCATTTGTGATGTCATACAATTTATCAAATAGATATCTTTGCTACATCATTTTCGATAAAATACTCCACATTTTAACCTCAGGCACTTCTACACAGAGAATGCTAGTTCTTACTTACATCAATCCACTAACGCTCACAAAAACACACATCCTAAAGTTTATCAATGCTCTTATTCCGCTACTTAATTCTAGCAATTCAACAGTCTGCAAACTGTCAAAAGTAAAATTTAATCAAATCAGGGTTGAGACAATCGAAGTTCAGAATATATTGTCTGAAATAGTTCAAACATTCCTGGACAGAAGCTACTTTAAAACCTTTCTACAATCTTTCAAATCAATCCAATTCAATAACTATTTATGCTTTAATTCACTCAACATTCTCTTGCAGTTGTTTTTAAGGAGTTTGGATGAAAACACCATTGAGTGCTTTAATGTTCTCAAAAGATTAATCAATATCATAAAAGAAAAAGACATTAAGCATGTTTCTAATCTTGTGTTTCGCAACATGAGTTTATTTGTGGTCAGCAACAATTATTCAACGTTGGACGCCCTTGAGGTGGCCTCGCAGTTTTGCTTTTATACGCAGTTTGAAGATTTTGATGTTTTATTACAAAACTTAAATTCACTTAGAATTTGCAACTATCTCGTGGAGATACTGAAAATGAAAGGAGACTCTGCCCTGAATGACAAAATCATTTGCCATGCTCTTAGCAATGCGAAGGCCCATGGAGATAAGGAGTCTTCTATAGTTGTAGAGCCTGCATTTGTTGCAGCCGCTTGTGAGTTAGCCGAGTTCTCCAAGCATCTAAATGTCTTTATCCCGTTGATTAAAAAGACTGTTTCGAAATGAAAAAATCGAAACAAGGCAAATTGCTTGTAAGGCAATGAAGTCAATTATGAGCAGCACAGAGTTTGATGAGTACAAACAAATGATCAACGAATACCTCATAGACTGTTGCATACACTCTGATCATGCAATTAGATTGCAGTGTCTTGATATAATTAGATATTTGCCCATTATTTTTATACTCAGACACGATCAGCACTCGCTTGTAAAAAAGAAAGCATATGATATCTGGAAGGAAGCAGTTTTTAACACAAACAGGGAGCTGAAGAATATAGCTTGTGATGTTTTAGATTTTATCAAGTACAGGGACGTGAAAGTATTTTGTTATGCTTTAAAAGGAACGATTTCTGAAATATGCCTAAAGTATCTTAGCTGTTTGGAGGATTATTTAAAGAGTTGCAATGATGAAGGAATCAAGGAGTTCATATATGTGGAGGCAGTTAATAACAATAAACTTGTAAATTTAGCTGCTGAGTTTTGTAAAGCTCACTTTTGTCCTGAATTATTTAATACTCTGAGTAAAACGCCTGTTTTGAGGGACGATATCATCAACAATATTGACAAGAGTCTTTTATATGGACTCTGTGCTGAAAACAATGAGTTGGCATTCCTTCTCTTTAATCATACACAAGATCCAGTTTATATTGATCTTATATCAACACCTCAAAAACTTGAAATTATCAAAAGCCACTATCAATCTCATAAGACAGTGTCCATCAACGATGAAAATGTTATTTTCATTCTACAAAGCATTGAGAGTTGTAGTGCAACCGAGGATTTGCTACTCAGGATCCATCCAACATTTTCATACTACTACATTTCAGTTCATCGGGTCAATTGTGGTGCATTGCCTAAGATTTTTGAACGGGTCTTCAGCACCTGCACCAATATAGATGAACTGATGGTTGATAGAAATCTTAACTATATTAGAAGCTGTTCTTTTGAATATGTTGAAAATAAACTCAAACTTATGCTGCTGTTAATCAGTCGACCAGAGCGTGCATTTTTTGAGAGGGTAGTTGAGCTGATAAAAGACACAAAATTCGCATTTTCAATCGATCAGAATTCGCTTTATGAGATTCTTGGATATCTGTTCAGAAATATGCTACTAGCAAATAGAAGGAATAGCTGTGCAGAATGCATTTCAATTATCTATAAAAATCATAAAAATGAAATGGGATATTTCAAGATAATTGCGGAGAACATCGTTATTAAAATTAAATAGTGGCGTTTTCAGTCCAAAAGTGGATTTTGCACTGTAATTCCAGACAAGCATGCAGTTATCTCTTGTTTCTGTCCAATGCAGGGGCATGGTATACTCATAAGCCATGTATATTTTGCAGGTCTTATCTTCTTTGTGGTATTTTCCTCCGTAAAAATTTACCCAATGAATGGATTTAGATTCAAGACAGCCATTCCTACAGCTTCAGATTCTAAGGGGCTAATTTCAAATAATGGCGTGTATTTCTCATCAAATACCCACCTTTTTAAGATTCAATGTAGCAAATACAATTTAATCAGCTCTTGTGATGGAACTATCAGAAGCTTCGGAATATGCGGCGACTACTCAATTCTTTGCACTCAAGATAGGGTAGTTCTGAACCATTTCCAGACTTTTATTGGGTCGTTAAAGCGATCTGCATCGGCCATAGATGTCTACAGTGACTTCTTTGCCATTGGTGTTGATAATGTACTGGAAGTGTGGATGATGCCAAAAGAATACAAATTCACACTTTTTAGCTTACATTCAAAGAATATTGGCCACTACAGGTGCATCAGATTCATCAAAATATTAAATAGCACACAAATAGTCACAGCATCAGATGACTGTACGGTTCGTGTGTTTGATATTTTAAGAAAAAAATCAAAAATCATAGCATCTCTCAATGATATTCCTGTTGGCTTACACACAAACAATCATATCATTGCTGTGACATGTAAAAACGGAAGTATTACTTTTTTGAATACAGAGTCTATAGAATATAAAAATGTGAAATTCGATGCCAATATCGTTGCATCTGCTTCGTTTGAAAACATTTTAGCACTGTGTCTTGAGAATATGATAATACCAAAAGAAGACCTTAAAGAATCGATATTGCCAATAAATGCCCAATCTTCCAAGCAAGAAGTATTGAAAAAAACAGTCGTCGTTATTTTTAAAGATTTTGAAGAGATTTATAGAGGAGAACTTGACGATAAAGTAATTGAGCTCGCATTGGAAAGAAATACTTTGTACGTAAGAACTCCCAGCTTTATTGGAGGCTATGACATTCGCAGTGAATCGTTTGTGTTTTTACTTGATTTGCCCAAAATATTGAATATTACTCCACTTAAAAATATGATTGCAGCAGGGTGTGCCGATAGAAAGATCAGGATCTACATGGAGACATTATGCATTAAGACACTCTACGACCCAAATTCGAAAGGCGATATTCTGTATACTCATTTGTCTACAAACATCTGCACGGCAGTATACACTACAGGATATGTTTCTTCATTTAATATTAATGATTCGCATTGCTTTAGATCCTTTTTGGTTTCAAGTGAGCCGTTAAGCGCTTTATCCTCAAGCTGCATGAGCGATGATGGATGCTTTCTTTTTATTTCGGAGCAAGCAAATATAAAAGTAATTGATCTTATGAGATCTAAGCTTGTTGAAAGTATACATCTCAAATCTCCAATAATTTCAACAGCATTTTACAGAAATTATCTTTATTGCATTGAACTTGACAAAACATTGTCAAAAATTAATGTATTTTCGGGACACACTGAGAATGTGATGATTGAGGATATTCCAACCAACATGACTGTCAAAAATCTGAGCGTTGTTGTTTCGACTGTTAAGGATATACTGATCTATGATCTTGATATTAACTTTGCCACTCTTTTTCAGTCCAGCTTGAGGCACGTAAGAGAAATGAAATGTATATTAGATCTAAGCCTGTAGAACAGATTGATTTTAACTCAGAATTTATATTTTGTGGAGGTTCTTCAAATTTAATCAAGATCTTCGAACATAATTTTCAACAACGCACACAAAGCTCATTGATGAAAAATTTTTTATTTCAAGTTTTGAAGGTTTCTAGAAACAAAGACTGGGAGAACTATAAAACAAAGCTATTAAGAGAGAAGGATACAAAGTTTGATAAGGAACGAGTGATAGAAACCCGAAAGATCTGTGTCCAAGACAATGTAATGTATCTTCTTTCAAGCGAAGGTTTGAGCATTTATGATAAAGATAGTATCAAATTCAGTCCCCTTGAGTTTGACGTTGAAGTGTCAGAAAAGTATGTAAAGGAGTCTCTTGAAAGTAAAAATTATCAGAAAGCCCTGATATCAGCAATCCGGTCGGGCAGGTTTGACTTGATAAGTACAGTCGCTGATGCCTGCGATGACAAGGATTTTCTTGTACGATACATTCCAGCAAGATATGCTAGGGCATTATTAGAGAATTTGATTGGATATGTGAAACAGGACTTTACAAATATAGAATACATTGGACTAATCTCGAAGTTAGTCCACTGGCACAATATTTCATATCCTGGGCTTTCTGAATTGATTCGCAACGGAACAAAGGCAATGTACAGCCAGGTAAAGAGCAACAAGTATTTGATTGACGTAATTTTCAAGCGAAATGCATGATAGAAGTAGTCCATGATTAAATTATACCAATGCTTTTGTGTACATACGACATAATGCTTATTTTTGGTTTATCCAATTTCAGAATATGCCATGGCTGTTCAATTATCTAATAAGCACCCATTATTTCAGACTCTGTATTTGGCATTGAGCCCTGTCCTTTATTCTAGCTCTGCAAAAATGTCATCGATTGGGCTCTTCTCGGATTCCATCTCACATTTGTCTATCAGGTAGAATATTCTTGCACTTATGCCCAGCACACAGAGACACAATGGTATAAAAAATCCCATCGATAGATTTGAACTGGCTGCAATGTACAGGTTCTTTGCACAGTTTGTTATCTTTACTTTGTCATGGCGTGACAGCTTCTGAATCCTTAACAATCTTTTAAGATATATCATTTTTCTTACATAGCTGAAGATTTGTGTTGGTTTTTACTTCTGTAAATCAGACTATCCAGTATTTTGATCTCTTTGCACAGTGGCTCTTGGATTGCTTTAAAAGTAACTGCCATGGGGAAGTTCCAAAAATTACCAAAAATCCAAATATGTGCGCGAGTTCATTCATAACCCTCTGAAATTCTATCCAACTACTTTAATTCATTTAATATCAAATCGGAAAGGATATTGGCATAAAATTCAATATTATTTGCTTGGGTTTTTTGCATCATGCAACATGCATCTAATCCTTCAGCCTAATCGGTCTCTTTTATTTTTCTTTTTGTATACAAACTAATAAATCCCCATTCTCCTCCGTGATGAGAGCAAGAAGGCCAAGGGTTTTTACAGTGATTCAAGATTTGAGAAAGAGAACATTTGCAGTAAATCTGCCAAAAAATATTGTGGAAGCCATTGGAAATTGCACATTGAAAGTAGAAGAAGACTCTTCCAAAGTAGCAGACAAAAACATAAAAAGTCAAAAATATCATAGTGCTATCCATTCTAATGGCTGCAATAATGTAAAGAAGAATAGTGACTGTGGTTTAAGGAACAAAAACGTTACTATCGACATTGACATTAACAGCAACAATACAGAGTTTACAAGTACAAATGCTTGCTCAATAGATGACAAAATACTGGAAAACGTCAATCTAGCACTCATGGTTCTGCATGAATTCAATTCATACTTCAAGTCAAAGCTCAAATCCGATACAGTTTCTAAAATCAAGGATGTTGAAGAAATCAATGTGTATAACCTGCCTTGTAAGTCTTTCTATCCACGACTGTTCCTAAATGCTCCACTAGACTTTGGATCTTCAAAGTCTTTTATTTACAACGTGAAAATAAAGGGAAAAACTGGGTCTCTCATTTTCTACTCATCTAATTTTAAATATGCAGTAAAAGTAGTTAGAGAAAGCGAACTAAAATGTGTTTTGCAGCACATGGAGAATTTCTGCAAGTACTACTCGCTCTTTCCCGACACCTTTGTGTCTAAAATTGCAGGGATCTACTCCACTCCGAAGTTTAGCTTTGTTGTAATGGACAATGTTTTCAGGGGAATCGCAGGTCAAATTTTTGACTTAAAAGGCAAAAATTTAAACAGAAAGTGCATTGGTATCGGTATTGAGGACCAATGGGTAGATAAAAAATTAGTTGTTGAGGATAGAAAGTGTATTACCAATGCTATTAGAAGGGATGTGGAGTTTTTGAAATCCCTGAACCTTATGGACTACTCCCTCGTTATAAGCATTGGCTCATGTTGTAATTCGGAATTTATGCTTTACGATGAAGATGGAAGAGTGTTAGAAAGCTTAAAAGTGCATGATCAGGCAAAATTAGAAGGCCAGAGGATGAGCTTTAGTGTTGGAATTGTCGATGTTTTAACAGAATATACTATTTCAAAAAGAATTGAGAGCATTTTGCAGATATTCTGCTGTATAGGCAGCAAATCATCGAAAAATCCAGAAGAGTATGCTAGACGATTTTTAGATTTTATTGAAAACGAGTGTTTTGAAGAGAAGTCGAATTAAAAGATATTTTAAATGTACTTTCGTTATCCTATTGCATACGTATCATGCCAACATTTTTAATATTTAATAAACCCGGTCTATTTGATTGTTTCTATCACAAGAGGGCCATTGTACGATATAAAGACGGAGTTTTCTTAAAAGTTATAGCAAAAACTGTCAAGAATCTCAAATATTCAGCAGTCTTTAAACAAGCCTATTGCCTGAATTGCAAAAATATACGTATTTAATGTTTATGCAAATTTTTAGCAACCCTCATGATTCTCGATAGACTTGAAATAACAAACTTTAAATCGTATAAGGGAACACATTTATTAGGACCTCTCGATCGGTTTAGCTGTATTATTGGGCCAAACGGTTCTGGAAAAAGCAATATACTGGACGCAATTTCTTTTGTCTTGAACGTACCTAATAGCTACTTAAGAGTCAAGCATCTGAAGAATTTGGTAGAGTATAATTCAACAGAAGCTAGCGTGAAAATTTATATTAATTCAATGATATTTGAAAGAAGAATATACAAAGACGGTGCTAATAGCAACGCCAACGACTCAGCCATTCTTGACAGTGCTAATTTAAACCAGGATATTTATCATTCTACTAACTGTAAATATTTTGTGAATGGGAATAAAGTAACACAGAGACAATACAACCAGGAGTTAGAGCAGCTCAACATTCTTAGCAAAGTTAAGAACTTTGTTATTTATCAGGGAGATGTTATTAAGAGTGATGTTGATCTGCTGAAAATGATTGAGAATGTGTGCGGAAGCGACGCCTATGCTGAGGAATATAATGTTCTTAGTGAAAAAATATCTGTTATGAACAAGAGTCTGAGCCTGAAATACGAGAAGAGGAAGGATTGCTTGGAAATGATGAAAGAAATAAAAGAAGTTAAGGACAAGGAAAAGACGTTTGAATCCTTAATTAACCAAAAGGATCTAGTCCAGAGAAAAATTTATGAGGCTGAGATTAAAAGCAAAAAAATAGAAGTAGATAGGATTAAAGAAACAATAAAGTCATTAGAGCAGATGAAGGAGAATGAAAAGTACAATGAAATATTTAGTACAGTGAATAAAACAAGAAGTGAGACAGCAAAACTTCAAAAGGAGTATTTCGAGAAGGAAACGGAATTAACTTTTGAAAGGAGTAGGCAGACTAAGAAAAGGGTATTTGATATTGAAGCTAAAACTGCCGAGTTAAAGGAATTGGTTGATAATCTAACAAGCACAAAAGAGGAATTAGCAAAAATTCCTTCGTCTATTGAATTTTCTGAAAATGTTGTATTTGAGGGAGAAATCTTAACTCACAGTCGATTTGAGGACGTGTTAAAAGAAAAAGAAATAGAATACTCCCAGAAGGTCTCTGGCTTAGAAAAGCAATTGTCAGAAATGACACTTTTGAACTTTGATAAGCTTAACAAAAGAGATCAACTTCAAAATACAATTAAGCAGATTAATTCAAAAATATCTAAGATAAAAGCAAGGAATAGTGAAATTGAAAAGGGAAAATAAAATAAAGCTAGAGAAGATGTGCTCCATTGAGAAGGAAATACAGCATTTAGAATCTCAAATTCAGAATAAGATTCATGCCTATGAGCGCATTATATCTGATGAAGACAAGCTGAATAGAGATCTGAATGATGTTATGAGGGATATATTATTGAATAAAGCACGGAAGAATGATGCAGCAAGAAGATCTATGATTAGGAGCACTATCGAGAGTCTAAAAACAATATTTTCAGGTGTTCATGGAAGAGTAATAGATTTAATACAGCCTATTCAGAAGAAATATGAGCTGTCCGTTGGTGTTTTGCTATCAAGACATGACCAGTCTGTTATTGTTGATAATGAAAAGACAGCTTTAGACTGCTTGAGATATATTAAAGAAACAAGGGCCTGCAAACTCACATTTCTTCCTCTTAATAGAGTTAAGGGTATTATCAGTGATGACAAGGAGAATAGTGAAAATATAAAGAGCTTTGGTTCTCCTGAATTTAAGGATTATCTTGCAAGAAACTGCATTAGATATGCTCCTGAATATGAGAATATCATAGGTTTTATATTTAAGAATTCCCTGATTGTTGATAGTATTGATCTGGCCAAGCATACTCTTTATACTCAAAAGTATCCAGGCAACATTTGCACGCTGGATGGCGTACTGTTTTCTCCTGCTGGTCTAATTACAGGTGGAAAAGCAACAGTAAATAAGTTTGAGGATGACATTATTGACCAATTACTAGTCAAGAGGAAATCAATACTTGACGATATCAAAATAAACAAAGACAGAAAAGAGGCATTTTCTGATGTTTCAACGGTAAAAATGAAGATTGATGAACTGAAACAGAAGAAAGATGGCATTAAAGTAGAAAATATTGAAATATCAATGCTGAGCGAGCTTGATGCCGAGCCTTATCAAAGAGAGCTATTATTTTTGGAAGAATCCTTGTCAGATTTTGAAAGCAATCAGAGATTAATAAAGGAAGCAAAGAAGCAAATAGAGAAGACAGTCTTTGGTAATCTGCTCAGAACAATAGGATTGAATAGCCTTTCAGAATATAAGGAAAGAATAAGGCAAGATTATCGCAGACAGGAGCTTTTAATAAGAATAGAAACATTGAAGGATAAAATCAATTTGGTTAATGAAGAATTAACTACAAATGCTGCTGTATCATGGAATGATGCAGATAAGAAGGACCTAAATGTCCTTGAAAATCAACTTAATCAACTGTATACCAATCTTGAGAATGTAAAAGAAAGATTAAAGACACAGAACCAGCTGTTAAGGACATTTTCTGAGAAGAGAAACCAACTGAATAACAGTATTTTGAGTCACCAACTGCATCTTGCAAGAGTAGAGGAGGATCTTAAAGATTTGATCAAGTATGCAGAATTGGAGTCTAATCTAAAGATTGAAAGTGATTCAATTGATCCTGCTGTTGAGGAAAATGTTACACAGTTAAAGAGTAAACTGGAGGAAATAAACCAGCTAATTTCCCAAAATACCCCGTCTTTTTCTTCCTCAGACTCCTCGCTTCAAACTAAATTTTCAAGGTTGAACAGAGAATATGAAATAGCAAAAGAAGAGCTGTTAGAAGCTAAAAGGCAGTTCCAGGAAATTAAAAGACGAAGAATGGATGCGTTTAGCAGATGCTTCGCTGTTATTTCGCAGGAGATATCTGAAATCTACAGGGAACTGACCAGGGTTGAGACAGGAGAGTCTGAAGCCAATTCCTATCTTGTATATGAGGGAGATCCTTTTGCAAACAATGTAAAATACTACTTGATGCCACCCTCAAAGAGATTTGTTCCATTCCACGAGTTGAGTGGAGGTGAAAAGTCCATAGCTCTTCTCTCTTTTATTTTTGCTTTGAGTAAGTATCGAAGACCCCCATTTTACATATTTGACGAGGTTGATTCGGCACTAGACAAGGTCAATGTTGAAAGCCTTTCTAGGTACATCTTCAGTTCGTCTGACCAGTTCCTTGTTGTCAGCCTGAAGCCACAGTTCTTCTCAAGGAGCGAGTCGTTGTTTGGCGTGTACAGGTGTCCAGCAGATCTTACCAGCAAGATTTTAAGTCTAAAACTCAAAAATTAAATTAGCGTTTAAATAGGTATTGTTTTTAACATTTATTTTGGAATTAGGTTTATGCAAAATTATTGAAGGTATTTACAATGGAATAATCTTTTCTAAATATCAAAACTAAAAGGCTTTCTAAACTGATTTACTCACGTATTAGTTCCTGATGGTTGGTCTTCGTCTTCTGAGACTAATCCAATAGGTCTTTTTCTCGAGCCTCCTCTCTTGTTCAGACGTAGCTCGCTTATCGACAGAGATGATTCGTCTAATATAATATCAGCATCGTAGACAAATATCCTAGCAAATTCCGAACTAATATCTGTACGTTTAATAGGATTGTTGTATAAATACAAAAATTCCAGATGTGGTAATTCTCCATATTTTTTCGCCTTTTTATCGAAATAGCCTTCAGGTTCTAGTTTTGTGATATTATTGTTGCTTAGGTCGAGAACTCTAAGAATGCTGAAGCTGAGCAAGCGGGGAAACGTTGTTAATCCGATATTCTCCAGAAACAAGGCCTCTACATTATTAAGGTTGGCACCATTCAACTGAGCAACATTAACATTTGTTGATGATAAATTCAAAATTTTCATCCTAAAGTGGTCATTTAGGAACTTTAAACTCGCTAAAGGCACATGCTTAAATCGTAGATTGCTTAGATTAACTATTTCAAAAACTCCTGAGAGCGAAGGTTTTCTGGGCAGTGTTAAATTCATCTTCTTAAATTTTTCACTGACTCTTGGACTAACTGTTGACAACAAGTTTGCCGAGCTCCCGTTAAAAATACATAATGCAATAAGTTCACGAATCTTATACTTGTGGGTTTGATATTCTGGCAAGTTGATCGATCCTGAAGCTTCAAGATGTGCATCAATCATTCTATTAGTAGCACTGCGATTTATAAATTCTGTAAAGGTGCCATCTTCATCTTCAATGAGACTAGGCACAATTTTAGATGGTGTATGAAAGCTATCAGACATGACACTTGGGGTGTTTACACTTGTGCAACAAATATAGAAAAGAAAATATTGCACGATGCCATACTGATAGCATTCCAACAAGATCAAGAAAGCTTCTGGCTGCCAATCTCATTTAATGCATTAGTAGGGATGATCAATTATGTACACTCCTTAAGAGACGTGTTTAGAATCCTTAGTTCCTTTTTATAATGACAACAACAAACAAATGAGTGGAAATATTAAATGATTGAAATATTTTCCAGTCCTACCCATAAACCATCAAATAGTATTCACAACGAATGCTATTCTAATAAAAGCAATTGCCACTTTGAATGTTAGTATTGACTGAGCCATGGACACTTGTGGGAAAGTTTTGCATATTCTTATGTAAATACTGGGAGTTTTAGCGGTAAGAACTTGCCATTTTCAAGAGAAGTGTGCTAAGACAGAAAATCAAATAATTAAAAATCCATCTCAGAACCATTGCTATATGCAATGCAATGATCTATTTCACACTGTTTTATTTGAAAGTTTTTGTTATAGCCTAAGTCCAATAAAGAAAAACTGTCCTTGCCAAACAGTCGTATATAGGAGGACCCTAAACAGTATTACATTGCCTCCACACGAGACTAAAACAAAACAAGCCATTAGAAATCACATAAATAATTTGATTTTAATGTCTAAAGCTATAGTTCCTAACGTTATCATGTCCAAACAAAAATAAACTTAGATAAGCGGCAAATGGATGGCCACCGTAATACCCATAGCTTGGTGCAGACTCCCTTGGAAATGTTCCATGAGCTGAATCGTAGTACATTACTTCACCTACTGTGTAAACAATGGATACAAAAGCCATGATCAATGAAATATTGTATATTTTCATAACAGAAGGCTTCACAGTTCATTTAATTTTACTGCCCCTGTCAAAATGAAACATGTGACAGTTAAGAATTAAAAACCAATATTAATATCTTGATACAATATACCATAGTACCGTATAACATTGATTTGCTACTGTTCAATCTCTTCCTTTATAATCATCGATTTCCACTTTTTGATTACGTTCAATGACATTTTCCTAATGTCCAAGGCTTCTCTTGAGTTTTTTGAATAGAAATGCACAATCTTGCCTATCCCACTGCTGAGTAAATCTGCTTTTGAGACCCTTAAGTTAATTAAAAGATCCATGATTGCTCTTTTGATTTTCTGATTTGGTAGTGAGTTGTCAGGCAATGGTTCTAACCACACCTTCAATTCTTTCAGTATTCCCATCTTTACAAAGATCTCCTGAACACCCCTTTTGATAATCTTAGAGCAAATATGTTCAATGTTGTCTATTTTGTAATGTGCTGGCTTAGACTCAGAATTAAGATCTAAATCTTTTTTGTAGAAGTCCTTCATTTCAGTTATAACATCATAGCAATACTTTTCAATATCCTCTGTTTTTAATGACAGTGCTATTTTTGCTTTTTTCTTTTTCTGTGCATCATTGTTATTCTGACTATAGCTCTGTAACTTGGCTTGTGCTTCATTACTGCTTTGGATTTCTTGAATTTGCGCTTCACCAGCTTGGCTTTGTGTATTGTTTTGTGTTTGGATTACTTCATGAGTATTATTTATTGCATTTTCCTCATCAGAATCTACCATAACAATTCTTCTAGTTCGGTTCCTGTTCACATCTTTTCCATCCTCCATGCCAGGGCGAAGAAAAAGACATGCTTGTTCAAAGCAATAATGTTCCAGGGCAAAAATACTATAAAAACAGATAATTGTAATCTACAAAATATAGAAAAATTGCCACAGAAAGCTACTGGCTGGACAATGCGAATAAATAAACATAAACACACATATTCTAATCTTTTTAACAAGAAAACTAAAACAGTGTTCTTTTACTTTCAAAAGTTCAAACCCATTATGTCAAAGCTAGATAAACTTATGATCCAGGGAATAAGATCATTCGATCCAAGAGAAAAAAATGTGCTGGAGTTTTATACACCACTAACACTCATTGTTGGAGCAAACGGCACAGGAAAAACCACTGTTATTGAATGCTTGAAATATATCACCACGGGTGATATGCCACCTAATAGCCGGGGCGGTGCGTTTATATATGATCCTAAGATTGCTAAAGAAATTGATATCAAGGCTGAAGTGAGGCTTGAGTTTAGAAATAACAAAAATGAGGTATTGCTATGCAGTAGATCGATGCAATCATCAACAAGAAAAGCAAGAGCTGAACAGAAGACTTTGGAGTGCTCACTGAGTAGAGAACTAAATGGCAGAGAGGTTTTAATAACAACTAAGCTCGGAGATATTGATAAAGATGTTCCAGAGCATCTGGGAGTAAGCTACTCAATCCTTGAAAATGTAATCTTCTGTCATCAGGATGAGAGTATCTGGCCTATTGGCGACCCAACTGTTATGAAAAAAAAGTTAGACGATATTTTCAGTTCCACAAAATACAACAAGGCTCTTTTGGGATTAAAAGCTTCTAAAAAAGAGATAGCGGCAGATTTAAAACTGAAGACGCAGCAACTCTCGTTTTTCCTGAAAGAAAAACTAAAAAGAGATGATCTTTTGAAGAAAATTGAGTCATACAACGAGGAAATGGAGAAGAAAAATGTAAAATTAAGAGCATTTGGCGATGAAACAGCCAGAATTGAGCGAAACATGAAATCTATTGCTAATGAGCTGGTGATCTATGAAAAATTAGATCAGAACTATAAGATATTGAAAGCCGAGTTTGATAGCTGCATGAAATTCATAAGCAATTTTTCATATGAGATACTATCTGCTACAGACAAAGAATATGCTGTCCAAAGAGTTAACGAACTAGAACAAACGCTTCTGGATCTAGATAACTGTAACATTGAAGAAGAGTTCTCAAGAATTGAAAAATATAGATTGAAAGTATTGGAGGAGTCACAGAAGAATGAAGATAAGCTGAATAAGATTCAAAACAACGAGCATACACTAAGTAACCTAATGGCAGAAAGAAAGGAAAATATTGATAATCTTATGGGTGAGTTTGGATGTGCAGAGCCTGAGCTGTCTGGAAAGATTCTAGAGGTATTTAAGGTAGCTGAAGACAACATTAAACAGAAAGAAGCAGAACTAGAAAGGGAAAAAGAGGCTTTGATACTTCAAAAAAATGAGCAAAAGATATTTGAACAAACAGCATGTGAAAAGAGCGAGTTCATAAATCGATATAAAGATTTGAAGCCAAGACCTGAGATTGAGATTGCGGATATTGCCATAGACTATGGCAAGCAGCTAGAGCTTGAGGCTACCGTCGATGAGTTGCTAGAGGATGTCAATGCTAAGCAAGACAAAATGAATGAGGCATTTAGGCAATCTGAAAAAACGTTTAAAAGAAGCTTACTTATTGAATCTATTGAAAAGTTGAAAAATGAAACTGCAGAATATTCTGCTAGTGATATGAAAAGAGAGATTGAGGAAAAGACTGACGCCTTGAACAGGCTGATGGACCAGTGCAAGCACGTTAGCTCAGAGGAGCAGAAAAATAAGATTATAGCTGAACAAAATGGTGTTTCAAATGCAAAGGTACTTCTTGAAATGAAGATTCTGTTTGAAAAGATTAATTTTTTCGATGAAAAGAAGTATGAAAATAAGGTTATCGATGTTGAAAACCAATATAATAATAGACATAACGGCAATATTGCAGTGGATGCTTGTGCAGTCCCAAAAATTAAGGAAATATTTCACACAGACAGTTCCAAGTTAATCAACAAGGATATAGCAATATTGAAACAGTTAGAAAATAGTGATATTCTAAAATTAGAGCCATTGAAAAACGTGGAAAGTCTCATTTCTGAAATTGAGGATGGTAGAAATAAAATAGAAAACAATAAGTATGCCAATGCCATTTATAAAAACTTTTTGGAAATAGGCAATAAAAACAAGATCTGCCCACTCTGTAAGAACTGCATGAAGGACGAAACTATGCTGAGCTTCAAGACTAGACTGGAAACCCTCCTTGAAAAACTGCCGGAACGTGTGAAGGCCACTGAAGCGAAGCTGGAGACTCTTAAGAACAATGTTAAGATACATGAGAAGATGAATGCAGAGATTGAACAAAGAAATAGTGCTAAAATGAGAATAAGGCAGTTGATATCTGAGCTTCTAGAATGTAATTTCGAGAATGCGATGGACAACATGGCAAGCATACTCGAGAAGAAGATACATGAAGGGCAGGTCGAGTTAGACAGACTAAAGCAGAAGTTTGCAGATGTTAAAAATAAAAAAGACCAACTAAAATCCATGGAAAACGAACTTAGTAATATTCAAGAAGATGTTGATATAGCATCAATCAAAGAGGATCTCAACAGCTCAAAATCTCATTTAGAGCAGAAAAGAGCTGAACTTTCCTTATACAACAAAGAAATCAAACAGAAAGAGTGTCTGTCAAAACTTATCCAACAAGAGAAAGAAAACAGAGAAAATATTAAGACACGTGACAGGTATATAGAAGATTTAAAGAGTATTAAAGTAGTTAACCTGAAAACACTTGAGAACTCTATTTCCATCAAAGAAGATAAGCTAGACAAGATAAAGAAACGGTACATAAAAAGAAAAATGGATGTTGAAATAAAGAATGAAAGGATAGCCCAGATAGACCGAATAGTCAGGCAGACCAAGGAGGAGATAGCAGTGCTAAAGGCATCTATTACAAATAGCTTTTATGATGAGACCGTGATGTTTAATCGGCAGATTCTACAGGTCGAAATATTAAAGGATACCAACGAATATGAAAAGATAAGGTCTCAGATAATGGAACATAAGAATAAAATAATAAAGCTCACAAAAGAGCTGGAAATGGCAAAGTATAACTTATTAGTTATAGAGGAGAATATAAAGTTAAGAAGGACCAAAGAAAGAATTGTTAGTATCGAGAATGAGCTTAAAAGCTTCGATTCTACCAGGTATGTCCAACTAAAGGACAAATATTCACAGTATGAGGATAAAAAAATAAAAATGAGCAGTTCTGAGTCTGTAATCAAAGGAGAATTAAAGCAGCTGGCACATACACTTCGAGCCCTAGGCGAGGAGTTGGAAGCATATGCCAATTCCAATAGGAACTATCTTACATGCGCAGTAGAAATCAAGACCCTTGAGTTAGGTCTAGATGATATGGACAAGTGCATTAATGGACTTGATAAGGCAATTGTAGATTTTCACAGTTCAAAGATTGAAGAGGTGAATAAGACACTGAGAGATTTGTGGAGTAATACTTACAAAGGAAACGATATTGATTATATTGAGTTGAAATCTGAGAGTTCTGAAACCAGGGCATATAACTACAGGATGGTAATGGTAAAGAGTGGAGTAGAGCTAGATATGAGGGGTAGATCTTCGGCAGGCCAGAAGATGATAGCTAGCATTCTATTTAGAATTGCATTAGCTGACTCATTTTCCTGCGGCTGCAATGTCCTAGCACTTGACGAGCCAACAACAAATTTAGATAGGGAAAATATTGAAAGTTTAGCACAGACACTCTCATTAATTATTAAAGAAAGGACTGATTTCCAACTGATTGTGATTACACATGACGAGGAATTTGTACAACTTCTGAACCGAGAAGGAACAGAGTACTTCTACAGATTAAAAAGAGATTCAAAGGGGAATGGGCACATTGAAAGGCATTCAATTTATGCCAAAAAGAGATGAAAACAAATAAAATCCCATATAATAAATAATTTCCATACCATAACCTTTTTATTCAACAGCGTTTATTTCAAGTAGTCTTGTGTTTATGCATCTGCCTTCATTATTCCTTAAAAAATTTCAGTTACTTTATGCAGATGAGAATCCCTTTAATGAGAAAGAACATGCGAACACTAAGCTATGGAAGAAAGCAGTCCAATGCTAGACAGAGCTTAGAAGTCAATAAGCCAAAGCAAGAGGATGGTGTAAGGTGCAACACACAACCGATAGAAGCATGTAGTTCCCAACCTGTTCAATGTAAGAGAATTAAGATTATTATAAGCAACAAGAAAAATAGTATAGCAAAAGAAGCCACCAATTCTGAACAAACTATTACTAACGAGCATAACACAGCCACTATAAACGAAGATAAAATTCAAGCTATAAATGCAAGAATTGATGAGAGTGGCATGGCTAAGCCCATACAAAATAAATCCAATGATATACCAAGCATTTTTAGTGATAATCCATCCCTCAAAGTGTTTAATGAGCACACAAAAGATGAATTGATCCCCTTCATTACCAACTTGGATGTTAATACACTTTCTCCAAGCACAATCCATGTCTTTAAACTTATATGCGAGTCTCCCTACTTTCATTTTGTCTCCAATAAACTTAGGAGCTTCTTATTCAAAGTCCTCAACTTTAAAACCGACCTACCAAAAGAGTCAAAGCTGCTTACAGGGGAGTATCTCAGCAGATACTTCTGTCCAGTTGATAATTTTAGAGACTTGTCCACTCTTTACTCTACGGTTGATACCTTTAAAGTCTCCAGGACTACCTTTCGCAACAGCATTCTTTTACAGTCCTTAACTGACATTTTCATCCAAAGCAGGGACAAAAATCAGCTATTCGAGTCCCTTGAACAGTGTTTTCAGTACCTTCCCCAGTGCATTTCTTTTGTGGAGTTTCTGTGTAAGAACCCTACTAACTTTATCTGTAGACATTTCCTTATTGTATATTGCTTTGGGTTTCTTAGAAGTATTAAGGCTGATTTACTTTCAATCAAGAGCGTGGAGGATGTCAAAGAAGTTGATGAAAGTGTAGCAAGTAGAATATTCGTATCGTTTTCAGAAATATACAATGAATCAACAGGTGATGGCTTTAATACTAAAACTAATGACAGTGTGATAGATGAAAATAAGCCTAACACAAGTACTGGCAACAAACCCAGCAATAATACTGATGCAAATCATATCCTGTCAAATAATCTTATCTTCTCGCTCTTCAATTCCGAAAACATGAAATCAATCCTCCTCTCCATTTACAAAAGGCTCTTCTTTTTCTTTCTATTTAAAAACAGGAGAATATTCCAGGGATTGAAAATATTCAGCATTTTTACAAAGGAAGAAAAGTCAAGTATTTATAAGAACATTAAAAAATACCGGCCCTCCTTTGTTAATATTTTCAAACAGATAGATCAAGGATACCTCCTCAGAAGCATTGCCAACAACAGCGCCAGCAACGTAGCTTCAGTTAACGGAGATCTTATATTGGCTATAAAGGAGGAAAGGCTGGACGAGGAAAATCTAAGAGCATTTTATTCTTCCTACTTCTTCTGTTTGGAAAATTCAAGAACACCTTTAAAAATCAAATGCGTAAATTTAGAAATATTCTGTGACGAATTCAACAATCGACTTGACAGGTCATTTATAAAGTATATTAAAATATCTGAGAATGTAAATGATGGCTGTTATACCCTAAATATGCTTAAATTCATGCACTGCATAGCAAAGGAAATTAATAAGCAGGTAGACAACAGCGATGGCATAGACACAAGTTTAATGGCGCTGATTGATACTGTGCAGTTAGTCTCACTGATTGTGGATGATCCACCATCCTTACTTGATCCGTCTAAAATAGATTACTTTAATGTTCTATTGTGTATTCTGTTCAATTGTTTTAGATTACTGAACAGTCCTTTAGTTATGAGACTACTGCCAGTACTTAGAAGGATACTTGCCTATAAGGAATATACAATGAATGCAGGAAAACTGTATAACAGAATATATGAGATATACAAGTTCAAGGATCCATTGTATAGCATGGACATAGACTCAAATACTATGTCGTCTTTGCTGGTGAAGTCTGCTATTAACCATCCATCCTTTGAATCTGCTTTTAGTATTTACATTCAAAAATACAACACCGAAATACTCTTTGAAAAGGATAAGGCCATTAACTCATTTGATAAAGATGGTAGCGTTGTTGATTTATTGCCTCCTTTCGAGAAGGGTGTTGTCTCCAACTCTCTAATCTTTTATATTCAATACAATCCTCTCTTTTCCGTATCTTTCTCCTCCATCCTCGTTGATACCCTAAAAAGGAAGAACCAAAGTACAAAATACTTTCTATCTATTTTGAAAGAAAATACTTCACAGTGCTCATCTTTTATTACCAGAAATATCAATGCTATTCAGGAGCTGTTCTTTCATTTTGAAAAACAGGTTGACGGCGCAGTGTATCCTTTTGAATGGGACATCCTTGAAGTACTCTTTGAGTCCCTAAAAGCAAAGATAATCCTGCCTTGCATGGCCATTCCTTATATTTTATGTAGAAAAGATTGCTTGTATGTTTTTAAAAACTATAAGGAAAGCTGTGTAAATTGCATAAATGACTGCATATACACTTTAAGAAGGAGAATAGTAAGCATGCTGAACAGCTACAAGGGTGATAACGGTGATAGTAAACATCATACACTCGTAGATCTATCAATTATAGACAATCTTTTTGATCTGGAACTTTCAAATAATTTTTTTTACTTGTGTTCCAATAGAATATCCTTGAAGAAAACTATTGAAAAGACTGATTATCAAAACGATAGTCTTGTCGTTTACATTATTTTGAGGTGTCTGAGGCCGTTTAGTAAAAAAGATAAGGAATTGGTCATAAAGCATGTCACTGAGAATGTTGGGGAGGAGAGGATCTTTGAAATGATAGAAAAGGCAAAGAAGTACTATGAAAAGAATCCCAGGGGAAGGCTGCCAGTTGAGTATGCTCTGTAAAATATTAAATCTACACATGCAGTCTGGTTTACGTATTAAGTAAATTATTAGTGCTTGTTTGGAAGGCGTTTACTGAATAGTTGAGGGCTCAAGCTTTGTACAATGCTGTTAAAAGCGGTACTTTGCTATGGCTTTGTTAATTTGATCCTTATGAGTTCATTTATGTATAAACCGGAATATTGTACTATGCTAAATGGCGATGCACTTTTACTTAAATCCATTTGCAAGCACAAAATTCTTTTATTTTCCGTTGCTTCTTTCTATCCTTCATTTAATAGCTCCACGTATGGAAGAGAACAGTGAAAGAACAGGCAATAAAGCAAACAATGTAAAAGATGAATGCGCAAGCACATCACATAAATTCACCAGAGATGAAATCAATGCTGTTCTTCTCGAATCATCGTCCTCGCTCAACAAAAACATTCAGTCAATTATAGAGGACCATTCTGGAAATTACTGCAGCATCTCCGATATTCACAATAGTACGTACAAGGACGTATTAAGTGTCATATTTGATGTAATCTTTGACACTCCTAACTACAAAAAGCAGGTATCTCTCATTGATTCTATTTTAGACTCTTCTCCTTGTTTTTTCCATGCCTTGCTCTTCCATTTTACGATTGAGCACTTCAAAGGAATCCCTACAGACAGGAAGGATAAATTCTATTATCTTATTAAAAGGACTTTTAATAGAGTGCCTCTAGAGTACTTATTAGAGATTAAAGACTGGGATGTAGCGGAGTATATTTGGAGTATGGTGGAGAACAAAAATGAGCTTGAAGACTGGGATGATCATAGATTCATAAGGTATGTAATTAGCTGCAAGCCATTCATTTTGAAAAGTATAAAGATAAAGCTAGACAGGAACATAGTTAGAGGGTGCTTGGACGAGCCTATGAGTTCGCAAGCACGGGAGGCACTGTATAGATTATCAGAATAAATTTATTTATATTTTACTTGCATGCCTGGTACTAAAAGCTAGTATTTTAACAGATCTAGTTTAAACTGATTTCCTAGATTACTGGCATAATAAACTGACGATGCTGCTAATATATATGTGATTGATTAACCTAAAATGGCCAATTAAACACACTATGTTTATAGCTTCAAGGTAAGACTGGCAAGCGTAACTACAGATGCATGCCATCTAGGCAAGATAAAAAGTCTTCAGCACGTCTTTGTAGCCCTTGTTCGGTAATGACGAATGTAAACGAATTGAAAGAAAAGTTTATACAAGCTTTACAAGATTATCCATTTGAAAGCGAGGAGGAAGCCTTGAAATTGGGAATGAAACACTTCACAGTCCAGAAGAAAGATGAGTTCACTGCTTTGGAAACTCCATACATGTTTAGAACAGCTATTCAACCAAAAAAGACAACTAGTCAGATTTGCCACAACTACGAAGAGGGGTCCAGCTCAGAAGAAAGCACCGATGAATGCTCTGTTTTCTATGGTGAGGAGATAAAAATGGACATGGACTTGTTCATAAACAACAAGCTTATTGTCGAGGACTGTGCCTTGACTCTCTTTAGAAACCAGAAATATGGATTGGTTGGGAGAAACGGGATAGGAAAGAGTACGCTTTTGAAGGAAATAAGAAAAAGGAATTTTGGAATACCAAAAGGATTGAAAATCCATCTCCTTAAGCAGGACTATGTAAGTGATGAAAAAGTCTTAGATTTTGTGGGTGCAGATGCAGGAAAGATACTTCAGAACTTGGGATTTAAAAAAGAGCAGATGGACGCCACCATCCGGAGCCTGAGTGGGGGATGGAGGATGAGAGCACAGCTAGCAAAGGCTTTGCACATAAACCCAGATCTCCTACTCTTGGATGAGCCTACAAATTTTCTGGATATCAAGGCCATTAATTTTCTTGAATCTCAGATGGATAGCCTTAAGACAGTCATAGTAGTTTCACATGACAGAAACTTCTTGGACAACGCTGTTGATAACATCCTGCATTTGAATAACTATAAGATTAAGGTGTACAAGGGAAACTATGCACACTTTGTTAAGCAAAAGGAAGATGAAAGGATGGCTCAGCTTAAAGAGTATGAGAATGTTAAAGCACAGAAGGAGCATATTCAAAGTTTCATAGATAGGTTTAGATACAATGCAAAGAGATCGTCCCAGGCACAGAGCAGGATTAAGTTACTTGAAAAGCTTCCAAACGTTGAGCCACCCAAGGAAGATCCCAGGATGAAGTTTAGGTTTAAAAGTACAGGTGCAAAGGGAACATTGCTTGAAATGGAGCATGTCAAATTTTTGTATGGTAAAGAAGATGGCAACAAAGACAGATGTAGTGAGAATTTGAGGATGGTTTTTAAAGACTTGAACTTGCGTATTTCTCATAACTCACGTATTGTAATTGTTGGGGAAAATGGAATGGGCAAGTCCACTCTCTTGAAAATACTAACTGGCCAGCTAAAGCCCGAATCTGGAAAAGTAAATGGACATCCTGCATTAAAGGTGGGGTACTTTGCACAGCACCACGTTGATCATTTAAATCACAATATGGGGGCCCTTTCATTTTTGGTGCAAAAACACGAGGAGGAGGCAAGTAGGGCAGCACTGTCCAATTTTGGACTGCATATAAACAATCAGAAAATAGGCACCCTTTCTGGTGGACAAAAGTCCAGATTGGCACTGGCGATGATTAGTCTTGATAGCCCCAATCTCCTACTGTTGGATGAGCCCACGAACCATCTTGACATGGAAACGATTGATGCATTGGCAGATGCGTTGGAAAACTTTGACGGAGCTGTTGTGTGTGTTTCACACGACTTAGCATTTGTTGAAAAGGTATTTAAAGACGTTTATATTTGTGAAAACCAGGATTTGGTGTATTTTAAAGGAACATCGATTGAATACAAAGAAACGTTGAACAAGAGTATAAAAAATTAAATATTTTTAAATAATAAATGCCTTTTTACGGATCAATAAACAAGTTTTGATGTAGAAGACTTGCAGCGTAAAACTAAACGACACAAAAATATTTAAAAGCTCGATGGCATTTAATTTCGATGATCGGGCCCATCGCCAAACGAAAAATCATAGAATTCCAGGGTAGCATCCAAGTAGATCAGGGAAAACATTAAATTTTTAGCAAATCCGGGATTGTTAATGTCTGCTTTTCTGTGTGGATAAGTATTGAACACTGACGAAAGTGAGTCGATGGTGTGTTTCCAGCTGACTAGCTTGTCTTCAAACCCACAAACTGATGACAGTGCATCCTGGGTTTTTTGGCTTTTGGCAGCTATTCTTATGAACTCATCGCGGAGAATTTTAAGCATATCCAAAACGGTATCTTTGGACAAGTCACATTCCTGGTCTTTCTCATTTTTAAAAGGTAGAGCATCAAATATGCCTTTAAGTGATGTGAGTAGCAGCTTAAAGTCGAAGTCTGCACTTCTAGACTTGGCGATGTGCATCTCTTTCTTGATGCGCTCAATATTACCCTGTAAGTTAGCTCGTCGAGTCTGTTTCTCTGGCTTTTTAAAGTTTGGAATGTAAATAAAACCTGCTAATAGCTTTTCCGATTGCTCTTCGGAAAGATGTGGCTCGCGTGTTCTCAATGCCGGATATCTTGGCATATTCCTCACATGGAATGCCTGTTTGTATAGGAAATGTTTACGATCTTCCATTCTTAGAAAAGCATTCAGGTAAGTCAATGCATATGCTAGGATTTCTACTAGTTTATAATCATTCAAATTTCTGGACTTGGAGTACTCAAAGACTGTTGAAATATAATAAATAACATGTCTGCAGCGAATTTCTTGTCGTTTAAACCTGTTCATTGACAAAAGAACTTGTTCGGCTATTGGGCTTTGGCCGATTAATTTCAAAAATTCCCTGTGGTGGATTCTGAAAATACCAAGGACAGTATCTTTAAGCGGCAACACACGGTTCTTACGACCGAGTGGCAATGCATCGAATATCTGATTAAGAAGATAGACTAGACGCCCAGGGTGGAGCGGCTCATATTTTAACGATCTAGACCTAATCGTACTCTCAATAAAGTCAAAGTTCAAATCAGTCTCCCTGGCTGATTTAGTTGGTGCTTCAGGATCATAAGACTCAATTGTTGATACATCAGACATATTTTCAGGTAAAAGAGTCCAATCATTTATCGAAGTAGATTCGCTGTCATTTGAATCTTCTTGATCTTCTAAAGTGGAAGATTCTATTTCAGGTAGCCCTGATAGATTCTTGTTTATAATGCACCAGTCATCCATTGCAGTAGACCCATCCTCATCGGATGTTCCAGACTTCTTGATAGATTCATGCTCAGATGTGTTGATAGACTGTTGACTTTCAACTAGCTTTTGGCTTTCAGAGGCTTTTAAATCCTTAATTTGATTCATGGGGTCATAGGATTTAATTGTTGGTACTTCAGATAAATTTCTGGGCAATAAAATCCAGTCATCATCCGTTGAAGTCGATTCAGCTTTATCAGAAAAATTTCCAGTATGGCTCTTTATATCCAGTTCTGGCTCTTGAACTGTTGGGCATGGGTCGATAGTCCTATTGTATGTCAAACTATTTACCAGTCCTACAATTACTAACATTAGCTTCAACATTTTATCCTTCATAGTTTTTCTCATCTAAATAGGGGTAAAAATTTTTGTCAAAATTTTCAAAACGTCAATAACGTTATAGGTTAAAAAGATAATGGCTGTGGTAATCTGCATTAAAGGAAATGCTTTGTTATAGAAGATAATACTTGATAAACATACAGCTTTAATCACATACTTATTTGATCAGAAAAGCTAATCAGTTGTTGATCTTTCTTCAAATATTCTTTACTATACAGATGCAGTCCTAAGTGCATCAAACCCTTCCATATCTCAGTGTCAATACAAAAGGATGGATCATTACCATGGTTAAAAGCCAAGTGATTTTTCAAGAAGGAAATGGTCATGCCAATATGAAAAAACAACTTATTATAGCTCAATCCCGTATACACGCTATCAAGATCACATCCAACTGCATCCTCAGAAATTTGAAAATAATAGCCAATTCTAGCCAGTTCAATATACATTGCAAAAAAGATATGATCGATCGAATCTTTATAAAAGCAAATATTACCACCAGTACAAATCGTTTTAAAGATCGCATCAATGTATTCTAGAGATTTTATGCTTTTTTCAAGATCAAAATGAGCATTTGCAATATATGCAGAATCAACGTCCCTTCTCACAATATCCTTAATTTCGTCCCATCGTATTTCCTGAAGTATTGAAGTAACACCTGAAGATAGATCATCAGGCTCTATCAAACAATCCTGCTCATTATCATTAGTTCCATTAGAAATATCAGGTTCAAACGGGTCAGATGTGTATGAAGTATTTTCAGTGCTAGGATTCATTTCACGTTGCTGAATCTCCCCGCCATTATAACCAATTGTACCATTAAATTGATGGTTTGAAGTGATGCTGTATTGTACTGAGCTGCCTTCTGAACCGTTAGAACATAACACGGTTTCTATCAAAATCAAATTCAACTTGTTGAGTAAAACTTTTTGAAACATGGTTGAGTCAAGAATAAAAATTTTAACCATCAATGAAAAAGGCAGATATGGAAAGGTTTAGACTTGTAAGTAGAAAGACTGGTCAAAATATAGACTGATGTTGAATTGAATGAAATGCTAGAAGGCGCTTCGTTTTCTTATGAACAAGCGAGTATCAAAGTGCTTATATTGTTTACACTCAAACATTCCAGTTGGTGTAAGTATCTTTCCTCTACAATGAGTTTTTGCTACATATTCTAATCTAGAATGGCAGTCATAGTTGTTGATATGCTTAAATAATCTTACTTTTCTGTGTGTTGAAATATTTAAATTATACCTTATTCTTGTATATCTTTACTGGTTTAAGCCTGTTAAGCATTAATAATGTGATAAAGATATTTTAGCAAAGTTTTCCGCTACCCTAATGAAGATCGATAGAGTCACCAATATTATTGGGATATTACATTCAGTGTTGGTAGAAAACACTAAGCGAAGTAATGAAGACAGATCGGATTGTGCCGTCTCATTGAAAGGAATGAAGATGTCAAATTTGGAAATCTATGGATCTGAAGATAGTTCAAAAACTCCCGTTTCATTACAAGAAATAATCTTGCCGGATTTTATAATAGTGGCAAACGCATTGGCTTCAAAGGGGCAGATAGATTTAAGAACTCAATGCTCACAAAGTGCTGATGTAAACTTTTATGACGTCTATCAACACTTGGGGTTCATCACTGAAGAATGTAAATCACTCGACCTTTCAAACATGTGCTTAAAAAGACTTCCAATCAAAGCGATAGCGTGTATGAAGAACTTAAAAATGTTAAATGTGTCGTATAATCCCCATTTAGTCCTCAAAAATAAAGACCTTAGAGTTTTAAGGGAAAGAATGGAGAAAATAATTTTTAGAGGCATGGGCCAAATCTACCTGAATCAGCTAATAAAGCTAATGAAGATGCCAAAGCTATCTTACATGGATATTTCATACAACGATTTATCAGTAATGCTTTACAGTGATGAGTTTAATTTCGAAATACCAGGAGCTAAATTCCAGGGGCTGAGGATGAGAAGTTGCCAGTTGGACTTTAACAATTTTAGAATGATTGTATCGAAATTTAGACATTTGGAAATCTTGGATGTTTCGGAAAATCCCAGGATAGGCTCAACAAAGCCAGAAAACAAGAAGATCATATTTGGAAATTTGAAAAATACGCTTAAAGACCTTGACATGAATTTTTGCAGACTAGACATAGAATGGATGAAATCAATCTGTGATTGTAAAAAATTAGAGAAGTTAAATCTGAGCCAAAACGGAGAAATAGGAAGAGTGAATCCTAATAGTCTCGACTTCTGCAACTTAAGAAGAAGCCTTACTGAGCTGACGATGCGCGATTGTAATATTAATTTAGATTGGCTTAAGAAAATATGTACATTTAAGCAACTGTCAAGGCTAGATGCTAGCTTTAATGATGAAATTGGAGAAAGAATAACGTCTGAATTTGATCTTGGCAACCTGAAAGGCACTCTTGTTGAGCTGGACTTAATGAAATGTGATTTGAATTCGAATGCTTTAAGTGCTATTTGCAAGCTTGAGAAACTAGAAAAGCTAAATCTCAGTAGAAATAGTAAAATTGAGAACAGTAAGGTTTCAGAGGTTGATTTTGGCAACCTGAAAGGCACTCTTGTTGAGCTGAACTTAATGAAATGTGGCTTGAGTTTCAATACTTTAAGTGCTATTTGCAGGCTTGAGAAACTAGAAAGGTTGAATATCAACATGAATTATTCTATTGGATGGGCTATGCTATCAAATTTTGACGTTGGTAATTTGAAAGGTACTCTTGTTGAATTAAAAGCAATGGAATGTGACCTAAACTTGGATGGGCTGAAGGCTATTTGTAAGCTTGAAAATCTAAAATCGTTAGATATTGGCTATAATAAAATGCTTGGATATGGCATATCATCGGATTTTCACTTCGACAATATAAGAAATACTCTCGTTGAACTAAAAGTCGATGGTTGTAACTTAAGCTTAAATGGGCTGAAGGCTATTTGTATGCTTAAGAAGCTAGAAAAGCTGGATGTTTGTTGGAACGTATTCCTTGGACAGGATATGACTTCAAATTTTGACTTTGCTAATATAAGAAGTACCCTTACTGAGTTGAAACTGTTGTGCTGTGGCTTAAACTTAGATGCATTGAAGGCTGTCTGTAAGCTGGATAAGCTAGAAAAGCTAGACATTTCTTTTAATCAAAATATTGGACAAGAAATGGGCCTGGGCTTTGATTTTGGAAACCTAGCAAATACCCTTATTGAGTTAAAGGCAGAGCGCTGTAGTTTAAGTATTTATGGATTGAGAGCTATTTTCAAGCTTAAGAAGTTAAAAAGATTAGATATTTGCTGGAACTTGGGCATTGGGCGATTTATAACACCTGGCTTTGATTTTGAAAATTTGGAGAGTACTCTCATTGAACTAAAAATGAGGTGCTGTGATTTAGATGCTGATATATTAAAGGCCACTAAAAACCTCAAAATGCTAGAAAGGCTAAATATTGGATACAATCTGGAGATTAGACGAAGACTGACATCAGAATTTGATTTTGGGAGCTTGACCGATACTCTTGTTGTATTGGATCTAAGACGCTGTCAAATTGATAGTACGTTGCATAAAACAATTAGGAGTAAGTTCAAAAACACAAGAGTAGTGTTCTAACTTTAGAGTGGCAACAAATAAATCTTTGGTATTGAAACTGGTCACAATTATTGTTATGTTCTTTAATAATGCCTATCAATCAAGCTGTATTTTACATTACTATTCATTCAAATGACAGATATAAGCGAAAATAATGGCATTGGAAAGTCCTTCCTTCAGAGTTTGTTCCTGGCCCAAAGCTTGCATTGTGGTTTAAGTAAGGACTTAGAGACCATTTGTAGACCCTTACAATTACAAAGCTAGACTCTCCATTAAATCAAAAATTTGGGCCAAGAGTATGCTTTAAGCTTGCAGAATTAAAGATTTTAGTTAAGCCGAAACAGCATGGTTGTAATTAATGAATGTATACACGTTTATATGCCGGTTATCAGAAGCCGTTAGTTCTTCCGCGACCAGTTTGTTGTTATTTTCGTTGGTTGCAAAAGGTTATAAGTTTTATTATATTAGTCATTATACCATGGTCGTTAAATAGCTCACTATTTGTACATCCATGCTGAAGAGGTGGCCGAATGCATTTCTGATGTATTATTCATGCGCTACGGCATTCTCTTCTTTGTAGCTGAATTTTTGTTGTCTGCATCTCCTGTTTTGCCATACCTGTTAGATGAAGAACAAATACAAAGGTCTCTCGAAGCAGTTAGTCTAGTATATTCTTGTACATCATTTACAGTCTCTTGGACATCAAAGACAAATGTGGATATTTCCGTTTTTCAACTAAATGAGCTGTTGCTCTTAATATTTTCTTTCTTTGGTAAAACACTGATTTTTAAAACGTTTATTGGTTAATTTCAAAGGCTTCTTGTGGAGTGATTGTACCTCCATCCTGAACCATTTCGATATCCATCATGTCAATATCAGAATGGTGTTGATCAAAAGATCGTGGCTCAGGCAAGTTCAATAGTTCCATGTCTTGAGTTGTGTCTTCTCCAGGGCCTGAAGTCTTTTGTTGTTCCCTTTCTATATTAGTTCCTATCTTAGTTGAATCTAAAAGTGTAGTTTGAGCATAGTCACTGGACACCAGATCCGAAGATGACGACGGCGCTACTTGACTAGGTGCATTATGAGATATTTGGTTTAGGCTTTTTATCAATTTCAGTACATCTTGTTCATTAAAAGGTGAAAATGATGCGGAGCTGACATCAAATGATGGATTTGTGGATGAAACACATGGACTAGAAGGAGGCGTTGGGTTTTCACCATCAGGCATGAATATTTGTTGTTCTGAATTATCATTTGGAATTTGTGATGCATGCACAGACATAGACGTGCTGATTAGTATCGCAAAGAAAGTAAATTTAATCATCCTGGAGTTATTTTTGTCTGCACAAAAAATTTTATATTTTAGGCCAAAAAGGAGTTTCGATCAGATCATTGTTAAAAGAGCTGCTGGAAGAAATTGATACAAATATATGAGCAAAAATATTTAAGATTAATGGAGTGCTTAATTGTACAGTTGCATTTATAAATAGTAAAGACATATGGCCCTGTGGCTTCGCCACGATCAAAATCAAACACATAGTCTTTAATAAGCTAATAGCTTATTTATAGTTAACAATAGTTTATTAAGCTTTAGTTTTATCTTTCAATACATTTTATGTATCTTTATATCATGCTGGTTCTCCTTTAGATTTTGAAGCCTCCAATATCCTCAAGCATTAAGGTATATTTTTGCCAAACTCTTCGCTCAACCCAGAATTACAATCTACAAAAGGATTAAGCATTTCATCTACAAACATGCTCGTAAGGGCATCTACGGTCTTTTTAGATTTACTCTTTGCACCCAAAAACTGGCTTAGTATTCCAGGTTTGTAACTTACATCTCTGTCTGTAGTTCTATGAACAGTGACTATTTTGTGCCCACTTTCAAGAAGAGTAGTACTTGAGACAAAGTCGTCGATTGAAAGCGGATCCTCGGTGTCAAGTGCAGAATACGCTAGAAGATATGCAACAGAGTGCTTTTTCTCTCCAAAGTATTTATAAAAGATAATCTTATTGTTTAGTGTTGCAAGGACAACTAGCATGGGCAAGGTGAAAACAATTGAAGAAAGTAAGAATGCTTACAATTTGCCAAACAAGTTTCTTTTAATCCTTTGATGAACATTTGTGCTCATCAATTTACTTTTCATCAGTCTATATGAGCCAACTTTTCTCCGTGCCATGCCATTCTTTCCACAGGACAATTCTGGATCTAGTGGTATTATTTGCTGTCATGTACGATTTATTCTGTTTCTTGCTGCCACTTGTTTCCAATGTACAGTTCCTGAGATGCAGTTGCATCCTTGAATTTCTCCATTAGATTGCCAATGCCTACATTTTCAATATTAAAACGAATACAGAATTAAACTAGCTCAATGTCTGGTTCTACATCTCACCAAATAGATACTTATTGTATATTGAAATCACATACGCTTTTCTCCATTTACAGTTTATATATAGATATATTAGCCCACTATTTAGATTCTTTACAGTTTTCTTATTATTATTGCTGTTGTTGGAATATATTTCTCTTCTGGAGAACCTATGATTCGCAACTGTTACAACTACCATCGGCCTTATTTGAAGAATTACTTGTACGATGGTCATCGGGCATTAGCAAATTTTTTGTGCAGAAATTTAACTGTATATTTGCATAGTCTATGGTTTGGTAGATAATATTTATATTATATCAAAATATAGTTAGTATAGTAATGCCAGAAAATTGTAATAATATGTTCAATGTCGTTAAAAACATATCCAGTGAAATTGAACTACACAGTGTAGAAGAATATCAATGAGCCTTGTGGGAGATCAAATGTAGCTTGAAGACTTCACTTCATTTAAGTTTAGTACTGAAGTAGATACATATCATCAATGCACATAAATCTAAGTAAATATCCTAAAAGATTATCCAACTACTGTCTTTAATCATCTCTTAAAGGCTTTGGCAGCTTTGTAGGCCCTCCTCAAAGAGGCAGATATTCTACCCCAAGGCATCTCTATTCACATCATGTTTTGTATATTACTTATTTAATAATGCAATCTAAATTCCATACACCAGCTACATGTATTGATAAATCAGATTGTTAAAAGTCATACTTCCTTGCCAACGTCGTTATTATATTATTTATTCTTAGTGTCATAAAGATACTTGTCTAATTTCTGCAGAAAGCCTAAATTTTCATATGCTTCTTCTTGAGATTTCATTAATCTAAATTCCTTAATAATCCTTTGGTACTTATTCTCATTTTCATATTCAACATGAGAGAATATTTTTAAAAACATACACAAGAACTCACCATCAACAGAGTCAAGTCTTGCCTTGAGTTCGACAGTGCTGCACTTCTTTTCGTTTTCCGAACAAGTGGTTGGAAGATAGCTAGAATAGAAATACTCAACATCAAACTTACAAATAAAGTCATGTAGAATGTCGGAGATATTTCCATAAACATGATACTTTGACTTGTTCAGAAGGAATGGTTTGCTAAACGTCTTTCCAACATGGATAAAGGGAATAGACTTTTTGTAAATGTAGAAACAGGGAGCACGTATTGCAAAGTCAAGGTTGATGTGGAAAGTAGAAATGCCATCAGTGTATAGCAACGCATAAATATCACATCTACTTCTCAGAGTAGTGGTGGTAAACAGTGTCACCACGTTTTTTGGTAGATTGGATACCACTTTTTTATCTTCATTGTTCACCGATTCACCAGAAAGACTATAAACATCAATTGCCTGGAAATAATTAGGAAAATATGTGCTTTTGAGCTGCATGTTGAACCTTCTTGCCTCTGATTCTTTTGTTAGTCGTGATTTGATTCTTTGAATGAGAAAATAGGCAAGAAGAGAACACAAGAAAGTAAATAGCAGGGAAGAATAGAAAAACATGGGTAGCAAAAATCTGGCAAGTACATTGCTGTAAACAAATACACACTACATCTATAGCATGATATTTAAATCCAATTTATAATAGTCTAAACAATGCTTTGCAGGACATCTTCCATACTATTGCTGGCAAAGAGCTATACGGTTACTATGCAATATGACAAATTTGCATAACAGAAGCGGTGATGCAATAAAACCCATTTACAAGCCAGCTTATGGTGTCTTTGTGAGTCCTAACACCATTATTTTGTATAAATTAAAGACAATACTCAAGAAAGTATTTAAAATATAACATATAACCATTGTTTTATTTCATAAAATAGAAGACTTGTTACAAGTACTTCTTTTCATTGAGATACGACTTCATCAGGTACAGCTTGAAGAAGTTCAATACTGCAAAGGCAAACAGTGAAATGATAGAAAATCCCAGCACAAATGACAGCATCTTCTTTTGTTCATTTCTCAAATCGCCTGACTTGTTATATACCTCTTTAGTGGTAGTTGTAATGTTATTCAGCTTTGCAAGTAAATGATTGAGTGCGTTGATGGCCGGCTTGTACTGTACTTCCTTTGATACCTTTGTGTTGAAGGTGTCTGCAGTACTTTCAAACTTCATTTGAAACTCAGAGGGTGAGGTTGGCGTCTTTTCATCGGCAGCCATTGATAGAATGTGGAGTAAAATGTCCTGCGAATCAGTGTTGTTAAATGAAAAATGTGTTTCTTTGCCTTCAGGAAGGGAATCGTTTAGATATAGAATCCGTTTATCGTCTTTACTTGCTATCTTTACCTTAAACTTCATGTTATGCCCCACTTCAGGATTGAAAAATCCGGTATTGATGTTTTCCGGATCGAGTGTAAACTTTATCGTGATTGTATCTCCTGGTCTTTGAAACACAAAGATTTCTGCTAGTATGCAGCTTAGAAACAGGAAAAACATGGGGTACAAAAACAGAAAACACAAAAGTTGAAGATAGAGAACCAAATGCATATGGATAAGAATAGATGAACAGTGCTAAGATGTGTATTTAATCAACAGCTGATAACATAAGAACATAGACCCAAAAGCCATCTGAATTGCTCTTTTTACCACATATGAATTATATGAGTTTTAATGCAATAGACAGCTAGCTTTCATCAGAACTCACTTCCAAATCATTTTTTAATTTGAACTCTGCTTCCTTTTCCCTTTTGGCGGCTCTTCTTAGCTGTCCTTCGTACATTTCATGCTTAGTCCTCATCTCGCGTTTTATCTCTTTATTCAAAAACCTATGCTTACTAATTCTGGAAATTTCACCAACATACTTGAATTTCTCTTTAAGTGCGTCTGTGTATTCTAATGACTCTTTTTCAAACCTTGAGACAGGTCCTGCCTTTTTACTGGCGTGAGCTTTCCAGAGTCGCAAAGACCCATCGTCGCTACCAGAAATGATAAAGCCTCCATCATTTGAATATTCAACTGCATGCACAATTTGCATTCTATCGTTGTAGTAGCAATCCCTGGTTTTCTCTCATCCATCTTAAATATTCTGATTGTTCTATCAAAGCTACCTGTCACAACCTCTTTCCCATCAGGACTAAATGAAATACTTACAACGGCATTCGTATGTCCTCTATATGTCTCAATAGGCTTGATGCTGTTCCTAATATCGTACAGATACCCATTGCCATCCTCGTTGCCACATGCAAAAAGATAGCCTTGCTGAGGATTGAAGGATACACAGTTGGCACCAGAGTGATCAATCTGCATAAATCCTTTACTAGATCTATTATCATAGAGATCTATAGCTAATCTACTTAGCCCAGCTATGATGTACTTGAACGATCTATTGTACTTTACAAAGGTAATATCATCATTCAAATACGAGATCTTTGGGGTAATTCTGTCAACATCAAATATAGAAATGCCAAGACTGTGGCCAACGCAAAGATCTTGTGAAAAATCAATACCTGAAACTGGAGACTCAACTGCAAACTCAAGACTATTCTCAAGAATGACTTTTTTGTTCTGCGAAACAAATATATTGTTCTTATTATCAGTTGTATTCACTGCTATTCCATTAATCAAGCCTTCGTATTTCTTTTCAAAGATGATATTTTTGTAGAAAAGATCCCACACCACAACTTTGTTGTCGTAACTGGAAGATACAAATACATTTGAGCTATAATCTTTTGACAGTCTATTGATTCCTTCTCTGTGATGTGAAAGCGCTGTTATAAAGGGCTTTGAAAGCATGCGTTCAATTTTAACGGCATTCAGTGCTCTGACATATTCTCTTTCTAAAAGCATTGGGTGATGGACTGGATCCTTGGAGTATCTTCTGTCTGATTTGTCACCTTTACATTCTTTTCTTCTAGCTTCTTTTGAGTGGTAGATGCTCTCTATTTTCATTTTTAGAAGGACGAAAATTTTTCTTTTTAAGACTAATTTTCCATATAGATCATGCAATATAATTTAGTCAAAGTGTCCGACACATTCTTATATATTTAACTGTCAAACAAATTTATATGATTATTTTCTTGTTTTACTAAAAATTTTCCTACTTTACTTCACCATGGGAAAGATGAGTGAAAAGAAGAACCATGAAGAGCTTAGGTTAAAGGACATAGAGTTTGAAAAGACCACACCAGCCCCACTTCCCAGTTATTTTTATATGGAAATGGTCCCGAATATTGATACAAGATCCTACTCAAATGCATTAGATAGCGATTATAAGATCATACACACCCCAATAACAGAGATGTTTCCAATTGATGTGCTGGCAGAGATGAGAAGCCTCGATGATACTAAAACAGAGAGTTGGCTCAGACAAGGAACACAGATAGATAGTCTGTACTACCAAGAGAAGAGTGATAGAAATGAGCTGTTGATGCGAGATGAACAGAAACATACCATTGAAGATGTCCTGGATTATCAGAAGTATTTGCAAGGTACATTTGAGAAAGTGAGCGATCCTGTTAATGACATCATAGAAGAGTATCCGCTCCTGCTATGCGACGATGACTATGTAATAATGACAAGTGACGTTGAAAATACAGGCACTTTTAGACTTGAAAAGGGAGAAACTTCTTTGGTAGACAGATGCATTATCGATGATCAACTTAACGGTAGTAGCAAAGTGTATGACAGTACCAAGCTCCATGTTGAAGATAAGATTTGTATAGAAATTAAGAATGAAAAGGCCTTTTATTCAGCGATAAGATATGTTTATAGATTGTCAGGTGGCGAAAACTAAATATAAAGGGGTATTTTCTCGACTACTCTTGTCTTGGCTTGTAAAAATTATCATCTGATACATATTGACAAACATCGTTTGTACCATGCCAGGTGATGAGTGTCTATCTAAATGCCAAGTTATTATTTGTTTTGAGTCATAGGCTGTTTTCTCTTATTTCTTGTCTTCAAATTACTAAATTTTTTCTCATCCATGAGTAGGGCCAAGGAGTCTGAAATTAAGCCAGAAGGCCAGAAGAATGAGAACAAAGCACCCCAAGTGAAGCTGTATTTAGAAGGGGGCATGGGGTTTAAGACAATAGTACTAGCTAAATCCTCCACCAAAGTTTACAAATTACTAGATGCTTTCTGTAAAGAACATAAAGTTGATCCAAAAGAACACAGACTCATTTATAAAGACAAGGTTCTACACTTGGACGAGAGACTTGAAGCTTACAACTTTCCTTCTGACGCAACTATCAATGTTGTGGCATCCCAGACTGGTGGCTATTCCTACCTTAAAGAGTAAATGCTTTTCGTTCAGACTGTTATTTCTTTGATCTGTAAGCTTTGTTTATTGGCACCATTTATTAGCTTGCTGTCCTTATCTGAAAATCCAGAGTTTATACAAGAATGTAATCATTACATGCAGCATTCTCTTAAGTACCCTTCATTTTCCAGACAGATGAAGTTCACTCCAGTAAATTCAAGCTTTGTTTTCGAACCAATAACAACTCCAAATAAAAACATCCAAAGCTATTTTATGAGGTCCGAGCAGTCTTTTTTCACTCCAGAAAACCTAAAATATCCATTATACCCGTCTTCAGACCCTGCTGCACAGTTCCTAGTCTTAGACGGACTTATTGTGGTTAATGGTAAAAAATCGAGCATGACTTCCTTTTAAATAACAAAATGAACATTGTAAAGTATAAATCTATCCAGAAGTGTCTTGATAACATTTATTCTCTACTTTACAGTGAATTAAAGAGAGTATCTCAGGAGTACGAAAATATAAAGAATAGAACAGTACCTATACAGTTGATTATCAATGATTTTATGGGCAGAAGTGATATAATATCACTCATTGACATCGTTCTCAACCAATTGGGGTTTAAGGCCATAATGATATTGCCATTGTCACTCTGCTTGAGCTTTCATCTAAATCAGAACTACTGTTCATTTATTTACAAAACCGGGTTTTCATTTGTGGATGACTTTTTGTCTTATTGACACCTGTGAAATGACTCAAAGCAATGGTGGTTCGTATGTTAAAGCTAGGCTAGACGATCAGGACTATGCTGAAGAATATAGTAGATTGGCAACAATTGATGAAAGCTTAAGGTTCTCTTGCGATGAGTGTGGTGGAAAAGAAGATACAGAAGAGAAAATTAACAGCCACATTGCTAAAGAACATGGAAGTGGATCATTTTTTGAGTATAATAGAAAAGAAGATTTTGCAGAAAACTTTGCTAATAGAATGAGATACCTCTTTAACAAGGAAAAGTATGAGAAGATTTCAAAAAAGATTTACTCAGTTGATGTTGATTTCCAAAATGCTGAAAGGCTTGAAGGTGTCATAGAAATGGCAATTTCAGGCTCACAGCTGTTTTCTAATCTGGAAAGTTCCAAGGAGTTGTGGATGACAGATCACGAATGGAGAAGTGTGAGACTAAGAGTGTTAAAAGAAAAGCTATTGTTTTACATTTGAAATTAAATCCGATTCTAAGTGTAGATGGCTTTTGGTGAAGCAATTCTCAGCTGACACTATGCCCCAATTTTTATCTTGCATTAAGATATGTTCATATAAAAAATGCTTATGTCCTCCTGAGAAACCATGGCTACAGTTTTTGTGGGTTCAAAATCAAGACCTGTGAAATTCTTTCGGTTTTATAAACTTTTTATCCTGAACCCATGCCAAAGAAATTTATAACTTCGGCTCTTCCTTATGTAAATAATCAGCCACATCTGGGGAACATTGTTGGATCAGTCCTAGGATCCGATGTATACAACAGATATTGCCGAAAGTCTGGCGAAGAAACCATTTTTATATGCGGCACAGACGAGTATGGAACAGCGACTGAAATGGAAGCAATCAAGCAGAATGTACACCCCAGAGAAATTGTTGAGAAGAACAGAGCGCTTCACAAGAAAGTTTACGATTGGATAAACTGTGAATTCGACTTTTTTGGTCAGACAAGCTGTCCAGAACACACTAAATTAGTGCAAGAAATATTCAGAAGATGCTATAAAAATGGATACTTTGAAATACAAGAGGTTGAGCAGTTCTATTGTGAAGAGTGTGCACAATTTTTGGCCGATCGATATGTTGAAGGCACATGCGGACTGTGCGGCTATTTGAACGCCAGGGGAGATCAGTGTGACCAATGTGGTAGGTGTCTTAGAAATAATGATTTAAAAGATCCAAAATGTGTCATATGTTCTGGTGTGCCTCTTGTTAGGTCTTCTAACCATCTTTTCCTGCGTTTAGATTTACTTCAGAATAAAATTAAAGAATGCATGGACAAAAAGAAATACGGATGGAGTGAAAACGCCATTAACATTTACAATGAGTGGTTAGAAAAGGATTTGATATCCAGGTGCATGACTAGAACCCTCAAATACAAATGGGGTGTTCCCGTTCCACTTGAAGGCTTTGAAGATAAGGTCTTCTATGTTTGGTTTGATGCTGTTATTGGATATTTAACATTTTTATCACAGATAAGAGAAGACTGGGAGGAATGGCTTAAGAGTGCGGAATTCATTCAATTCATGGGCAAAGACAACGTTTTCTTCCATTCTTTTATCTTTCCTGGAATACTTCTTGCTTCTGATTCTAACAGCCCTACAGTTGATGTTATCAATAGTACAGAGTACCTTACATTTAACAAGGAAAAGTTCAGTAAGAGCAGAGGCATTGGCATTTTCGGAATGGATCTTGTACAAAAGGATCTGGGGCCTTCATGTTTATGGAGATTCTATCTAATAAAGAGAAGACCTGAGACAAAAGATTCTGATTTTAATATTTTGGACTTTATCAATGTGTCCAATTCTGATCTACTGGGTAATATAGGCAATCTCTGTCAGAGAATACTGAAGTATATTGCAAAGAATTGTGGAAGCAAAATAGCGGTGGACACGATTGATGAAGAAGATCAGAAGTTCATTGACAATGTGAACCATCTTCTTGATGAATATCATGGATGCATGAAAAAAATATCGCTCAGAGAAGGATTGAATAAGGCTGTTGAAATATCGTCTGTTACGAATAAGTACATTCAGGATTTGCAAGGCAAAAAGGATAAAATTGCCCGTGGTTTCCAAATTGGATATTCTGCAATTGTCTTTTTGGCTCATATCTTGGAGCCATTCATACCGGAAACGTCTAAGAAAATCTTTAGAATGTGCAAAGCTGAATCCGGTATTTTCCCGAGTAGGTTTGAAATAATCCCTAAGGCCAGTATATCTTCTGATATTCACATCCTATTTAATCCTTTAACAGAAGAACAATTAGCTAATCTTCAGAGCTATGTCCAAACTGAGTCTAAACCGGACATTTCTGCGATTGAAGGTGTTGAAAAGCTCGCTTTATGAGATTTTGGCTTAAGATTAAATAGCACCTTTGACTGACAACACTCTGGTTGTAACAATAATTTATAGCTTGATTATTTATACATATCATATTTTTATTAGGTCTTTAGACGAGGTCAGCCATATTCCTGGCTGAAGCTGTAACAAATCTATTATGAACTGGAAAATTCTCCACAAAATTTTCACCCAATGGACACGGTGAAGTACGACAGGCAAATCCGTCTTTTTGGAGTAGAAACACAGGAAAAACTCTGCTCAATGAAAGTGCAAGTGCTAGGATCGGTCAATTTGATTTCCGCAGAAATTGTAAAGAATATTGTTCTTCTTGGTGTTGGGAAAATTATAATCAGTAGGGAGCTGTTGGATGAGACAAAAAAGCTAGTTCCTGATTCACTTCAATGCATAAATCCCGCACTTGAAATTATGTTTTTAGATTTTCCAACTGAATGTGACTTTACTTTTAATATCGACATTGAAAGCAGAAATAAGTCAAGTTTCTATTTTGTTTGTTCAAAATGTTTGTCAATTAATGCCGAAACACACATCCACGACTGTGTCCCACTGGAAACGGATCTTTTGGAAGTTAAATACTGTCTGGTTGGGGCACTTGCCGTTCAGGAGTTTATCAAATTCATACAAGGCAAGGATTCAGTCAAATCATACAAAGTAAATTTTTAGAGTAAAATGCTAATCTTATTTCCAATCTTTTGTTCTATAAAATCGTCTATGTGGTCAATTTGATATACTAAAGTGCAGATGCAGTACATAATGCTAGAAGGCAAATTAATAGAAAGATTAAAAGCAATTATAAAGATCGAATGCCACTCTGAGAAGCCTCCTAGCTTTGGAAAACTTACATATTACATCACTGTTAACTTAACAGCCATATTGGTCGAACTAAATAACGTCGTCTCCAACTATCCATCAAGTTTTGACAATTCACACTCGTTAAAACCACCAACTCACTTTGTTCTGCTTGCCTAGTGTGTGCATGGAAATAAGCTTTGTTTATATAACCCCTGCACCTATTTACAACCTTGAGTATCAATAAATTTTTAGAAATGCCAAGCTCTGCAAAAGCCTATTTACAAAACAAAAAGCCGCAAAAATAATAATTAAATAAAAATGGAGCCAAAGAGTAGTCTGAATTATGTTGCAGCACAATCGCTGTCTTCTGCATTTGACTATTTTTTAGTGAGACAGCTACTTTTTTCACGCACCAGCACAATCATTCCCAAAGGTCCTATGCGATGCTTTTTTTCTGTTAAAGCAGCTAATGGCATTAACCATTGACCATTTCGGGTTCTTTTCTCAACGTCTCGTCTCAGACCTTCCTAAGATTTTTCAATCCTTGCAGAAGCTTCTGGCTCCGGGGTAAAAGATTTTAGAGCTTAAGCAAAAGTTGCAGCAAATTTGCTAATAGAAAAAATTGGTGAGCGAGTTGGAGCCAATTTTCATGGTTTTCAAATAAAAGTTCACGTGATTCCAATGCTTTAAATGTCTTCATCAATATTATATATCTTTATACAAATTTGGATTTGCAACTCCACCCATGTCCTTAAAGCTGGAGTTTATAAACATTCTAAACTTCAAGAGTTTCAAAGGTTTACACACCATTTCAGCTTTGGATAATCACTTCACGGCTATTGTTGGGCCGAATGGGAGTGGAAAGAGCAACATTATCGACAGCATTCTCTTTGTTCTAGGATTTAAAGCCAAGAAAATGAGGCATGCAATACTAAAAGACTTAATTACCACTGGATGCTCTGAATGCTGTGTCGAGCTTGTTTTCAATAGCTTTAAACTGTCTAGATCTCTCAAGGGACGAATAGATGATGCTGGTACTGTTAGGACTGTTGTAAGTAAGTATGAGTTGAATGGAAGCGAAATATCAGCATCTGAGTCGATTGAGTTTCTAAAGACTAATGGCATTGATCTTGACAATAACAGGTTCCTTATTCTTCAGGGAGAGATTGAAACAATTGCTATGATGAGCCCCATAGACCTTCTTGAATATATTGAAGATTGCATCGGGACATCAGACTATAAACCAAGAATTGAAACCCTCGAAAATGATATAAAGACACGCCAGGAAGAGTTAGATTCTGCCATGAGTAATTTAAAATTTGTTGAAACTGATTATTTATTCAAAAAAGGAAGAAGAGACGAGAAGGCCAATTTATTGATGTTTAGGAATGAATCATTGGTTATGAAAAACAGGATCGTGCTAGTTAAGCAGGCACTTGCTGAGCGAAAAGAAGTGGGCTTATTAGATGAAAGAGCTATTATTGAGACTAAGCTATTAAAATTAGCAGAGAAACATGAAATGGCCAGTAAAAGTGTGAAAAGGCTGGAAGTTGAAGCATCTAAATTAAATTTGAAGCACAAAGAGGATGGGCTAGTTCGATACAGAAATGAACATAACCGAATTGAGAGAGAAAATAGATCAAAGGATCAGAAAAAAAAGAGAATCGAAAAAAACTTGGATAAGACTTTCAAGGATATTGAAGATAGCAAACAAAGTATTAAAAGCTGGGAAAAGGAATCCATTATTTTAAGGAAGAGCTATGAAGATAACTGCAAAGAAATCGAAATATTTGAAGAAGAAATTAGGAGTAAAAGTAAGGAATTTGATCAATACAGCGAGGTTGAGCAGACAAACTTTAGAAAAAATCAGATTGAAAAAACACTGCTCAGATTGATTGAAAGAAAGGATGGCTTTAATGTTGAAATCACTGGAATAAATGCGTTAAAAGAGAAGGTTAAATCAATACAGCAGAATATTGGCAAGATTGGCGCAATCAAGAATATTTCAAATGAAAAAGTTGCTCTTGAAAATGAAATTTCCAACATTAAAAGCGACATTTCAGCAACATTGCATGAAATTAACCGTAGAAAGCACAGGGCAGAAGAGTTTGAATATCTTGAGCAGGGATACAAAAGAGAACAAGAAGTATCTGAAAATCTCAAGAATGTTCCAGGAGTATTTGGCGTCTTGAAAAGCCTAGGCACATTTGAAAAAAAGTATGAAGATGCAATTGAAGCGTCTACTAAGTCATTGAATAGCATTGTTGTGGATAAAACTAGTACTGCAGAGGAGTGCATTAATATTATCAATAGAAAGAAACTTAATAGAACCACCTTTATCATTTTAGATAAGCTGCCAGAACCTAAAGCAGAAAATTTGCCTAGCAATATTAAGGCCGAATTGCTTTATAAGAGAATCAAGACAGATGGAAGATTTATAAAATGTTTTACTTTGCTATTAAGGATACCCTGTGTGTTGAAGCTTAGAAGATGCAAGGACACTAGCTTTTGGAAAAGTAAGAAGGCGAGTAGTTACATTAGATGGAAAGCTTCTTGAAAAAAGCGGAATTATGAGTGGTGGGAAGGTTACTAAAAAGCTAAAAAGTTTTGCAGAATTAGAACAAATCTATAGCAATATGCAAACACTATTAGAGAAGAAAATGGATCAGCTTGAAGAAATTCGCTTTGTTGAAACTCAAAAGACGATGCTAAGTTCTCTTAAAAATCAGATTGATGAGCTAAACAAAGACATTGTGAGAAGACAGTCCAATATTGACATGGAAGAATACAAGGTTTTGGAAAATAACATTTCTAAGTTGAGAAATGAAATTAAAGAGCTTGAAAATATTAAACTACCACCAAGAGTGATGGAATTAAAAGCAGATATTCAGCTGATTAACGAGAAAATTGATTATTTGCAAAAAATCAACCAGGAAATCAAAATTAAGCTTTCGTTCGAACCCCAAAATAACATCTCTACTCTTGAAAAAGAGTATGCAAGGTTACAAAAAGAGTACGATGCTTTGGAGGCTGAGTTACTGCCAGACGTACATATTCTGAGTACGCTTGAAGAAGAATACAATGCTGCTCTTAAAGTGCATAGCATGATTCAGGATCAGATTAATCAGATTAGAACTGATATGGGTAGTGACTATCATCAAGAAGCTGAGTACAAGGCCAAAATTGAAGAAATTGCAGAAGCCCTCAAGGATGTGTCCAAAGTTAAGGAAAATTGTAGGACAAAGAGGCAAGAGCTTATAAATGAATATGCTATGACTAATAATTTACTCTTAATGATTGATCCGGAAAGGATACTGAGGCTTGATGACAGTATTGGATTTATTGATGAAATGAATGATGTTGAGCTTAAACAAAAAAGCAGGGAGATGATTGAGGAGTTGAATAGCAAGGAAGCTGTTAACTTTAAAAAACTAAAAGAAAGTATAAAATCAGATCAAGATTTCTCTGCTGAGGAAGACCTAGAAATTTACAGGGTTATCTTTTCTGAATATGAATCTGCAAAGAAACTCTATGACGAACTGAAAGCTTCTTGCGATTTTGTTGGATCCAAACTTGATCAAATGAAAGTTGAGCTTGAGAATTTAAACTCAGAACGATTGACTAAGTTCATGGATGGGTTTAATACAATCAACAAGAACATCAAGGAAATCTTCAGCTTGATTACTTTTGGTGGCAATGCAGAACTTGACCTTCTTGATTATCTAAATCCATTTAGGGATGGAATTGTTCTGAGTATAATGCCCCCAAAAAAGTCGTGGAAACAGATTTCAAATTTGAGCGGAGGAGAAAAAACGCTCAGCTCGCTTGCTTTGATCTTTGCTCTTCACAAGTATAAACCCAGTTCGCTTTACATTATGGACGAGATTGATGCAGCTCTTGATTTTAAGAATGTGAGTATTATTTCTCAATACCTTTTGCATGTTGATGCCCAGTTTATTATTATTAGCTTGAGGGATGATATGTTTGAAAAGGCAAGAACATTGGTGGGTGTTTATAAAACCAATGATGTCTCAAAGGCAATAACTGTCAATTTGGACTCATTTATATCTACATCTAGCTATTAAATAACAGAAATGACTATGTACTGAATACTTGCTTAATGAGTCTATACTGTTTCTGTTTAATCTTCTTAATTAATTGCGATTCATTTGTACATACCATTGGGTTTTTAAATGGAGGTTTGCAGCAATAATTCCAATAATCATTATCATGGATGCGTATGAGCCACATTGGATTCACCGTAAGATTTCAAACAATTTCTTTCTCCTATCTTAAAAATTTTATTTTCTAAACGTAAAAATTTTAGTCCCTAATGTCAGCATGCACTGCCGCCGAACACAAGATTTTGATGTACAACAAGACAAAGGAGCTCTTTTCTGCCCATGAAAATTACATGCTTCTGAGTATCAAGAGAGTAAAGTCGACTCAGTTGAAAGATGTCAAGGCCGAGATCGGCTCAAAGGTTAAGTTCCTCATAGCTAAAAACAAGATTATGAAGAAAGCCTTAGAAGATTTGGATGCTAAAAAGTACGCCAATCTCATTAGCATGCTACATGGTAACGTAATTGTTGCTTTCTTTGGCAACGCAGACCCGAGAACTATTCTTGATGCATCAAAACATAATATGAGAAAGGCACTTGCAGTGCCTGGTGATATTGCACCAAACGACGTTATAATTCCAGCAGGTCCAACAGGTCTTGGCCCTGAAAAAATTAACATTTTTCAGGCAGCCAAGATCGTTACCAAAATAAACAAAGGAAAGATTGATCTTGCCAATGATCATAAGCTTCTCTCTGGTGGCGATATAGTGTCTATTTCTAATGCTAGACTGCTTACAATGTTGAATATTCTTCCGTTTGAGTTTGGACTCGATATTATCAAAATCTTTGAAAGTGATGAGGTATATGATAAAAAGCTCCTTCAAATCACGGAAGAAGATGTTACTAGCATTTTGCAAGAGGCTATTGGCATTGTTGCCGCAATATCACTTGGTTCTAGTACTTCAACGGAGGCTTCTGTTCCATTTGAGATTAGAAACGCTTTTGCAGATATTGTGAAGATTTCTCTTGCAACAGGATTTAGCATCCAAGAGTTCAATCATTAAAGCAATTTGATAGGTAATGGACTTGCTTTATTTTAAATTGATATATCGTACTATTGATTTGGCATTAAAGTCTATGTAAAAATATTGAATTATTCAATAGGATTTTAATTATGCTCTTAAATCCCATTTAACGTGATGTCTGATCAATGTTTCTCTACATCAGAATGTTTTCTTCTCTCTTCCTTCCTCTCAGCCTTACACTTTCTAACTTTTTGAGAATACTTACTGATCCTGTAATCGAATAGGCCTCATAGAATGGTTCAAGATAGTTTTCGCTATGGCCACACTTTATACTTCTTTCAAAGACGTAAAGATCTACTGCCTTATCTTCATCCTTCGTTGATGAGAATCCTAATCCAAAATCAATAAGAAACAAGTTTCCGTTAAATATAAAGTTTAAAGTGGTGAGATCGCCATGAACCACATCTAACTTGTGCATCTTCGCAATCATTTCTCCGGCAATCCTCATGAGAAAGCAGTAGTTCTGATCGTTTAAAACTGTTTTTAACGTTTCACCCGCTATTTTCTCCATGAAAATTTTGTTTTCCTCAACTTTTATAAGCTTTGGAACAGATAGTCCCTTGTTTAGAAGCATATCAAGTATTTTGGCCTCCTTCTTTGTTCTTGATTTTATCAATTTAGAGTCTATTTCGGGTATCCTATATTTTTTTGACGGCCGTTCTTTTATAATTATGCTGTCTTCTTCATATAAAATGGCTTCTGCTCCTTGTGCGACAATTTTCATTACTCTTACTGGTCTTGGAAGGGTGTAGCGCACTAATATAATTTTTCAATAGTCAAGCCAAATTGCTGTGAAGGTGGAAATAAATAACTAGTGCGAAAAATGGTGTTTCAAACACTTCTCAAGATCAAAAACCAAAATCCAATTAAATAATATTGACTTTCTCGATTTTAGACGCCAAAAATTTCAAGGCTATCCTCTTCCAACAAAACGATTGTTTATCTACACTCAAATAAGTTTATTCAAATTTTCAAGTGCTTCAAAGTCTGCTATCTCTAACAATTTAGCTCTTTCATTCTTGTAGTATTCACTTTTAATATTTTTATACTCCATCAATTTTTCAAATTCGCAATCCCTTCTCTTTCCAATATTTTGATACTTCTCAAAAAGATCGTTTGTTTCCCTCAGAAATACTTTGATCTCTTTTGCGCCTGTGCAAAGATCACCGAACTTTGTCTTATTTTGTAGCAGACTTCTATACCCATCATTCCTGGTCTTTTGAATAGCTATTTTGGTTCTAAGTTCCTGAACAGCAGTACTTAGCTGTAGCACTTTTTCCTGCTTCAAGCGCAATGCCTCCACCATTCCTGAAATATCAGCTTGGATTGTTTTGTCTGTGACTTTTCTTTCTAATTTGAAGTTTGCTGGAAACTTAAGAATATTCCTAAGAACAAAACTGTTGAAAATGAATAAGTTCTTCTTAAAAGAGTCTGAAATGTACGTTTGTATTTTGTGATGAAGATGGTAATGTTGAGTGACGTCGTTCAGGCATTCCTGTAATGCTTCTTGCAATTCATTTGTAAAAGACATAGGCAAGAATTCAAAAAATTCAATTTCGTCTTCATTCAGCTGCTCCATCAAAAGCTAAGGGCAGCAAAGATACAAAACATTAAAGCAGTCTATAGAATTTGGCATAAGGATAAATAACTAAATAAAATGCCCAATAGCCTGCCTTTAATATTGCGGTGCCCTACAACGCTGCTCTAACAATTAAACACTTTTGTTGGACTCCTTCAATGCTAGTTATTGTAAATATCTTTACTTTGTTAATAGTTTCATTCTTTGGACGTACCACACATTTCACACAAAGTGTTGAATGGCTGGTTTAAATACGTACATGCACTGCAGTTCCAGGTTTTAATGTCATATTTGCCAAGTTCATTCTTAAAGCTTATGAAATCTTTAGAATGGACAACACTATTAAGTAATACTTGATCATTTCTAATAACTGACTCAATGAGTTCACCGAGAATATTATTGGGGATATACTTTGCAAGCGAAGTTAGAATGCTGAAGTTTTTCAATTTGTTTATTCTAAAGTCATTACCAAAATACCCAGAAAGCTTCTTTAGCGTAGGTTTTTTAATTTCAATGTTGTGTATGAACAGTGGGTTTTCTTTGAATCCATTTTCACACTTGACAATAAAGTAGTACACTGGAAAAAATGGATCTGCCTCTTTGGAAACCTTGTTGCCATATTCATCAATAACACAATAGACTATTTCCCTATTAGCCTTGAATTTCGTGGGATCCGTGGTTAGTGAAATGGCGTTGGCTTTGCTCAAGGCCGCAAACTGTTCAGAAACCATAAAAATCTCTGTAATTACCTGCTTTTCATCATTGGCAGCAACACAAACACCAAATAAGGCTTTATTGTCAAGCTTTTCTCTTAAAAAATTAATAAACGACAGTTCAACCGTGGAAACTATGTAGTTCCCCATTCTCTTATGTGAACATATTTCACCATTTTTAAATATAAGGTCAGTATAAATTACTCCAAGAATCTTAAGCTCTTCAGTAAAGAATTTGGTGGGAATGTCAGTTAAAACTGCCCCGTCTGGAAAACATTCCTGTTCTATTTCCCATATTCCTGAAACCACGGCTTTTCTCCCCATAGGCACATCCGAGTATTCAGCGTATCTTCCTACTAATAATCCTATTTTCTGTCTGTGTGTTTCCTTAAAACGATTGATGAAGTTCTCAACAATAGACTTTGAATCAAACTCAACATAATCAATGTATCTGTATTGTTGTCCCATAAGAGTAATTGTCTTTTCCATACACTTTGAACATTTTTGATTTGACGGGTGCTGATCACAGATCTTTGTCTCATAGTCAAACACCTCCTCATTCATACTACGATCCTTGAGTGTTTGTAAATAACTCCCATGGCTTAGGTATTTTACTTTCTTATCTGGCTCAACAACTCTGTCAGATCTGTCAAGATCTACACACTTTGGACACACAGCATCAGGGCTATGGGTGCATGTTATCTCTGGCTTATATTCCTGGATTTCTCCCATATCATATGCCATGTATACTGTCATTTTATCTTTAATATCTTGCAACTCTATCTGTACGGTTTTGTCAAGATCGGAATACAATTGATATTGTTCTGTTTTGTATATTTCCTTGATTTTGCTGTCAAGCTCCTCGGCGGTTTGCACTTTTACCTTCCTCTGAGCATTTAGAGTTCGAATTGTCACTAGCATGGCTATTCTGGGAGACCCATGAAAACAAAATAAAAAGCCAGCAAATCTTTGAAATAAGTTTTAAGATAGAAAGCTTTACAAACACAGGAACATGCTGTCTTTGATAGTAAAAGTTGCAAACAAATATTGTATTTAACAATAACGTTGAACGTTTTGACGTTTGTTGCAATTATTAAGGTG